ATGCCGGAAGTTTTGACGGCGAATTGTGGGATCGAAAGGATGTCTGCACTCACATGTCTTGTTCGAGATGTGGGCAAGTTTTGCCCTTTATATGGGTTAAAATGGTCCCGTTCCATTGGGGTTATTGCTTCTACCAAAAGACAACAGTTTCGCCATTACAGCAAATCAAAGCAATCCATCAGAATAGGTTGCTGTTCTGGATTTTGGGGGGATACAACTGTTGCAGGTATCCCTACGTGTGGACTCTGACATCTACATGTACATTTGCTTGATATTTCTGTCGATACAGGCAGTGAGAACCAGATAGTTTATTTTGCTTTGAAATGCTCATACTCGTGGATGTGCAAACACTTAATTGAAACACGTTGGAAATACCTTCTGGGGGGGGGGGGCGTCTACTGTCATAATTTCCTCTGGATTTTACCGTTACACAAATTACATAATAGCATGAGTAGCAAACCAGCGTCAGAACATTATCCACACGCCCCTTTTTGTCGTTATTAAAACTACAAACTCATGTATGCAGAAGAAGGCTTTCAGAGCATTGAAATATAATTTTATACAAACTAATGGAAATTGTAGTTGTTACTTTGTAATAAGAAACCACAGTTAATTCCATGAATTTGCACCTTTTTATTGTAGCTCAACAGCTGATGTTAAAAGGTAATCTAGACTATTTGGTATCTGATTACCTCTCGGAGATAACAATGTCCTTGCTTACTGCAGCCAAGAGAAAACATCCGGTAAATCGTAATGCTAAAAATTTGTATTTGACAAAGTAAAAGTTGAAAATTAAGTTATTGTCAAATCTTCTAAGCCTAAATGCTGGCCTGTCAGTGAAAGAACCTACAGATCCAGAGAGAAACTGTTCAGTAATAGAGCAAATATAAAATATATATCGGCTTTAATTTCTATAGGGCCAGACTCTCATGGGTTCAATATGTATATATTTATTTCCTGCTGTGTAGTATCATAAAAAAAAGTTGTATTTACATATTTTATTGACAATTGACTGTGCCACAAATAAAATGCACTTCTCATATTTACCAATGATTCTGTTTTCAGGATGCTGGTTACTGTCCTGATTTTCTGCAAGCTAGTGTTGGTCCGTACCTTGAACATATCAAGAACAGGGGTAAGATATAATTGCTCACAAGCATTGCAGCAGTAATTCTTTTGTTCTGTCAACTATACAAGCAGGGCACAGTTCTAGGCATGGCATATAGAAAGGGCTGGTAATTTTGAATTTTTAACTTGGGTTTAATTATATAATTTTCCTTTCAGGTGTGAAGATCATCAGCAATGCTGGAGGTGTGAATCCAGTTGCATGTGCTGCAGCACTAAACGATATGGCAAAACGGAAAGGCGTGGACCTTAATATTGCCGTGGTAACAGGAGATGACATTACTGCTCGGGTAGGTCTGATGATTTGCAGCAGGCAGATTATGTACTAATCAATTATAGAATGTTGAAAGAGATCTCAGCAAGTAAGCAATTAAGACCAGTTTTCATACGTACTTACTAAAGTGAACCAGTTTGTGACCAGCATGGTGGCTGCCCCCCCCCCCCCTTTAAAAAAGCTGCTACAACTAGAGTAGAAAGTTTGAAATATGATGTATGGTTTGAGAAGATGGTGTCTACTGTAAATTATATTGGACATTTTTACTTAGATTAATTAATTACATGCATACAGTTGATAAAAAATGATGGCATTACATTGAGAAACTTAGATTGATTAATTACAAGTTTACAGTTGATAAAAAGTGAAAGCATTGCATTGAGAGGCNTTAAAGATGCACCAGAAATACACAAGAATATAATGCTACTGGTTTTTGATGTCCAAATTCAATACATTTAAAACTTGTTTGTTTGTTGACAGTTTCAGTGGAAGATGGATGACTTTGACCGTTTAGCTGCGGGGAGGTGAGTGTGGAGAAAACATTATTTTCAGTGTAGTGTAGTGCATTTTCAAAGTTATGCTTATTTTTAGATTATTACATGAACTTTCAACATTTCATTAGGTGTTACATTAAGTCATGTTTGATGTGAATTAACATATGATATTTGTAATGTTATATTGCTGTATATGTTTGTCATTTCAGTTTGGCTGGTCACTTGATAGAATGTGGTGCCCAGGCAACTGGTGGTATCTTCACAGATTGGCACCTTGTGCCTGACTGGTATGTGTATGGGTTATGAATATCCCAACACTTCTACCTTACTGCTGTATCACACCAAGAACTACAATTTACATGCTTTTTAGAACGGCCACATTATCTTTTTCATGAATAATCAACAAAACATGATAGTTTTGTTTTCAGTTTTGTTTGAATATTGTTTATTTACCATAACTAGGTGGCAGTCATATTGGTGGCATATTTCTGCAATTCCCATCGTGACAAATGTTAGATATGTATAGATAGTGGACACAAGTAGTTTTAACATGAAGTATTCTGTATGTTTTTTAATTACAGGGATAATATAGGATTCCCTATTGTTGAGTGCTCAGAAGATGGCTCCTTTGTACTTACAAAGCCTAATGAAACTGGCGGGCTGGTTTCCGTGGGAACAGTTGCCGAGCAACTCACATATGAGATTGGAGACCCTAAGAATTACATCCTGCCTGATGTTATCTGTGATTTTTCTGAGGTTCAACTTCAGCAAGTTGGTGGTTAGTATAAGAGACTTAACCCTCTTGAATAAGCTAAGAAAAAAGAAATAGTCAGCTGACAATTTCGAAGTCAATAACTCATTTAAATTTGTAGAATAGAAGAATAGTTGCTCAGTGTAGATTTGGGTTTCATTCTGATTGATGGTATTTGAATTAATGGTAGAGAATTTTTGCAATATTCTTTTTATGTCAGATGATCGAGTGCTGGTACAAGGAGCAAAAGGCAAGCCACCAACACCACATTACAAAGTAAGAATAAAAAGACGGTCAACATCCAAAGACTGTCATGAATTAGCAAATTCTAGAATCTTTTATTTTCCTAATGCCACAAAAGATCTTTTGCGTATCACTGATGCACTTTTAGATTTCAAATATTTTTACCTTAAGATTTTTATTAATTGTATTTTTTCAGGTGTGTGGAACATACATGGCTGGTTATCGGTCCACTGCAGCTGTTATGATTGCTGGACCAAGGGCTGCAGAGAAAGGCAAGAGAACTGTGGAAGCCATTGTTAAAAGGTAAACATTATTTCCTTGCCTAGGGAGGGGACACTGTTTTTTATTTGTAATGTACTGAGAAGATTTATATTTTAAAAAATGTCACAGAGCTGGATAGGTTGCAGCTAAAAGGCCACTTATATAACTGCCATTCAACAGATATATGGCTGCTGGGTTTATACTGACAGCAAAGTTGAATGATGAATTATTGATGGTGAATTTTTAAAAATCGCAACAAAATTGAGGCATATTTGTTTTAGTTATGTAAGAATTGTACATGGACTGTAATAATGTAACTTGATTTAGTTTTGAGAATGGATTACTAAGCAGCTTTAATTTGTCAATATACATCTGATATTGTATTGTATTGTATTTTATTATATTGTAATGTATTGTATTTTATTATATTGTATTGTATTGTATTATATTATTCTTCCACAGACTGCAGTATCTGTTGAAGGAATTGTGGTTCTCAGACTTCAGTAAGGTTGAAGTCCAAGTTGTTGGCACTGAAGAATATTATGGGGACCAAGCTAGGAAAGATTTAGTAAGTATAAGCTTCCCTCTGATCTCAGTATCTTATTAGATGGATTAAAAGGCCTTTAGTGATTATGCAATATGTTATTTCAGAATCCAAGAGAGGTGGTAGTGTGGTTTTCAGTGGAGCACACAAATAGAAAAGCCCTTGAGCTCTTTGCCAGGGAACTTGCTCCTGCAGGGACAGGAATGGGTAAGTCACACGTTCACATCTAACACAATGGCACATCCAGCAGTGTGTTGGGTGTGCCATTTATCACAATGTTTCATGTACCACGATGTTACTTCTTCCACACTACCATATGTTACTCACAGTGATGTAAAACACACCGTTGGATCTTATACAGTTTTTTATCATTAATACTTTAACATCTAAAGAGTTACCTAGTATACCTATATATAGCTAGTAAGGGAAACCTGAAACATGCTTAATTTTTATGTATTTGGACCTGTAACTCAATAAAATACTACAACATAACTAAGGTGACAGTATGCTGAAGTGATGTGCTTTCTCTTTCAGCTCCAGGATTGACTGGCCTTGCAGGGCGAGGAAGACCAAAGGAGTAGGTGTTATGAATAGTGTTCCCTCAGGGGTCATCCATTTTTATTATTTTCACAAGCCTGCAAACTGTACATTGGTGAGGGGTTAATCCCCTTTGTCTTCTATTGGAAAAATAATAGAATGATGACTTTCACCCCAAGGGGTGTTCTGGCAAAGGTCATCATTTGTAGGTTTTACCTTGTACTCTCTGAAGGGAGGAGGGGGTTGTCTGGAAAAGTGCTCCTTTTTGAAGACGTGTTGAAATGATGATAAAAATGGATGAACCCCATATGCAAACATGTATTTTCAGTTTTAACTTAAAAGTGAGGAATAGTTAAGATTTTATTTAAATGAAAATATTCTTTAAAAAAAACTTGCTTTGAATTGACACATACGTTTATGTCAAAATGTGATTTGGTATGATTTCTATTTTAGCTCTCCTATTTTGAAGCTGTATTCATTTCTGCTTCCAAAAACTGAAATAGAGGTGAGTTGGTATTGTGTTGGGGGAAAAAGTTATAAACGGTTTGTTTCGTTGTCAACACTGCAAAAATGATTTATGTTGAACAGCTTACATGAAAAACATGTGAACAAACTATGTACAGAATTATGTTATTTCCTATTATTTATTTTTTTCTCCTGTAAAATGATAAACCGTAGACAAAACAAACCTATACCCTATTACTGTACATTTGCAGACTATTATAATGCTAGCAGGAGAAAATCCATATGTGTTTGACCCGCCTCCTGTACCTACCTCCTCTGAGATTGTAGACACCCCAGATGTGTCCACAGCTATGGACCTGCCCAAGGGAACATGTACATATAGACTAGAGGACCTGGCCTACACCAGGAGTGGGGATAAGGGCAACAATGCTAATATTGGTATTGAGAAGTTTTTTAAAACTATGGGATAAATTGTAAAAAAGATTGTGGGTGAATTTTTTGTTTGTGTGTGTGTTTGTGTGTGTGCGCACGCGTGCAAGAGAGAGAGAGAGAGAGAGAGACAGATCATTGTATCCAGTCAGTTAACTGCTTTCATCAGTTTCTTGCAATTTTCAAAATAAATACTAATTATTAAGCAAAAATGTAACTATGTAGCTGGAACTATTTTTTTTTGTTTGAAGCTCACTTAATGTATTAGAGCTGTGGAAAATGTTACGGTGTCTGGAAGTACACTACATATACCTTCACTGACATGTTTTTTTCAGGTGTGATAGCCAGAAAACCGGCATACCTGCCATATATAAAGCAAGCTTTGACATCACAAGCTGTAGAAAACTACTTTAAACATTTATTTGAACAAGATGATGAAGGAAAGAGGGTCCACAGGTAATATTGGATTTTTGTTGATGTGGTTTTCATTATTACTATATGTTTAGGCATTTGTCTTTTTTGTTCTCTTCCAATCTTTCAAAAAAGATTATTTAGCAGTGGCTTACATTAAAGCCACCTGAACTTAATTGAGTATTATTTTGGTTCAGAGAAATATTTGGAACTTTTCGAACTAATTTTGTTTCTGAGACAACCAAATGACAAATTGTTTTTATTATTTTTAGTGAAATGTATCCATCTCTGGTCAGTAGGAAATTTTGTAATGTTTTTTATCGCGCCCCCCCCCCCCCCCCCCCCCCCCCCCCCNATTTGGTGTGACTGCCAGAATGTGTTCACTCTGACCTAGGGACAAGGTTATTTATTAATTTATTTTATTTATTTTATTTTTTGCAAAATGTGTTTTACATATTGTCATGCAATAACCCAAGTAGAAGACATCATCTACTCTTATCATGTCATGTTTATGGCAGATATTGTATTAATGTATTTCAAGCCAAGTACATATTATAACCTCTACAAGGGAATGCTTGGCATAACGTAAAGAATTTTTTTTTTTAGAAAAGAGATTTAATATTGATGTTAAGGTACATATGATATTATTTCTTGTTATTTTCAGGGTAAAGCCATGGGCCAGATGCTACTTGACTTTAAAATTGAAAACATGCCAGAACTGGATAAAATAGTCTGAAGATAACAACATTGCTGCGAATGTCCTCACCAAATGCAATCAAACAATGCAATCAAAACTATTTTAGCCAGTGGTGCTCCTCAAAGCTGCCTGGAGTAGCTTTGTGGGGTTGATTATACAGGGTTGTCTTCAATGAGCCCTTGGTCTATGGAGGAGGCACTGGAATTGACATTGTGTTCTTTAAAAATTTTTTCCTATAGTGATATTTCCTGTTTCTGGCATTACATGTACATGTCTGCTGTCTTTTAAAGGTCTTCGGGTGAAATCTTGTACTAAATTTTGGAAAATGGTAGGAGGGATTCACCAATGCACAGGGATTACAAGACTTATATTTGATAATTTTTTATCATGAAAAGTAATTGAAATGGCCTATTCAGTATTCATTTACAAATTAATTTGTATGGGGGAAGACTTTGATCCGTTTCTTGATAAAAAGGGTTGTCATAACTAAGAAGATTGTTGCTAAAGATTAATATTAATTATATTATATAATATTAATTATACTTATGTACAAATAAATTTTAAGGCCGAATTGTTTTTCAAAATAGAACATTGCTTAATTATTACTGCTGCACTTACAGGCACCAATATTCTGTCCTTTCAATTTTTTTCTAATTCCAAAGCCTACAACAGAAAAACATATTTACATTAAACTGTTTATTTATTTCAATATTATGGTTGTTAATGGAAGAAGAATATAATACAAAGTTTTGATTTTAAATTAGCTCATCACAAATAAGCTAAGCAAAAAGGTTAACATTTTTTGTGGACGTAACCTTGTCCACAGTGACACATTGTATATACATGCAATACACATGAACTTGCTCAGAGTATAGCAGTGCCCTTAGACTTGCTCCGTCTGACACTATACAAAAACTTATGCAAAATTAAGTCTACTCATACATAAGTGTGATCTACAATTATTCTAAAATTATATTACAGCACAGTTACCTTTTTTGAGTAATAAAATAGGCGCAGTACCCCAACCCACAAGAAAAAAGTATCATTTCTCTGTCACACAAGCAGGCCTTCTCTGCTAATGTATAGGACTATAGCAGTGTACACGTAGCATATACATTGAAGGCGAATCAAACAATGAAAATGCAAAAATTATACAGGCATAAATTTTCTTTCAAAATTTCAAACCATGAGAAAATTTTCTCAAAAATTATATGGATAACTTCTATAAGCCATTCTGTATATAAGCACGTTAGAGTTATGACCCTCTTAGACTATGATACAAGTGCGGTAGGCTTCCTGTGCCATTACTAGAATAATCCATCAAAACTGTACAAACTAATATCATACTATACCTTTGTCAGTGTATGGGTATATATATATATATATATATAGATCTGACAACAGCATTTTATACATTATGGCATTGTAGTGTATATCTCCAAGAAAGTTATTTAGTACGATCTTTCAATCTCAACATACTCAATTAAGTCTACACAAAACACTCTAATGCTTCAACATTAGAGAATTTTTACAAAGTATTATCTACCACGACAAAAAATGAGAAAGTAAATTTAAATCTAGTATAAGATTAATCTTTGTCTATTCTGTGACAAATAAGAAACCATACATGGAAGTAGTCTGTACCAAAACAGTAGCCCCCTTTGAGATGCTGGTCTTAAGAATCTACTGGACCAAATAGTGGCCAGAAATGGAAGAATTTTTTAAAAAGTTTTTCAGCACTAGCTTCAATTTTACTGGCGTTTTGTTGGGGCTAGACTGTAAAAGAAGACTTCACTGAACGTGAGAGAATCTACAGGTGAGGAAGAAATCACAACCCGATTTCGTATTAAGGTTATACATCTAGTAATACAAAGTTAAGTGGCACATTTCATAGATCATTAAAAATACACTATTTGTTATCATAGTAACACAAATACTTCTAAAATGTTACTCTGTATCAACTCCCAGTGCTGCCTGGTAATATAAAAACCTACAATATCTGTGTACATGTGAAGATCATAACAATTAAATAATTAATTTTTGGCATTTTTTTTCATCCTTGCACCATTTAAGTGTGTAAAATTATGATTTGTCGGAGAAATACCAAACTTTTTTCACCCCCAACAACCAGGGTTCTATCTTAAAATACTATGGGTTATTCATAACTGTTACATAGTTGTTATTGCACAGTTTTTTTAACAGCAAGGAGACAGATTAGAAAAAAATTCCTACATTATTTACAATAACACTGAAAGGCTGCTTTAGCATTTATGAAATAAAACAAACTTAATTGTATGAAAAATCTGCCACTTTTAGTCATGTAATACTTAAAAGACATAATACTGGGCAATATGAAAGCATCAGCAATTTCACTGCTGATTTCTTTCCTTCAGTACTTTGGGTAAGTACCAGTAAGTAAAAACAGTCACATATGGAAGCAGACGTAAAATGTTTGGTATGTTCAAAAGTTTTTATAAATCTGTAGATCTAATACCATAATTCTGACCAGAACATGACATGGTAAATTGTTTCATAGTAAAATACTGCTCTAAAACTGTCACTGGTTTTGTCACTTCAAAAACCAACAAAATTTTTTTCGGTAGTGAGACAAAATCAATTAATCAATGCAAAAAGGCTTTATCAACAAGCAAATAATACTATCATATTGCTATTTTACAGAAAAAATATCTACTGTATAACTAATGGTTAATATGCCCATGTAATACAATCTCAACAAAAACTAAAGATTGCTTGCACACACACAAAATAGCACCTCTACTGCAAGATGACCTGAAGGATGAATTTAAAACTTCCCTCGGATAATAGGGGCCATATACTAGTAAATACATTCTCATTGGGTTTTTTCTGATTTATCTTGGGAAAAAGGCAACTATAAGTAGAGGAGTTTACTAAGACATTGAAAATGGCCATGAATTTGGCTAGAAAGGTTCCTAAAAGTTAATGCCCTTGTTTATGAAGTTCCACAGTACAAACTGAAACAATAGGAAGTACATAGAATGTGCATCTTTATGCTAAGAACATTTCAATTTTGTTAAAACTATATGCAGATGTATTCATATAATGTGCAATATTCTTGGCACTCGGTGGACAATCATATAAAGAAAAAATCTAGTTTATTGGCATAGACCACCTTACTAATTTCCCTATAAGCTTCAAGTTATATAGCAATTAATATCAAGTTATTTCCTAATAACGATAAGGTGAAGTAAATCATCCTGTTTCAAAATAAGCACTCATTTTGAATAATTCAAGATGGTTGTATACTGAGATAGTGTCAGTTGTAACAAAGTACCTTTGAGGTTTTGTTGGTATATTTCAATAGTTGTGCTATGACATGGGGCTGCTTGTGCTAAGTTCATGTTAGTGGCATAACTGTGACTTCAAATAGCTGCAAGATATCTCCTGTGGGTGATACACACAATGTAATTTTCCCATCAGCAAATTTCCACCTTCCAAGTTGATGGAAGTGAGCAATTCACAAGTTTTTCATCCTTGCTCCCAGGTTTCCACTTTTAAAAGTAGACAGAAGACACCATGACATCTGTAAGATAATTCTCCATGGAGGCTACAAAGTGGATAAAAGTCCACAATACAAAGTGGACAAAGTCCACAAACATATATGAAAAATAGTTACACACCACTTGTTTTGACACATACAAGTGAAGAACAACCCAATTTGGAAGCTTTAAAAATGCAATTCAAAGGATTTTTATGCCAGATTTAAAATATCAATGTTTTAAGGCACCAATTCCTTAGGTAATAGTGTTTATCAGGCAGTGGTTATAAAGACACATCAATTTCTTTCTCATCAAGGGTTGATAAACAACAAAGGTGTTTTATGCAGAATGATGGAGGCTGTTCAAATAAATTGTCCACAGTTGTATTTTTTTTCTACGTTATGTTCAACTTTAGTAGGGAAAAATAAACTTCACAGATAACAGCAATATTGCCCACTGCTTCTGCAAATTCTGTGCAGGCAGTTTATAATTATGTATTACTTATTTCTCTTGAGCAGCAGATAGGATGAATAGCTGAAGGCAGGTTGTATTACATGACATTTCTGGTCAAGAACCCAATGTAAATATTGCTTGCTACAGTAGACGATAATCTGTAGTAAGAAGATCCTGTTTTATGTCTTCTGTAGATACACAAATCCATGATCCTTTTTGCACTCCATTCTGCATTTTCTGACAGGTTTCTTCAGTCTTCTGGGAATTATCTTCTGATCTGATTTGGAATCTGGTTTTTGTTCAGGTCTAAAAAGAGAAGGAAAAAAAGACAACTTGTAACTTAAACTTGTACAGCAGTGTCAGTGGTATTGAACCCTGAGTATCAGAGGACACTAAAAACTCCCCTCTCTTCTTTCAGCATCCCTCTCCTTTTCCCAGTGCCCTTTGATACTCATTGCAGTATTTGTGGTATAATAAAAATTTCCTTCAAAACATTCGCCAATATTATTCCTTTAAAATGATTACAAAAAGCTACATTAGACACAAAACGTTGTGCTAAATCATCATTTGAGTGACTGCATTTCACCTTGGCTCTCTTTAGTCCAAGATAAAAGAAAGGTTTCCAACCAAAATTTATCAGAAGCATTTCACCTGACATCAAAGTTCTATTTTCAAAATCTAAAAGCAAAGCCATTTCTATCTTAAAACACAATGTCCAACAAAAGTTTCAAATTAATGCTCTTAAGAACATAATTCCATTTTGTTATTTTGTTTAGACAGCATTCAGATTCACACATTGTGCTAGCTGGATTGGCCCAGATCTGCAGGAGATTCTCGCTAAAAAGCAATCAGTGTAATCTTAATTGTCTGAAATTCCTCCTCAAGCAGCTAGGGGGTAATTAACTACTGTGTGCTGATTACGATGATTCCACTGATTGCACTTTAGCGAGAATTCCACGCAGAATTGGACGGACCCAGCTAGTATGTGGAAATCTAGATGTGCCCTTAGTTTAATGATAACATTTTTTCAAACAAAATATCAAATTCCTTTTATATTCACCAGTGAAAATATAGCTAAAAGCTTTTAAAAAGATTTTTCATTATAATAACTTTTTTTTCAAATATACAGCGTTCTTTTAAAAAATGAGATCAGTTAATATGGGACTCACATATTTGGTAACATATGTTCACCATTAAAATATTCATCAATGGGATAAGCCTGTGCATGAATAAAACTAGAATCAAAGCCACAAAATCACTGAGCTCAATTCCATCATTCTACTTTTCATCTTTTTAGCTGTTTGAATTAAATAATCATACTGAAATCATTGATATTGTGTGACTATACACCTAAAACATCAAACACTATTTGGCAAATTATAACATAAGCAGCAAGTAGGGTTAGTGATTGTCAATCAGAACAAAAAACAAATTAAATCAACAAATGTCAGAACAGTGTAACAAAATCACACAATTATGCAAATAGCTTTGATATTGCTGAAGTATCTTAACTGTCATCAATTTATCTAAATCTTTTCATCTTTTAAGTTTGTCTTGCATTTATTCATTTTTACCTTAATGAACAAAAGTGTTTGTGTTTTCTTTGTATGGTATTTAAAGTAAGCAAAGTTTAAACACGATAAAGTATTGAAGTGTGTTAGTTGTGAAGTAAGAAAATGCTTTTCATGTGATATCAGATAAGACTCGAAAACAAAGCAAAGTCATATGATTTTGTTTTTCATAAAGGCTTGCATACCTGCTTATCACGTCTTCACATCTCCACTTAAATACAAGACAAAATAAAAAGAAATGCAATTACTTTATCAAAATACAGTTCTGGCTGAAAGAAACAGAAGTCTTTATGTAGACTAAACTAAAAACCTACTCACTGGCTTAAACAATGAATGTTACTTACTTTGATCATTAATTTTTTTTGTGTTTGGTATATATTAAACCAGGTTTAAGCTAAACAAAAATTTTTGCAAGACAACTTCACATGATCCTAAATATATTTCAAATGCACATACTGGTACATATATGTAATATGTGTCTTTAAATGTTCAGAATTTACCAATAAATAAATAAATAAATAAATAAATAAATAAATAAATAAATAAATACAGTACAATTTTTATAACTTGAAATAAAGTAGTAGGTGCTTATATATCAAGTGGCAAATTTTAAGCTTAATGTACTAACAAATACAGGACGTACACATATGAATGAAAGACAAAAAGTATTTCAAACAAATTCATTTTCAATTCTTTAAGTTACATTATATATATTTCTATAAGAAAAATTAACTTAGATATATCAGTAGATTTTAAGAAATTATTTTCATTCACCACATTCCATGTTGATATTCATAAAAAAGCAAAAAAAAAATTTTTTTTCCTTTTTTTGCCAGGAATGCATTCATAGATCTTCTTGTTGAAATTCTAGTTTTTCCTTACATTCCAAAAGAAACCCACATTGTAGCCAAAGCCATATTAAGGATTAAATAGCATTTTCCATCATCCTCCATTTATTTAAAATAGACTTAAACATAAAGACAGCCATTCTGACAAGCGCATCAGCCAATATGCTTCAGTCAATCAGTCACATGCAGTCAGTCAGATCAATGTACACCTTTTAGTCAAAAATTGTAAAAAAATGAGTTCCTACACTTAAATACATAGTAATTTTAAGAAATAAAGAATCATGCAATCACAAAATTAGCAATTATAATGATAAATGTAATCGGCATCACAATGACAAGAACTTTGACGAAACAGGCGAATATCTGCTGGATCTTCTTCATAGGCTAATACATTGTATTACCTAAACCTGAGGGGGCAGTCAACACTCTCCTCTAGTTTTTCCAGACGTGACACTTAAGTTAAAATCAAAATGGAGGGAGAAGAGCATACTTACTGTCAGTTGTTAAATTGTTTAGATCTTGACTTAGTTCTATAATGGCATCCTGAGATGCAAGACCACGGTTTATTAGATCTGCCTGGGTATCCTGAAAACAACAACAAAAATTTTGATATAAGATGTGAAAAGACTTAAATGTAGAGATAACATTTAGATCCTGAACAGAAATTAACTTTGTACATAATGAACACTTAAATTCCATGCCAAATCAAAAAATTTAACAAACTCTGATCCCTTGGGATATTTCTTATATTTTTCAGCAAAAATAGTTGTCAAATAATCTGATGTAGAAAACCATAATGGCCACCGATCCTTACCCTGTCTAGCACTGATATGTCTGCACCAGCATCCAACAGCAGCTTGATAATATGTGTGTTTTCCTTGAGTACAGCCTCAGCAAGTGCGGTTCCTCCTGTCTGGAAACAAAATTTTTAAATAGCGTATTATTTATTGGGTTTCATAATCAAACAAAATAATGACGTGTGACTATTTTATAATTATAATAATAATAATACAATGAAGGGTATGATTGTTCTCTGAGTACATAATAATAATAAGAAGAAGAAGAAGTAGAAGAAGAATTTATCCATGATGACTTTCAAGGGCTTTCCTGAAACTGAAAAATGTATACATCTACATTTGGCAACCACTCAAAGGTCAGAACCCATATGGTTTGCTAAAATGAATTATGCACTTAAATCAGAGCTAAATAGTACACATATACAGGGCTTGACATTAAGGGTGGCCCACTGGCCCTGGGCCACTGAAAACCAACCTAGGGCCATTGAATTGTTGGGGTCACTGGCCCGAAGACCAAGTAAAATGTCATGTGTCAAATCATCCTTGCAATATTTACCCATATCGCGGGCCAGTATAGAAAAAAGTTAGTGTCAAGCCCTGATATAGTCAAATGACCATCTGGCAAAAGTATACTGTGAACAGTTTCAAAATCAAAGTGTGCAAAATTAATTCTTAGATACATCAAAATACTGTTGAACAATGCACACGCATTATATAGTTCTGATGTACAGCAAAACAAATTTAGCAACTAATGAGGCACCAAGTGTTAAGTTCCAACAGTAATTAAAGAAAAAAAAATATCTGGAAGACAAGTTCTGTAGAGGGGAAAACAGACTTGGCACTCTTTCAAAACTAAGATCAAATAGTAAAATGTAAAACAACAGCTTGACGTAAGGAATAAGGGTAACCAGTACATTATGTCTGTCATTCATGAAGGTCATCACACAACTTCTTAGAAAAACCCTTTTTTTCTCTTTCAAGGTCAGAGTATTTTATAAGTTATAAAGGTTCTGGGTAACCAAAGTCGGGTGTTTTAGCAAAGTTCAACCAGTTTCATTATGATGCCATATTACATAATATCTCTTTATCTATTCATTGAAACCATCTATTATTCATTTGCATTTCATAAATGAAAAACAATCTGAGATAATTGGCACTCATAAACACCTATTTCTTGCTTCTGAAAAGGATAATTTTGTTTATTAAAAATCTCCCAATGGAAACAAATCAATACCAACCAAACCCTCTTAAATAAGCCACTTTTGCAGGACATGTAAAGGGAAGTTACGGAGCGACTACACTACAAAGCTTGCCGCCGAATTCCCGATTTGACACTGAATAGATTCCCCACGGAGATTATGCAACAAGCATTCAAGTGGGTCGGCCATATTTGTTCTCAATGCGCTCTTAGAAGCAGGGCACACCATGTTGACAAAGATGAAACACCTACCTCATCCTTAATGTTGACTTGTGCACCAGCTTTAATGAGCGTTTCTGTCATTTTGGTGTGGTCCCTGGAGACAGCCACATGAAGTGGGGTCATCCCATCAGCATCTTGCTTGTTGACCTCCGCGTGTGCGTTAATGAGAAGCTGCGCAATAAGGGTCAAACCCATTCTGGCAGCGAGATGAAGGGGAGTCACGCCATCCTGTTTTAATATATAATATAATATAATATAATATAATATAATATAATATAATATAATATAATATAATATAATATAATATAATATGTTTGTGACTTAACATAACGTAAAAAAAATATTATATAAAACCATATAACTTAATACAACTGTAATTAAATTATTGAATTATATTATACTGAATAATTTCACAAGGGTTACAATTACAAAGACAAGGGTTACAATCACAAAGAATTAATATTCTGGTTTACAATCCAGTCAAATAAACACTAATGTTATATGCAAAGTCCACACAGCAGCAATAAATTAACACATTTATCTGGATTTATTATGCAATCCTTTGTAGAGTAAGTAGACTAAATAAATCTTGTGACCTCCATCTGTCTTAAATGGTCTGGGGGCGAAAGGTAGAGCTAGGTTATTTATTGACATAAGGTAGCAGTGACATGGCAATTATGTCTTCAAACATGTCACAACTCTTTTTTCTTTCTTAATGATTTTCTTTGTAGTTTCTTTTACAGAGACTATATAAAATGTGTGGGAAGAGAAGTTTTTGACTTATGTACATCATCAGCAGCCATAGAAACCTATGTGTGGTGTAATTACATATGTTGAATGCTTACATTGTCTTCGTGATTAACTTGAGCTCCTGCTCTGACTAGAATTTCTACAACTTCCACACAGCCATCCTTGACTGCTAGCCTTAATGGAGTCTGTCCTGCCTACAAGAGAAAAGGTTTAGATTCAAACATCATAGTAAAGAAAGATAAGTCTTTCCCTTTTTGCCTGTCACAGATTGTTTTTCTGGAGAAGTCACAACTTATTGTGTTAGCTATATTCTAATGGGAAGTGTCATCAGTGGACTACAATGCAGCTGTTTACTGACTTCATGATTATCAATTTTCCGATTTGGTTAATAAAACACTTAACAAGGAGATCAAGTGGCGTAAACAACATTTAGCCAGTCGTTATTCATACACCACCTCTGGTTTGGAAAATCACTTTATCCTAAATTTGAAGACAGCAACTGTTACTAGCAGTCATCAAGGTGCATTTAGGCATTTTTAACATAACCACATGATCAATACAAAAAATACTTGAAAGCAGAAAAAAATTAGGTTAATGGTATCTGGCATTTCCTGCATAATTGACCCATTTGTATAGGATCTAAAGGCAATGACCTAATAAATAATGGCATACATCTAAAGAACCCTTAATTGCTGGCATTGTAAATAATAAATGATTCAGTCCAAGTTTCAAGTATCAATTTGTGAGGAGTATAGGCAAGAAAATCAAGACAGCTGATTAAAACATATTATACAGGTTAAATTTTTTTGATTCCATGATTTCATTTAGCTCAAATACTTTTGCAATTTTGCCTTAAAAAATGAGAAAAGAAAAAAAAAGGCATCAGCAAATTTCCCTGTAAAATCATCAACATACCCAACTGACACGATTTCATTTCGTCCTTTTCACATTTTGTCCTTACCTTATTTTCTACACCTAAATCTGCACCTGCATTAACAAGGAGTTCCACCATAGCCACGTCGCCTCCTGCTGCTGCGAAATGAAGAGGTGTGAATCCAGCCTGCAAAACAATGTTATCATAAAATGGCTACTGTTCCATAGTTATTGACTTTGGCTTAGGTCAATATGTTGCTTTGCAGAAAAGTGATATCATCACCAGCCAAGCCAGATATAAGATCATTTTCTATGATATATATATATGTTTTTACTTTGATCTAATTAGACTTAATTTAATCATTATGCAAGGCTGTAGTGCTGGGGATCGACAAATCTTCCCGTAACAGCAACATTACAAAAGTTTGGCATGAAAACTATGCAGAAATTACCTTATTCTGTATATTGACGTCACCTCCTTGCCCAATTAAACATTCTGCTACAGTTAAATGGCCTTTTCTAGCAACAGCATGCAGCGCTGACTCTGGATACTGAAAAAAATTGAAAATTAAATAAATGAAATTAAAATACAAACAAATGAATAAATAATAATAATAATAATAATAATAATAATAATAATAATAAATTTATAAATAAAATATAGAGTACAACCTTTTTCTAAAAGAAAAACTTGGACATTTACTCATCAGGCAGCAAATTGATCCCTTTACTCCTGTTAATGCTATATTTAATATAATACATATAATAACTTGAAGTTGACCTGAAGTTTTTTTTTCTCTATTCTTTTTTCAGATTGCTAGTTCACAGATCAGCTGGGGACATATAGTTCTCTAAATTAATCTTATCAGCAAATCTTTACATATATATCCTTCACAGCTGGCACTCTCCGATGAAAAAAGTGCAGGTTCAATCATTCTATATCTATCCTGGCATTATCTTAGATACACATAAAACTGGTTACTTGTTGCCTGAGCTATTTTTAACACCTGCAATGCTTTATTGGCTTGTAACCTGAAAAGAAGTTGCCCTCAACAGTTGATTAAAATGTGATTTTGCTTTTTCTAGGGAAAGGGAGTATCTTATGTGGCTTCAACCAGATTTGATAAGTCTGTGATTTCAGACTCACTTGGCTTACCCAAGGGATAGGGATAGGGGGGGGGGGGGGAGTAAATTGGAAGGGGAATCAGAACTACGTTAACTTTTGATGGATTGGGAAGGGAGAGGAGGAATAACACAAGAATAAATAGTCACATAAAGCAATCTAGGCCTCACAGGAAAAAGCACACTTACCCACACTTCCTCGCTCCATTCCAAACATTCATTGACATTGGCCATGCCATCTTCCAGCAACTGCATTACTCGTTCGCAGTCACCTGCATCTGCTGCCTCACACAGTGACACCGTTCTCCGGGGACGAAAACGGGCGACGTTTGCATTAACATTCACCATCATGTCATCCTGAATAATGAAAGAAATATATTTAAGATTTTTTCAGCAATATATGTTTATTCTGAAAGCATATTTGAACATGAAACTGGTTTATTTATAAACCAGGGTTACATTTGTACCTTATGTAAATGAAATTTACATTCTGAAGGCAATATTCCACGAGTCAAGTTTTTATCCTTCTTTAATCATGCTCTCAATCACATGTACACACTCTTGATATTAACGCAAAATCTGTCACTCCCATACAACAGCCTAGAAAACACCATGCAGTAAACACCAAGTACCTATCCCTCATGTTTTTGTATCAGGAATCACAAAACTGCACCCCTCCACCAAATAAAAGGCACCTTCTTTTAATCTAGCAAATACCTTTCAGTTTCAAAATCATTTAAAACCCTTCAATCACGTTTTAAAAATTCCAACCTCATTAAATATATGGTTCACCGAGTTTGAAAGAAAATGGACATGTTTATGTGCCTGGCAAAGTGTGAAGAGAGCACAAGTCTTTAAACTGTCTCTAAACATTAAACCATATTTGTAGGTGCGGCTTTATCATAACATTGTAATAATGATACTCATGTTTTTTCAAGAGCACACACCAAATCACTTTGTTTACAAAGTGGACATTTTTGTGGTCATCTCACATTTTTTTAAAGATTAGGTTGCCACATTCTGTCTATAAAGCAAGGAACATATAGCAATTTTAAAAAAACACAAAGTGATTTTCTGGTTGCTGTATTAAAACAGATGTAGTCATCTTACTTTTTTTAGCCTTAGAGTATTCATAGTTTATTAAATAAAAATATGAAAAAAATCAACAATGTAATCACTGTCTGCAAAGTAAAACATTCAAAATATGAGATGAACACCTGTTGTATTTATTATCCTTCAAGACTAAAATTTTTATCGTAAACAGATTCTTGACCTTAACCCCACGAAACAAAGAAGAGTCAATGTCAATTGGCGCAGGTGTACGACACCACAGCGTGCGTGACATAATCTGATTTGTTTTACAGTATAAAAAACTTATCAGCCTTTCACAAGGACAAGCATATGTTCTAATTTTATATGCTAAGAACAACATGATGTGTGTGTGGAATAAACTGAAATGTTTTTTTAATCTAAAAATCTTTATAATATTTTCATAATGACAAAAACATTCACATTAAATTTCCAAAAAACAAGACAAAAGAAGGGGGGGGGGATTATAACAGAGGGCAACACAAGCTTGGAAAGAAGAATCAAAGAAAAATAGGTTATAGAGAAGAACAACAGAGGAGAGGAAAGTCAGTTCATAACATAATTATAAATTTATTTGTGTTGAAGCAAAAAAAATTTTGAACTGCTTTGCCTCCTTTGATGTGCAATTGAGATAACACTTTTTACTATAATTGCCATACGGTTGGTTGTGTGGATAAAAATATTCATTCGCGACCGCAACAACAACACCTTTAAGGTAATAATTATCTTCAATTATGTTGGATCTTCTGAGGCAACCACAGTGCTAACGTTAATGTTAATCCTCAGGCAATGTTCTATTTTGTCAGATTGTGCAGGCACTGTGCCACTCATTTTATGTGTGTAACATTATGATTAATGTGTTTACTACCATGATTCATGTGTTGATGAAGTAAGGAGCTCTTTTACCTAGAGGAGCACAAGGGGTCAACCATGTATGCCCAGCAGTGCATTAGCTACTTAAAATTATCAATTATGTTTTGTTCACTGAGAGCAAAAAATTCAATTAAATAGTACATTGATTTAAAATCCCCAATGGGACCATGAAGCTTCTCAGAAGAAAAAGAACACTCACCGTGAATACGACATTTTGCTCATGCATTGATTAATAAATGTTCTTTAATAAACACTTAAAATTTTCAAAGTGATGTATGATAACCAAACCAAAGGCAAAATATCATGTTTCTTATAGTTATATGTAATTATCTTTCACAAATTGCAGAAAAATTTTAATGCAATGCATTAGAGCTATGAAGAAAACATTTCTGTGAAGAAAGAAATTTGCATTTGTCTGCTAATGTATTGAATTCAGGCTAATATACATTCCAAGTCATCTAGTTTAATACCTAAGTTATTTTAAATTCTAAATAATGCTGTAAACTACATTAAATCATTCCATTACATATCCATCATCAACCACTGATATTATAGATTATTTATACACTCATTCAGGCAAGCATTTCAAGTAAACATGAACTGGGGCATATTGCAAACTATACTGTACAATTCACCTATATATGAGTCACCATAACCAATGTGACACATATTTAACAGTAAGCTATACAAAATGATAACTGAAAGGCTTTTTTTTTTTTAATTTTCATATTTCCATCTTTGCTGCTTACATATGTCAAGTCAGCAGAGACTTTTTAAGCCAACAAAAAATAAAACAAAATAAAAATACCAGCTTTTCTTCACCTATAATCTCTATGTACATGAAGGCTGTTCATCTGCAAGACCCAACCTCTCTTCCACATTTTATCATTTAATAATACATAGCCTAAGTCTACCTCATGCCCGTCAGCCACTTGAGACTAACTGTTCATTTCACCTCTTAGTTTCATACACTTGTGCCAAATGATAATAGCCCTTGATGACTCTTTGTAAACCTGCCACATAAACATCATCAAGAATCCATAACCTTGGCAAAGGATTCTCGATATTCTTTATCACATTGCTACACTTCACTTAACATACCTTCATCTTTTCCAGTCAAGATCTGTTTCCAGGGATAATAAAATGTTTCAAGGGTAAAATGAGGTAAACTGTGGTTTGTATCTAGGTTAATGTATTCCACTGAATGTTGTTCTTCTTTTGAATGTTCAACCTGAACCAGGCACGTCACACAGAGAGGGTCCTAGGTTATGCTAAATGATGTGAATTTACGTAACATCTGGCACATTAAGTTGAAAGATAACGACTCTTAATGTTGCACTCGTTAGAATGCCAGTCAAAAAACTGGGTTTAACGCCTTCAAAAACTGAACTCAGTATTAGTAGCTGAGGATAAAATCTGCATGAGCAGGTTTTATTATTTCACTGTTTTTTTTATCTAATTACTAAGAAAATCATTACAGAAATAAAAAGTTTGCTCAGTTTACAAGCTCTATCATATGATTTCTGGTACTTTACGTCTTTACGTTTTTGAAGAACATATATCTGAACTATGACTTCATTTGATCAACATCTAGAGTATTTACACCTGCCCAATTGTCCTAATATATTTCAGTTCCCTATGCCATTTAACTCTTTCCTAGAATCTAAAAACAACAAAAACACAATTCCAAGAATACATGCGAGGTCTCATATCTCATTTATTATCCAGTTCCATGTAGCTTCTTATATATTGCCTAGATCCACAGCTTTTTACATTGTCCAAATAACAGGAAATGTTTATATATATGTTTATTCCAAGAGCAAATATTTCAAAATGCAAGAGTGGTGCCAGTTTCACTGATGTCTATGTTTACTTGAAGTTGGTAAAAGAACAAATGGTCAAGGTTTCTAAAGAGACTAAATGTATTTTTTCACTTATGGCGTGAGATGTTTGGACCTTTCGATCTCTTGAAACAACTGACTTTTTTACCATCTATACAAAAGAAACACCTAGCTGCTATTTTTCAAATTTACATTGTATTTGAAACAAAGGAGAAACAACTGAAGCCAATTTCATTTAAAGGCAGCACATTCATTAAATACAGCACTTTTCCAGTTTTAAACTCCAAATTGTTGTCTACGGTTTTCCACACTATCTCTGCTGTTTCTTTTCTAATTTCTTCTCAGAATTTTATTCTGAATTTTGATGGATAAATCACCAGATGTTTTCCACAATACTTACAGGTACTAGCATTCACCTACTTTTATTCAATCAACCAGCCTGTTGACAGAGGACTCAATGAATTTGATATCCATTTGCACATCACTCATACATCCCTTTTTAGTATTGACTGTTATTTTACCAAGCATCATTAGTAACTCAGAGCTAATGCTTCTTCTGAGATAACATTTTTAATAAACATTTTATAAGTAAAGAGATCCTTAAAACACTACTTAATGCAATACACAATACACTTTTTGCATCCATACCACTTTGCTAATTATCTAAGTCTGAAAACTTTTCATTCATACTAACTTATTAAAAAAACAACAAAGTGTTGAGTGTTATTCCATGGTGGTTTATTTAGGTAGTTCTGCCTGTTATTGGGAAACATCAGGAAACATCATAAGAAGACCAATTCAAATAAATGATTAAAAAATTAATAAATATTCAAACCCTGGTCATCATTTGCTCCCATGTGCATATTTACTAACTTCAACTTCCCATCTAACACTAAAATACTATTAATTATCATAATTTCATTTCTTTATTTTTCGGTTGTACTATTATCTACTCAGTGCCTCAAAATCTCACCTCAGCTGACCCCATATTATAATGGCAGGACACGTCCTTCTGACCTTCCTTTCTAAATACAAGCATACAACAAAGTTATTGTAGAACTGGCCTAATCAATACATTTTATATTTCACTGGTGCCAGCTGTGGGTCAAAGAATTAAATTTCCTTTGGTTACCATCAAGGCACCCTCTTGCAGCTCAAAAAATAACCTGTAAACACCCCATCAAGCTTTAGGGTACATTTACTGCAATTCTTGTATTAACAGAATAAGATGAAAATGACCAACTAGCATGGGATATCTCAATTTGTCAAGATGTAAATTACCAATATTTGCATCTATGAATCAGTTCACTCGTAAGATCAAAAAAAGATATTGTTGGGTGAAACTGGTATTTTGGTACAAATAAACAAAGTGCAGGAGAGAGTTCATTAACAGGAATTAAGCAGGAATGATTTGTGGACCACCATGTTTTAGTTCACATGTGACACTGCTATCTATAATACATTGGAAGAATAAATTTTGTTTCTGTATAACAGAAAAAATTTGAAAGCTAGGGAATCATTGCTTTGTTTTGTAGTTTTCAGTGTCTTTACTAGACTTGTTTCATGAGACTTCAAATATCAAACATTATCAGAAAATAAGACAGACAAACTGTAGACTTTTTATAGAGCTTGTAAACATTTAAACAATCATGATCAAAATAATTACGGACATTATAATCAATTTTCCTAAACTTTCAGATTCAAATTATACAATGATTGAAAAGAAATTTTAATAGGAATTTTATAAGAACTGGAGCCATCTACCATACTCCAAGACTTTGACATGCACATTTAAAACATGCACATTTGACAAAGCCTTAGCCAGCTATTGCACTTTGGTTAATGGACATCATCGTGTATATTAAACTGCTATTTCACCTTCAACATGCATGGCAAATTAAGCGAAGTAAACCAAAGTGACAAACTTGACCTATAAATGATGGCTTACTGACCAAGGGTCTAGATTAAAAACCTTAGGAGTGACAGTCACAGCAATTTTTAAAGGAAAAAAACTATAACTGCAGAACCTCAACCACCATACCATTTCACTAAATTTGCAATGACACAGTATCATTTTTTTTTCATCTTTCCTAACTCGGAACTTAGAAATAAACCTACTGATTAAATGCTTTAAGTTGCCTACTAGCTACCTTAAAGTATGAAGTAACTTTTTATCTCTTTCTGAGCATCAAAAATATTCCTTTTTCAGGTACTTTGTAAGTAATTTACTATACGTTAAGAGGGGCATCAAATGTTTACCTGGACACTAGGGATAATTGTTCCGCAATAATTCAGAAGTAACTGAAGAGTGAAGACATCACACCTGAGCTTTAATTTAGCAACAATTTATAGGTCTGGTCAAAATTGTCAAAGCAGTTAAATAAGTTGGGGAAAGATTGTACCATCTCTCTCCATGAAATTTCTTAAAAGGCAAAAAAAAAAAAAGAAAAAAAAATTAAAAATTGTGTCAATGTCCCTAATACATTGTTTCACACCTGCATGTTCAACTCTGAAAAAAATTTTAGTGCTCATAAACAAGTTGTGTACATAACCTCTTTTATCAAAACTAGCCTAACCTGTAAGGTAAATATTGCAGATAATATTATTTGACTCTCACTGGAGAGCAGACTACCACAGAACTTTTCCAATCTGACAATCAATCTTCAAGCAAATTTAAAAAAGGCAAACTTTGAGTTTAATTTTGTTTAAAATGAAGAAATCCAGAATTTTTAAATCACCATTTTATAATGTATTTCAAAACATTTTAAAAACATGGATATTGTTTCATAGTTTTTTCTCTCTCCCTCAAACAATTACAAGTTTTTAGACATATAACAATCACATTCTATGAAAGGAGTAGTGTTGCTGAGTAAGTACAATAAAATACAATGTTTTTTCAGTAGTGTACGTTGCTGAGTATGTACAATAAAATACAATGTTTTTTCAATGTCTTTTATCCTGCGCATCTCAATCTGTTAAAAAGGTCTGTCAGTCTACAGAATGCAGAAGAGTTGAACATCACCTCCACTCTCCTCAAATACATTTATAAATTTCACAGTGGGCTTCAGACATTATACTACAAATCCCTATATACCTGAATTTGAAACCACTTTTCTGTTGCTCTTACAAGGGGATAATTTTTCATTGTGACTTCTGTTCAACCCATGACCTATCTGGGCTGTGTGTTCAACCATGTAACACGTTATGCATGACTCTGACCATTGTTCGACCAAAAATAGCCTGGACAAATAATATACCCACTTTATGCTCCAGTCACTGCAAGTACCTGTAAATCTAACAGAGAGGGTACTAGTATATATTTCATGAAATAAACTAGGTTATTCTGTCTCTCACAGAAGTTGCACTGCAAAACTTTTTTGTGGGCTTTCTTGTATGGCACTTTATGTCCATTAACTGGAGTTATTATGCAATAGAGATCATACTGAGTTACAGTTTGGCATCATTTGACCACTATTTCCCATATTGCACATATCTTTGACCTGTCCAAGTCTAAGCACTGGGCAGTAGTGACCCACTTTGCTGGATCCTTTGTTAATTATTTAGTAGCACAATCCAGCAGAGAGTTCACAAAGAGATTCAGAAAAAAAAAGAAAGAAAAAGGACTGTAAACAGATTTGACCCAAGTCCCAGATGCTGCACCTATGCGTTCTACACAGTAAACACACACACATGCCTTGACCTTAATGCTGGGCAGAACAGCATACGGGATTTGATACTAAGACCACACTTTCATGCACAACTTTCAGCTAGTTCCCACTAATCAATACTATCCCTGGATCAAGCTCTAGCAACATTTAGTATTTACAACCCAGCTGTGAGTGCCTTAGTAGGTCAGGTTTGTGAGTATCAAGTTTAGCACAGAGAAAAGGCCTGACCCGCTTGCATACTTACTGGATCAAGCACAGAATGCTGCCTGTGAAGCCGACGTTTACTCTCAATGCTCCCCGTTGACTGTGCCCTCCTGCTCATTGTAAAACTATTGCTTTTTTAATCCCAAAAAACAAAAACATCCACATTGAGTATACTCTCCTGGTAGATCGCGTATGCCTGCCTCCTGACCCTAAAGCACACCTCTCGCACTGCTAACTCCCTCAGCTCTGCACAACTGACTGATGAACACAAGTCTGCTGTCACGCTATAAACACACACCCAGCCCGTGTTTTCACTGCCAAAACTGTGTTAAGGTTATAGAGTTCCACCAATGCTAATCTCCACAGCCAGGTCTACTGGTGTGAAAGAAAGGGAGCCTTTGATATATATATATATATATATATATGCACAGTGGGGCTTCAAGTAGAGTGTTATTGTCCGATATATAAAAGAATCTAGGTAGGGAGATGGACAAAAAGATCAGCAGAATAGAAAACTTTCAAAAAAGAGAGCAGTATCAATAAAACTGATACTGGGATTGCGCTAGCACTCGCCAATTTAGCCAAATGCTAAAACTGGCTTAAATTGGCTAAACAAAAAGGACTTAATTTAACGAATTTTAGTCAAATTAAAACCATTTTCATAACAAATTGACAAAAAAGTGATGATTTGGCTAAGCTAAAAAAAATTGCTAGCGCTACCCCAGTGATACATGTTATGAACTACAAAATGTACACAAAGAAAGATATATATACAACTGTACATGTATTTTAATCTTTTTTATCACCTAAAAGTGGATATTATGAGAAAACAAATAAAAGGACAGAATGTACATGTACCAGTATGAAAATAAAGACATAAGGAGATTACGTAGAATGCAGAAGAACAATGTGGACAAAAGAAGTCATTGTACAGACTAGTGATCTTTTTATTCAATAGAAAATCTAAAGCTATTTTAACAAAATATTAGAACCTTTTATTTTTTTAAGTATTTTTCTTATGATTTTTCATCTGTTTTTCTAGAGTATTTTACAACTTCCCTACAAATTGTGCAAAAATGTAATTGTCCTAAAATGTAATTTAATCACATTCATTCTCTACAAAATATAGAAATGTACTCCACATAAAAGCTGCAATAAGCTGCATTTATCAACAAAAACTTTCTGATGGCACTTTCATCACATTGTTATTCAATCTATCTTTCTTTATAAACTCCATTTGGCTTAAAAATGCAGCACGGGAATATGACCTGTGTATTTAACACAATTAAAGACAACAGGTATGTTCATCAAAATTATAATCAAGAACAGCTAGTGCAAGTACACCTTGGAGCACTTCACATTGCATCTTCAACAGTGTAACAATTAGCAACAAAGGCAAAATATTCCAGTCAAGGCACAACTTATCACATTGCACTTTATGTCAACTCAAAGAGAAAAAATATAACAATAATAAAGATTAATAATGAAAATAATTATAAATGTAAATTAAAAAGAAGCAAACTATCATAAGTTAAATAAGTGCATTAATGCCCCCTCACCACATTTTATGGCATTTTTTTTTCACATTTTCTTCAGTGCCCAATGTCAACTTTATCTTTTCATTCATTTATAATCAATCATTCATTCATAAGGCAACTTCCTCTTTTTTTTCAAGCGCAAATAAAATTGATTGTCTTTTTTTACCATTGAGCAAGCTGTCATGCATGACTTCCTGGCCTTCATGGATGACAGGCTTTTCAGGATGTGACAGTATGAGCATGAAATCATATGATTTATAATATGTCATGGCAATGTCACGGAAACAATAAAAGGCTTTTCAGAATCAGGGCAGCATTCAGATAGTCCAAATAGTAAGTATATGTATTTTGAATGACAGCTAGATAACATGATAAAGAAAGCCAGACAGTCTCCTTCAGTAAAGGGTTTACTAAACACGAGCATCTGTCAATCGATCAACACCAAGACTAATTGTTAGCCTATCTAGCTATACTTTGCATGACAAAACTTGCAATTATCATTTTGACTATCAAAATCATCCACATGTTGGGAGGCCCTTCCTCACTCTTGGTTCATAGAAATATTACACATCTGAAAATGTTTCTTTTCCCTGCACCAGCATCAAGTTTTTAGTCACATTATTTCATGATTATACTGTCTTAGATCAACAGAAATTGCAGTTTATGTTTTAGACTTAACAGTTTTCTTAGACTCCATTCCCACAGTTTTAGATCGATCTATCCCCGTGGGGAGTCTCACTAGATTACTGTCAGCTTAGCCGTCTTAAATATCTGTCCCGCCTACTAAAAGCTGTAGGGGGGGGGGGGTAATTAACTGTCATGCGCACAGGCTGACAGCAATTTAGCGTGAAACCCCAGGGAGTTAGGTTGATCCGGATGGATTGATCTAAATCTCTGGGAATGCACTCTTAATGTTGATCATAAACAGAACTTACTTTAATTCGCTTAAAAAATTTACCTCCGTATTCTTTTAATGCAGTCAAAAATTATGAAAAATCAAGAATAGATTTTACTTTATGTGTAATCAAATCATTCAATCCCAAATATTGTACCTACATCCACTTTAATAAGAAAACACTGATACAAAATATACAACCTTGCCAATAAACACCAGTTTTCTTCTTCTGGCTCTTGCAACAGTTGCACACATTATTCCAATAATTTATTCCTTCTTTGTTGTCTAAAAAAAGTTCTCTTGTTTCTCTGCAAAACTGTTATCGAAGTCTGCTGATAAACCTTTGTTACAATGGGAGCTAATCCTACATGTAAGCAGCGAGCAATTCAAATGACGAAGAGAATGTTCAGTGTGCAAGCAAAATAATAGCAGGTATTAATCAATAATGTTCACGTAAGACTTCTCTTAGATGCAAGTCTGTATTGTATGCTCTTCTGTGCTCTGGAAATTGTTCCAGCATTTATACTATTGGGAAAGCCCATCCCTTTTAGCCTTGATAACCTATAAATTCTATTAGATACACTTTGACGTCTTTTGTGAACATTTCTGAGGCCCTCAAGGGGGAACAAATTAAAAACAGTTTAACACATATAAACAAATTTGGCAACAACCATACACTTTTATTAGAAATTAATTTAAAAAAAACATTAATTAAAAAAAAATCCAATATTTCTTAAAAGCACACAAGGAAACAGTTATTTTGGGAATAAATGTTCAAGTAAAAGGGAAGTTTGGGTAAATGGATCAATATCCTGTTCTTATTTATGACCTTTGCTGTTGTTATTTAACCTTCCAGAAAATTGTATTGGCGTTGCATGTACTTAGTCAAACTGGACACACCAAATATTGTGAGGGTGGTGGTTTCCATCCTTCACACCATATCAAGATCAATTACAAACACTCTGTCTGAATTAAAACACAAGCACTCCTCTTTCATTTCCACTAACTAAAAATAATATATTTACCAAAACAATAAGGAAATTTTAAAAAAATTGATAGTGCATGTTTCATTAGCAAGTTTGGTGCAACATCACAAAAACTGATAAGTCTGCAGTTAAAATTTTTGTATGATCAGGAAGATTATGATACCTAGACAATCAAGTATTTGAAAAGAATTTTCTTGATACAGGTCACACAGAACACTTTTATCTAAAAATAGTAACTAATATACAATGTTATTTTTTCAGATATACATAAATGCCTGCCTAAATACCAGAATGTAGACTGCAATAATACAGATCACAAATAACCTTATCAAAATATTCCAATTATGCATAAAAATCCCTGTTTTTCAAGGATTTCAGGGTTAAATGTCAGTCACACAATTGAGATTCAAAGTACTTTACAGGTCATATCGTGTCTTATGCAGCAGCATCACCAATTTTGAATACAATCATAGACAACCTCAGAAGCAGGAACAGAGAATATGGAACACGTCATATCAGACTGTTGTACATGTAGCAGCCTAGCAAGTGCAAGCTGAATGTTTGTCCAATTTTTTTTTACTTCTGAAGTGCATTAGGTTTTATTGAATCTGCTACAGTATATATTCATGGGCATGAATGAGCTTGACATCTGTGACTGCATGTTAAAATAACTAAATAACTAAAATGTACGGAAGAGCACATGGCAATCTAGCTTAACATACTGGTCTTGATTTCCTAATGATTCTCAAGCAGGTAAAATTGTTTTTTTTCTCCCAAAAAATTGCATGCATATTTGAGCTGGGCTCAATGGGGTATAGTAAATTCATAATCAAATACATCATCATATATGTACTTTACTTGCATGCTGCAACTGCATCACCCTGCGTAATTTTATAGATATATTCATATTCAAAGGATAACTTGACTAAAGGGAAGATGGTATAAATTAATGTACATATGAGTACAGTATACATACATGTACTATGATGCAACAGTACATGTGCTGTACATGTGCTTTTGTTCTGCATATCTGGCCGATTCCAAGCAAGGCAAAACGACTGCACATTTATACTGCACATATACTTCGAAATACAATTATTAACGTTGAATGTACACGTTAATGGCATATTATATGTGAAGCTGCACTGGAGTACAAAGTTAATCAACGCCAATGCACGTAATAGTGAAATCAAATGTTGGTTGCTTGCGTGTACTTACTGGTACATGTACCACGATGTGTAGTACGAGTACATGTACCAGTAGCTAGTGTTGCCTCAGTTTTCAGCCCTACATACCCATTCACTCCGTGAGCATGTAAGGCCGAAAACTGAGGCAGTAGCTAGCCGCTGCTTTGCCGGCAGTAAATATATAAAGTCAGTAATTAAAAGCAGTTACGGGGTCCATATCATATTGAAAGAATTACCGTAAATTAACTCACCATTTCCATAACGAGATGCATATCCGATAATTAATACAACGGTTGTTTGATAATATTGGTAATGTTATCTGTTGTTATTTATGTCTGAGTCAGAAGTAAGTCGGTAACCCTGACCTAATTTCAGAGACCTGTCAATTCGCCATGCATGGCGACCCAAACTAGGTCACCGACTTTTAAGGGAGAGGTCATAAAAATGATAAAACTCAATCATTACAGAAATAAATCCATGGTTTTATTATTTTGTAATAAAAAGAAATACATCTAAATCTTTATGTATCACTTTACAGTTTCGTGTATTTATATGGAAACAAAAAACTTATTCTCAACTGAATTAATGTTATATATTTTCTTTGCTTCTCCCCAGTAAGTTTGACACCTCTGACACTGTTGATCACGTTTCATGTGCACTTTTACGTTTTCTTTTTGTTGAAGATTGCGCTTGAACTACAAACAAAACGTGATGCTACACCTCAATTTGAAAATGCTGTTTTTCACAATCAATTGTCAAATTTTCAGGACATAAAAATTTGTTGTTTACTCCTAAGTGCAGTTCCTGATTCAGTTTCTAGGACTTTCATTCACAGAGCTATAATTAACCCAGTCATTGCCTATGCTATAAGCTTAGTCCACATTTCATTCAAAAAATATTTTTCTTAGCGACTCTGGTTTTTAACAGTTAAAAACTTTAAAATAAAAAATTTTTCCAATACCCACATGTACACTGTACATTCCATTATCAATTTACTTGTCTATTCAATAAGAACTTTTTCTCTATATAGCTACTTATATATTCCTTTTTTTTTTTTTTTTTTTTTTTGAACACGAGAGTAGGTCAAATTTTAAGACCAATTTTCAGACTGTGAAAGAGATCTTCCCCAGTCTGTAATGCCCCCCCCCCCTCCCCTTCTCAGTCATGGGATACTTCAAGATAAAAGATGAACACAACTGTGGTATATGTGATATCAAATTGTGTTAGATGTGAAATGCGATTGCAGAGATTATTTGACCTAATTTACGGTGATGGCACGCTAGGACTGTTGATACATCTGTACGTTGCTTCCAGGTAAGGATAATATTCGGAATGCCACCATCACTCAGCAAGGTGACAACATTTGCCCTGCGGGGATGCAGGCACTCACTGTTCTCAGCTGCAAAATGCACCAATATTTCGAGACAATTCGGCACAATCATTGACAAAATCGACAATATTGTCAAGCGTGGACGTGCAAGTGAATGTGAGATTCCCAGACAATCAGATGTCGTGATCATTGGTGGTGGTTTGGTAGGCTCTGCTGCAGCTTTCTGGCTCAAACAAAAAACAGGACCAGGGGAGATATCAGTGACAGTATTAGAAAGGGATTTACAGGTTTGTCCTTTTATGGTCAATTCTATTGAGATTTACTAGAACAGTATTTACATACATTGTACTGAGTACATGTACCGTACATATTGGTGTAGTGTTTAAAAAAAAATTCCTTAGTTGTCTACAATAGTAATGATAATACTAGTATATGTATGATGAATTAATACTTTAAATATTTTCTTTTAATTTATATTTGTTGAGTTAAGCAGTTGAGTAAATATTTTTATCCTTGTGCTTTTACCCCTGCCCTTTAAATTGGCAAAACCCAGGTTGTGTCAGTGGAGTGCTGTTTATATTTATTATAGTACTTTGTTTCCTTTTCCAGTATACTCGTGCATCATCCACACTTTCAGTGGGAGGTATACGTCAACAGTTTTCATCTGAGGAGAATATTCTTATGTCACTGTTCAGTGCGGATTTCTTTGAAAACATTAAGGAGCACTTGTGTGTGTATGGTAAGGTCTTTCAAAATGTGTAATTTTTTCAGGATTTAGGCATGTAAGAAGACTCTACAGAACAGGCAAATTATGATCTCCAAGAAAAGATGAATTGATAAAATTTATCCGCAATAACATCTTCATGTTATGGATGCTGTCTACGTGGGGTAGTTTAACCAAATGCTGTATATACATGTACAGTATTAAACATCTTTACTAGATGTCATGAATTTGAGATTGAGTTTTTAAAAGTAATAGTAAATATCGGTAGGCTAATCAGTATCAGTATGATTGACTGATGCAAGTTCATGCATCCAGGTACATAGATTTACAAATAAAAAGTTTTAAAATGTACATGTAAGCATGACTGCACTTATATCAAAGAACTCAGTTACATGTATGTTATGAATTTATCCAGCATTTTGAAAACTTAACCTTGTTATTAAATTACAGTATAATTGTGTGATTGATTTACATTTCAGACTCTGATCAAGATCCTCCCGATTTGCAGTTCAATCAAAATGGTTACCTTATCCTAGCTGCAGATCAGAAAGCTGCGGTATCACTAGAAGAAGCAAATAAAACGCAGATGTGAGAATTAAATTGTTAACTGAGTGTGCCCCCCCCCCCCCATTCCTTCTCGTAGGAAACACAGATTCAAATTGATTTCAGCAATTAATGGGAAAGTTCAAAACAGAGGAGGATTAAATGTAATTAACCCAGTACTATATACTGGAGTACATTATAGGCCTATTTCAAATCGATGCTGCAGCAGAATGCCCTTACAAAAACAAATCTTCTCATTTAGAACTACATGTACATGGTTAGATTTGTTTATTTATAGTGAAATTTGTGAGAGCAACATTCTTTCTTTTGCAATATTTTATGAAGCATACCTGCTGTTTTTTCTGAATGACAGCATGTCCAGTAGGCAGTGAAAGCCCCCTTAAAATCCTGGATCTGTCCTGCTTTGTCTCATTATTTTCACTGTACCTATAGATTACAGGTCAATTAACATTGTACTGTATGTACATGAGAATTAAAGGTCAATTCCCTTAGTTTTGATAACAACATGTCATAATTAACTTTGCATTAAATCTAATGAATCAATTTATATTGAACAACATATATGTATAGTTACAACCTGATATAATTCTTGTTATATTTAGATCATGCGGTGCTAAGGTAAAGCTAATGGCCCCATCACTTATGAAAGAGAAATTTCCATGGTTAAAAACAGATGACCTGTTTCTTGGATCATTTGGTGAGTGTAGTGGAGACTTCTTATAATTATGTTATATGTTTTCAGTAAGACTTGTCCCATTTGCACCCTGAATATCAGATATATGTAAACTTACATTGACATTTTTAGTATCTGGAAACTGCAGAGGTATGTTGATAATGTAGGTGAGTTTCTAGTAGTCTTTGAAACTCAGGGTGGCCATTTCTTTGATCATACTGAAATCCAGAAGAAATATGCCTTATTATTAATGAGCATGTGAATTTGTCGCAGCTTAAATATGTGCAGGCAATATTTAATACAGTTACCCTCAAAAGTTAATTGCATTATCTCATACAGAGACTAGATATATGCAGGTTGTATTTAAATGTAATGTCTCAGTACAGAGTTTCTGTATGTAAGACTGAGAGAAAAGAGCAATATATGTGTGTGTGTGTGTGTGTGTGTGTGTGTGTGTGTGTGTGTGTGTGTGTGTTTATCTTTCAGGGGAGCTAGGGGCTTTAAGGACTTTGATTTTAAATCTCATTTAATGATGAAAATTTCTAGGTTTGGAAAATGAAGGTTGGTTTGATCCTTGGCTTTTATTGGATGCCTTAAGGAAGAGAAACCGTTCACTGGGAGTGGCATATGTCCAAGCAGAAGTTGTGGGATTTGACACATCGCCAGGGAGTGTAGACCATGTTATGGTGATAACATGTTAACTGGCACAAGTTAAAAATAATGACTGCACAATAAAAAACAAAGATATCATTAGAAGTGTAGTTCTAGATATTGGCATTAATAACATGTGATTTAAAAGGTGCTGTTGTGGTAGAGATTGTATTTTTATACTTTTTTTTTTTTGCAAAAACATTAACATATTAAACTGTTACATGCCCCACTGTCAGAGGCTGATCCAAGAGGGGGTCAGATGAAATTGAGAGGGGGAGGAGCCGCCCTTCTTGTAATGTTATGTCTATCGTGCGGATGCAAAGAGTGAATTAGGAAAGCAAGGCAACATCATACCCATGTGTCCCCAATTGTCAGTGTTATGTTGTATAATGTAGTTAATGCACAGGGCACAGTTGTAAATATATATATTCGATTCAGGTGAAAAATATGTATGGTGAAGTGAAAGAGATCCAGTTTGTTCACTGTGTCAATGCAGCAGGTCCCTGGGCAGGAGAAGTCAATAAGATGTTAGGGGGTAGTTTTCCTCTTCCAGTGGAGCCAAGGTACTCTCAGTTGGTAACACAAGTACCGTGAAGTATTGTATCATTAATTGGATGTATTGTAGGGAATATTATTATTCTGCCTTAAGTAATTCTTAGGTAATATAATGCATTGATTTGATTAACAGCAGACAGACTTGAACTGCATTACTTAAAACCAGTTTATACCTAAAATGACAGAAGTAAAACGTAATACAAAATATGGTTAATGATGATCTGTTGCCTGTGATTTCAATTATAAGATAAGGATTTTTCCATTGCTTAAGCCATATAGGTAACAGTTCTTTTTTATAAACTTGAAGGCTTTGATTAATTACTAATAGAAATCATCCTTTTCATTACTTCTTATGTGTCCTGATGTTCTGATCATGAGTGAAATTCCATTTTTCAGAAAACGTTACGTGTATGTCTTCCACTGTCCCAACGGGCCTGGTGTTGACTGTCCTCTGCTTGTAGACCCAAAGGGAGTCTACTTTAGGAGAGAGGGACTTGGGGGAAATTATATATGTGGAGGTTCCCCTACAGAGGTAAGACGGCGATTTTCATTGGTGGTGGTTTGGTAGGCTCTGTTGCAGCCTTCTAGCTCAAACAAGAAACGGGACCAGGGTATAGTTTTGTATCTTTCAAAAGAAACTAAGTGAAAATGAAACATTATTTTACCTATCATTTTGAATTATACAATTATATCCAATGTCATGTTACAATTGTTTCAAATAATGATACAACAGCCAGTTCAAATTTACATTTTTATTGTAAAGGTGAACATTTGAAAAATGTTTTTATTGATTGGCTCAGCTTAAGCTTAGAAAGAAAAAAAGCTGTGATAACCCAAAGCTTTTGTTTCTTTTTTTCCGAGTTATAAAACAGTAGCATATTTGAGGTAAATAATAACTAGAAAAATGTTGAAAAATATTTGTAAATTTTCTTAATTGTACTATTTTATCAAAGCATTTCACAAAGCATATTACATTAGAGTTATACAGTAATGGGTTTTATTTCCTACAAAACATAAGGGGGTTTAACTTTTTCCACCCAAAATGGCGACAGGTTCACATCAATCAGGTTTAGTTAAGGAGCTAATTTAGTATAAATTTCATGATAATAGTGTTTTATTACAGGAGGAAGAGCCTGATATTGCTACATTGGAAGTGGACTATTCATTTTTTAATCAAAAACTGTGGCCTATACTTGCAAACAGAGTCCCTGCATTTGAGAACATAAAGGTAGATACATTTTACTTTCCACAATTTAAAAGCTCTAAAAAACATAAGTCATCAATCCTCTTTCAAATTTATCATACTTAAGGAAAGATTAATTTTTAGCTGCAATATACTGTGAGAAATTTGCAGTTTTGTAACACCTTCAGTGCTTCACCCAGCATTCACCTAACAACAATTGATAATATGACTAAAAATATTGATTTTTACTTTTGGTCCATAGGTGAAGAATGCCTGGGCAGGTTACTATGACTACAACTATGTGGATCAGAATCTCATTATAGGCAAGCACCCTGAGTTCCCTCAAATGATTTTTGCTAATGGTTCTAGTGGCCATGGAGTTCAACATGCTATCCCAATTGGACTTGCAGTTTCAGAACTGATTCTGGAAAATGGTTATGAAACTATAGACTTGTCTTCGCTTAGTTATGAAAGATTTTGCACTGAAGGTGGTTCAAAGAAAGAAAAAAATGTGTATTAATATTCTGATTTTTAGTTGGAAATCTTGTAAATATATGACAGAGAGCGTGCAGGATACTTACATGATGCTGTAATGTTTTTATAATAAAAATTACTAATACCGCCATTTATGGCCGTAAGCACAGTGAATGTGCAGCTTACTGAACAATGCAAATTAATTTCATCACATTTATATGCAAATACATAAACTTGTGCTTTAAGCACCAGATGCAGCTGGATTTGTATCTTGAACTATAGATCTGATTTGTTATTTTGCATGTACAGAATGGTTATTTATCAAGTCATTCTTTTTATGTCATTTATACCTGCTGAATTCTCCAACTGATATATTTTACTGTATGAAGTACATGTAATAACACTTGTAGTTCTTATATTGTACAAGTAGTAGTAACCTAGCATTGCATTCTACAGGTACATCATCATGTATCCATTAATCCTTGGTTGAAAATTAAAAACTTTTAAAATGTGCATCAATCAAATTACTGCCATTGCACTGATGTTTGAATTCCACGAGCAGAGTTATCAATCACCCTGACACATACACTTCTTTTGGTATGACACATTTCTCCTGGGTAATGGCCACTTTGAGTTCAGCAATGGTTTGTGGATTGTTCTCATACACCAGGGGCGGATTTAGGGCGTCTTCTGGGTCTTCCGGAAGACGGTCAGATTTTCAAGTTTACATTGGCAGGTATCTAATTTTTTTCTGTCGGAAGACGGTCAAAAATGAAGAACGGATCAACAAAGATAATTTGGAAGACTGTCAGGAAATATCTCTGGATCCGCCCCTGTACACTGTACAAGTTGTGTCGAGATAGAAAAAAAACTTGGGTTTCAGATCAGGTGAATGCAGAGGCACATATAGGTGCCTGCTGTTCAGCCAATTAGGGAATTAATGATCGGGCAACTCTATCATGGTGTTGGCGGTATATGGAGTGGANCTGATCGTTATCTTGCACCTTGGGCCGCACACGTAGTACTCAGGTAAAGGTACGCTAGGGCAACATTGCCGACTGTTAGATCTTTACAAGCGCGAGAATAGCCCGGTGGCCGATTTTAAGGTGTACGAAATTCACGAAATCAAGATCGCGCAAAATTGCTAACTGGCCGAAATTCATGGTCCAGAAAAAACTCCAGGCGGCCGATTTTAAGATCGTTCGAAATTCAAGAGCCGTTCGAAATTCATGGCACTTTACCGTATAGTTTTGTATCTTTCAAAAGAAACTAAGTGAAAATGAAACATTATTTTACCTATCATTTTGAATTATACAATTATATCCAATGTCATGTTACAATTGTTTCAAATAATGATACAACGGCCAGTTCAAATTTACATTTTTATTGTAAAGGTGAACATTTGAAAAATGTTTTTATTGATTGGCTCAGCTTAAGCTTAGAAAGAAAAAAAGCTGTGATAACCCAAAGCTTTTGTTTCTTTTTTTCCGAGTTATAAAACAGTAGCATATTTGAGGTAAATAATAACTAGAAAAATGTTGAAAAATATTTGTAAATTTTCTTAATTGTATTATTTTATCAAAGCATTTCACAAAGCATATTACATTAGAGTTATACAGTAATGGGTTTTATTTCCTACAAAACATTAGGGGGTTTAACTTTTTCCACCCAAAATGGCGACAGGTTCACATCAATCAAGTTTAGTTAAGGAGCTAATTTAGTATAAATTTCATGATAAAAGTGTTTTATTACAGGAGGAAGAGCCTGATATTGCTACATTGGAAGTGGACTATTCATTTTTTAATCAAAAACTGTGGCCTATACTTGCAAACAGAGTCCCTGCATTTGAGAACATAAAGGTAGATACATTTTACTTTCCACAATTTAAAAGCTCTAAAAAACATAAGTCATCAAACCTCTTTCAAATTTATCATATTTAAGGAAAGATTAATTTTTAGCTGCAATATACTGTGAGAAATTTGCAGTTTTCTAACACCTTCAGTGCTTCACCCAGCATTCACCTAACAGCAATTGATAATATGACTAAAAATATTGATTTTTACTTTTGGTCCATAGGTGAAGAATGCCTGGGCAGGTTACTATGACTACAACTATGTGGATCAGAATCTCATTATAGGCAAGCACCCTGAGTTCCCTCAAATGATTTTTGCTAATGGTTCTAGTGGCCATGGAGTTCAACATGCTATCCCAATTGGACTTGCAGTTTCAGAACTGATTCTGGAAAATGGTTATGAAACTATAGACTTATCTTCGCTTAGTTATGAAAGATTTTGCACTGAAGGTGGTTCAAAGAAAGAAAAAAATGTGTATTAATATTCTGATTTTTAGTTGAAAATCTTGTAAATATATGACAGAGAGCGTGCAGGATACTTACATGATGCTGTAATGTTTTTATAATAAAAATTACTAATATACCGCCATTTATGGCCGTAAGCACAGTGAATGTGCAGCTTGCTGATCAATGCAAATTAATTTCATCACATTTATATGCAAATACATAAACTTGTGCTTTAAGCACCAGATGCAGCTGGATTTGTATCTTGAACTATAGATCTGATTTGCTATTTTGCATGTACAGAATGGTTATTTATCAAGTCATTCTTTTTATGTCATTTATACCTGCTGAATTCTCCAACTGATATATTTTACTGTATGAAGTACATGTAATAACACTTGTAGTTCTTATATTGTACAAGTAGTAGTAACCTAGCATTGCATTCTACAGGTACATCATCATGTATCCATTAATCTTTGGTTGAAAATTAAAAACTTTTGAAATGTGCATCGATCAAATTACTGCCATTGCACTGATGTTTGAATTCCACGAGCAGAGTTATCAATCACCCTGACACATACACTTCTTTTGGTATGACACGTTTCTCCTGGGTAATGGCCACTTTGAGTTCAGCAATGGTTTGTGGATTGTTCTCATACACTGTACAAGTTGTGTAGAGATAGAAAAAAAAAAAACTTGGGTTTCAGATCAGATGAATGCAGAGGCACATATAGGTGCCTGCTGTTCAGCCAATTAGGGAATTAATGATCGGGCAACTCTATCATGGTGTTGGTGGTATATGGTGTGGCNCTGTCAGGAAATATCTCTGGATCCGCCCCTGTACACTGTACAAGTTGTGTCGAGATAGAAAAAAAACTTGGGTTTCAGATCAGGTGAATGCAGAGGCACATATAGGTGCCTGCTGTTCAGCCAATTAGGGAATTAATGATCGGGCAACTCTATCATGGTGTTGGCGGTATATGGAGTGGACCCATCTTGTTAAAACCATTGCCCTTTTTGATTCACACCACATTCTAATTGCCCTCTAGAACTTGCTGAGCACCACAATTAAAGTACTACACTCATTTGTGACAGTGACTGCCTTTTCATCTCCTAGAAATGTGCTTGTTTTCTAATAAACAAAGCATCAACTAGGAAGTCGGAAATCTTTATGATCTTGTTATATGGTCATTGAGAACAATTAAGTGCTGTAAAAAAATGCATCCTTTGAGAAAGATCTTGACCGAAACTTAAAATGAAAGTTTTTTTTTTAATTATTGTTATATTTCAGCTTCCATGACAAGTAATTTTGTCTCAGTTTCTTGTATCAGTAATATATTGGGGGCATCTCAATAGTCTGAAGTTTCATTGGTCTAAAGATTCGTATCATCAGTTTTTCAGTAAAGATAGTACAGAGATGTCTGGCTAATTGGTGATAGGAAAGGGAACATGATTTAACTGTGGCCTTGGTAGAGTGTAGGCCTGCTCCCTGAATTTTCATTTTTGTCACATATGACCATGTACAGGGTAAGTGCTTCTGATTAACTTCTTTTTATTACCAGTATACTGGAAGAATCTATACTAGTAATTAAGTGTTATTGCAATATGCATAATTATAGATATTAAAAGGATAACAACCCTTTGTATGAAATCCATATTTCACAATGAAAAAACTGTAAACATCTCATAGAAATATTTATCTCATAGAAAAATTATTTTACCACTATAACTGTGGTTATTGTTCATATTGTAGAATTCATGCTTAATTATTGCATTTGGACCCAGTGACCTCCATAGATGGATATATATGTATACCCTATGTAATAAGCCAAACTTTTTAGAAAAAAAACTTCCATTGTTAGAGCGACTTTATTAACCATTGGATAATATGGGAAAATTGTTGTTTACCCCAAGAAAGTCCATTTTTGGCCAAAATGAACAGCTGTTGTCCCTTAATGGTGAAAAAATTAAATGAAAATTATGCATAGAATGTTTTAGATTATTTATTCTTGCAAGAGAATGAAAATGTTGAGAGGGGGCTATAGAACAAAATTAAAGTTAAAGATATTGATTTCTGAACAGGATTCTTGCGCGATTTCTAATTACCCCAAGAAAAAATATCACTGCAGCAAAAGAATGTAACCATCAAGTTCAATGCCCTCTGTGTGGGACTCGCTGTGTTTGGTGAGACGCGCATAGCACTCTGGGAAGGTGACGTAATGATTTAAACATACATTTGCATATAGTCGCCATTTTGGAAGCGAAAAAAGTCGGATTATTACTATCTGACAATCCAAAGAAATCTGTCGCCATCGGACAGCGGATTGTCCTCGAAAGAGCTATTTTTTGTCGCAAAGTGATCACCCACTCGAACGGCCCGTGGTGAGTATTCGATTTTCTAAACCGAAGCTTTGGGTTTGATGAGGAAGAAAGGAGAAACAATGGCGTTACCTTGAGAGGAAATGCATTTGAGTCCATTGTGTTGACTGGTCATTTACACAGTTATGACGATTACTGCTCCATGCTCTTAATGTCTAGAAGACCGGTTTCGAAGTAAAACATTTGTTGTTCGCAGCCAGTTATGTAGTTTTGAAGTCGTAGGCTTTTACCTGACGACCAATAACATTTTTTTCATAATTTTTCATCGCGTTCATTTTATACTTTGGTTCGCTTTTGTTGAGACCCATGGCACTTAACCAAAATGATGTTATCGATAGAAAAAGCAAGTATTTTAAAACTTTTCATTGATTGATGAGCTAATGTTAGTGTAGGAGAGGTTGTACGATTGACCGGGTTTTTTAGAACCACGTACTTGTGCTATATCTCGATTTTTATCAAATCTTGATTCAGTTTTGTGGCGACTTTGAGCAATGCCACTACTATTGAAATAAATTAGTATGCCAATTTACTTGATTTCTCCTATATTGTTGCCGAAAATTTTGTAGCCGAAAATATTATTGGTAGAATTTCTTATTTTTCACGTATCTTTGACTTTTGATAGGATTTTGTATTCCACTTGATTTGATCTCCACTACTCAGTACACTGCATTCTCCATCTAAATATTATAGGAAAGTATCAAAGTTATAGGACAGATAATATTTAGGCTAGAACAGGCTGAAGGCTTATATCCTTTTTAATCAGTAGAGATGATATTTCAGTTTTGTGAAAAACCCTTGAGGTGTTTCTCTTGAAGACTTGAAGTGAAATGCCCTTTGAAATATTGTCAATCAAAACAAGTATTTATATCAAAATGATTACTGCATTAATTAACAGCCTATGGCATTTTGTCAGTATAAAGTTAATGATTTTTAGGTGACAAGGGAAACCATGGCAGGTCAGAAAAGATATTATTTGGTATTGTCTGCAAGAGTGTATTGAGAATATGTTAATCATTATGGAAGTGAACTTGAGTGTTCCATAAAATCTTACATGGCAGATTTTAACCAGGTGATAAAGCTAATGGGGTCAACAATATTGATCCCTACATCAGATCTGTAAGACTGTACATTACACATCGGAATTTTTTCTCCAGGTATCACCAGGTCCGTTCATAGGGTACGTAAGGTACACAACTCAATGTGCTCTCCGACAAAATGTCCACACTTTCGGGGCTAGGCAGCAAGGGGGAGAAAAGCAAGTCAAAATTCACGTCGATCAATATCAATACAATATACAAGGGCAAGACCGTTGAGACCCAAAAGACTTCTGGTAAGTATGATGTTTACATTTTACACATCTATAAGTAGCAGTGCAGATGTGTGAGGGCCATGCATAAGATAGTGTATACACTTAGAATGTTTTACCCTCTATAATAGAATATTATTATTATTATTATTATTATTATTATTATTATTATTATTATTATTATTAATTTTATTATTATTATTATTACATGCATGTTCATTTTACCTGTTATAAGATTTGATGCTCACTATACCGTAGACATCACTTTTATTAGAAAGAGCCCATTGGTTTGGTACTAAAATGCAGTTATCTGAAATTGATGAACTGCAGGTAAAATGGTGTCATTGGTCTGAATTTCTGTCCATTTCTGTGAGACGAGTTGTATAAGTGGGGCTGTTTGTTGTACAGTCTATAATTGAATTTTAGAAAGGACTGTAGCTTTTTGGCTCTCCTTCATACTTAGTAAGATTTTCTGTTTACATGTATGGTTTTAAGAAAAGCAGACTCCCAAACTGTATATGAAAGAATATAAAATAAGGCCAGTTGTATTCTTTTTTCCCCCGATGCATGCCAGAATCCTGTAATATTTATGTGGGTGTATCAGTTAACTGTATGTTTTTGTCTTACTTCTATTAATTAAGAAGCTGTAAATTGATATAAATGTGGAAGCATATGGGAAACTGCTGTGTGCTTTGTTTGTAATTAAGTTAGTACTGATCCAGCATCAAGCAAGCTGTTGCACTCCAAGACACTTGACCTACTGGGCTAATCAAAGAAGACGGATGGCTTCTAGGATTATTTCATTGATTACCTTGAAAACACTTGGAATTTCAATAGTTCAATCGTGATTGTGCACCTAGCTCAGATGTGCTCAGCAGAATTGCTTGTGGCATTTGCTTTTAATTTACTCTGTGGATCAGGCTTCAAGTATGGATTAAGGTCATAGGAAGGATATTATTGAATAGCCGGAAAGAATATGACCAAAAGGCTTTTATCTGAAGAGGTTGTTGTGCAGTCTTTTTATGGCTTAGTGTAGACTGGTTTGATTTCTGCTAAGATAAGCCATTGTGACAGTTTAAATATCTAAAAGTTGAAAATTAAACATACCCTGATTGAGTAACTAAATAAAAATGTGATTTTTAAATACTTGTATATCTTAGCACACTCAAATTTTGGTGCCTATCTTTTTAGTTCCTCGTCAACATGGCTTACAAAGCCTGGGAAAAGTGGGAGCCGTGCGGCGCATGCCACCACCAGCTAATTTACCTAGTTTAAGGAGTGAAAACAGCGGAAACGACCCGAACGTCACCTTAGTGCCAACTGGAGGAGCAGGTAAGCTGGTTCTGCTGAAGTTTTTAATGTATCATTTTTATTGTACTCCTTTCATTATAAGATGTATTGAACTGAATGCTGTTACAAATGGAAGAACAAATGCTGTTGAAGTGAAGTAACTGGTACACCTTTGTTGCAGCATTATTGACTGACAAAGTTTGCTAAATTGACCAGATGTATAACTTGATATTTTTGCAGTATGTAAATTATCACATCAAGCTTTTAATGAAAAAAAAATTGTAGGTGGCTACATGTTTTTTTAGTTGGTGGAAGTTGCCCATGGCTGTTGGTTTCGCACACAACTTGCTTACAACCTTGTATTTGTCTAACTCACAGTTATTAGTAGTGTTGATTTTGCTTGTACTGTAGGATGGGGCACGAAGGAGGAGAAAGAGAGTGGAAGTCAGCCGCCGTCATCGCAGCAGCGGCCGGCTACCACACCACAATCACAGGGGCAAACTACACAGAAGGTATGGTTCATTCATGAAATATGTAGAACAAAAAGTCCCTATATGGTTAGATTTTTTATTGAGAATTTCGGATATAATAGGCTTTTGATATAAATTTTTGAAGATGGCACAATTTTAGTTTGTGATTACCATTTGTAAAGAAAGTTTCTCTTGAATTTTAGACACAACCTGGAACCGGTGCCATTGCTGGGGGCAGCAGCAGTGGTGCAACAGCAGCAGCTATACCACCAGCTGTATCAGTATCAGCAGCAACATCTGGGGCAAACAACACACCTGGAGCAGGAGGGGCAGGGGGCAAATCTTGGAGCAGCATCACCATGGGCAATGTAGGGCTTGCAGCAAACTTTGCCGCAGGACAAGAATCACCTTATTTTCAACAGGAATTTCCAAAACTTTCTACAGGTGGAGACGAAAACACCACACCAGGCCAGCAACAGCAGCAGCAACAGCAGCAACATCAAAAGGCGGAAGAAGACAAAAAAGAATCGGAATACGGACCAGGGCCAAGTTTAAGACCACAAAGTAAGCTTTCAGGCTGGACAGAGACTTTTAAAATATTTTTTTTCTCAATTGCCTTAATTTATATTAAAAACTACAATTCAAAATTTAACATAAATGTACTATCCATTTTGTTTTCATCATGTTGACAGTTCTTGCTAACAGAGTAAGTGTTGTTATTGCAGATGTTGGAAGTTGGCGCGAAGGCGGTGGCCGTGGAGTAGTAGCACAACAGCAACAGCAGGACTCATCATCCCAGAATGGTACTCCGACGTCCGGTGGCGGCGGAGGGACAGACCAACAACGTGACCAGCAGCAACAGCAGCGTGAATCCCCACAGCCGCCTCGCCCTGGGTCAGTTGAAGGTCGCCCGCAAGTCATGCCACCCATGGGCCCAGGGGGACCCATGATGATGCCACCCCATTTCCGAGGAATGATGCCACCGTACATGTATCCCAGAGCAGGGTTTCCAGGGCCCTTCCCAAACTTCCCTGGGATGAGGCCACCATATCCTTTCCCCGGGCCAGATGGGAAGTTCCGTCACCCTATGCCCCAGCAGCGGGCTCCACCTGCCGATTCTTCAGAGGAAGTGTACAAGAGGCCAGCCATTATCAAGGACTCTGATTTGAGAGAGTTTGATGAAATTATTAAGAATGATGACAATGATGGAGGCTGGGCCTCTGCACATGGAGAGATTGATTATACGTATGTATACTTGCAGGGTGGAAAATAATGCAGTAGGGGTTTTAATTAAAATGGATGAACCATTATGATAGAGGGCTTTAAGAGTTTTGGATTCTTTTTGATAATATGTATTTAAACAAAAGGAGGGTTTTTGTTTACACCAATTTTGATTAAGTCAAGGATGAAGCTTAACCCATAAAAACATTCATATTGCATATAATGACTTTTCTTTTCGCTTGCAGGGAAAAATTGGTGTTCAGTGATGATGAAGATTCCCCACAAACTCCAAGAGAAAAGAAGTAAGTTGGTTTACAGATTGACATGTTTGGAAAATTGTTGTCACATATACTTCAAAAGATTCTCACAAAAAAAGTTATAATCTGATGTCAGAGATGTTTAAATGAGTTGAAAGACCTACGTAAAAATGTTTTGAAATTTGTGTTATGTGCTTCAGGGAAGAGAAGGGAAGAAGTGACAGAGAGATGTTTGAAAGATCCGGTCCTACAGAGCCTTTTGACCGACAGAAAAGTCCAAGGGAACCCTTCGACAGGCAAAGCTCTAGGGTAAGAGTACACACAGCTAAACCCCATTACTTATCTTTTTAACTTGTTAAGTCCTTGAGAAGAGTTTCTGAAAAATTTTAAAAACTTGCGTCTGTAACAAGTTTGTATACATATAAAAAGTTAATAACAAGTAAACTAATAGCTTGTTAATTTAACTGTAGGAGGATCGCCCAATGCCGCCACATGCTGGATGGGAGGCACACGGGCCTATGGGATACAGACCACCCATGGACCAGGTATGAGAATTCTAAAATACTTTTATTGTACATCAAATGTTTCTCAATAAAACGGAAATAATTTGAGAAAGATGGATGATATAGTGTAATGTTGTAAATTCACTTACAGCGCCAGTGGCAAGGTCGAATGCCCTTTGATGCCACTCGTGGTCCCCCTCCACCTGGAGCTTATCCACCTCCACCCTTCATGAGGCCACCACCCCCAGGACAGGTAAGCCCTACTAGCCTATTAACTTTGTGCTCCTACAATGCAGTACATGCCTCTCCACAATGAGTATAACACAATGTAATATCTGAAGTTGGATCTGTTTTACTAACAGTTTGCTACATTGAGTTGATTCTCATGGTTGAAGAAAAGTTACTTGGCTTTTGTTCTAAGAAAAGTTATTTATCATATAAGTATTAAACAATATGCATTTTCTGTAGCTTAATGTTATTATTATTATCCAATAGAGACCCTTCCCACCCACTGGGCCAGGACCCCGGAGTCCAAGACACTCTGAAACTGATGAAGATGAGATGTGGCGTCAGCGCAGACGTAAGCAGCACGATGAAATGTCTGAGGCAGTGGAGAGGGCTCGTCAGCGCCGGGAAGATGAGGAGAAGCGTGTGGAGGCCGAGCGCAAAGCAGCAGCCCAGGAGAAGTTGAGAGCCCTAGAGGGCAAGCTGGGCAGAAGAACTGACTCGGTATGTTCATAAACTTGAATGGCTTTGGAAATGATGTGACATTCGGTTCTGTATGCTTGTCGTGATGCTTGAAGTTTTGTTTATAACCGAAAAAATTGTTAAATTTTGGAGTTTTGAATGCATAGTTTTAGTTCTTGTTTAATTTATCCCAGATTATCTTTTATATAGGAGTCAGAAAGTGACAGGGAAAGAGAAACAAGTCGGGAACGCACTATTAGTGAAGGACGAGAAAGATCTGTCAGTTCTGGAGAACGAGAGAGAACCACTAGTGAAAGCAGTGACAAGGCAAGGTCCCAGGTAAAAAATAAATGTGGACAACCATGGAAAAGAAAGGATTAGTAGAATTTACTTGTCTAGATATTCCCATTTTGATTTAGCAATTGTTTAGTGTACAACTGGATTTTACAGTTTTATTGAAAATGAGATATTAACTTGAACTTGTCAAAGTTACATGACCTCATCATGTTTACTGGTCTTCTCATTTCAGTCATCTCAGTTTTCCAAGCAGTTTGCCAAGAATGTTCCCCCAAGGTTTCAGAAGCAGCACTCCTCTGAGCCTCCTCCTCCTCCTCCTCCACCCCAGGGAGGCGGCGGTGGTGGTGTACCCCCACAGATGATGAAGGTTGGCCCCCCAGGTCCACCACCACCTGGAGCCATGCGTCAGGGAAGCAAAGGGCCACCGATACCTCCATGGTGGGGCTACATGCCACCACCTCACATGATGCCACCAGGTTAGTGCTAGGATATGACAGAAACCAAATATTAATATTATCAGAAAGTTTTTGATTTTAATATTTGTATTGTAAGTGCAAGATGGTAATCAAGGTACCTGGAACCTAGAATCAGAGAACTGTGCTGTTGATTTTTGTTTTTATGGAATAACTGATTTTGAGTAAAGGTGTCCTTCTTTGTTGATGTTAAATTTTATTCTACGATTACTGCATGTTGGTGTAGGGCTTAGTTTAAATTATAAGTGAGAGAGTAGGAGTGCATGCAGTTTGGTGCATGATGGTGTTAGTAAGAATAGTCCAGTTGAAGACCACCTGTGAATGTATTTTGTCCATGCATGAGCTTACTTATAGTTCTAGTTGTAAATTGGTTGGTCCTGCTGCTACTGTACTGATTTGTGAGGCATTGAAATTTTTCTGTACAAGGTGCTTGCACAGCCAAGTTGGACAGCACTGCACATATAAGGCAGAAGTCTATTTGTCACAGAATGCCTTTGTTTTCTCCTAACATGTTCTATGAAAAGGGATTGAATAGTTATGGTTTAGGTGTTGATTTGGGCGCTTACTTGATGTCGTAGTCTTGATGGACCCTTGTTGAATGTTGTCTGTTGTAGACGGGAATGGGATGGGTTGTTCACATTGGCATGCCTGTTTGCTGACAGCACATGGGTTAATCAATTGCTGCTTGCATGTTTGCACACCATTGCTTCATAGCTTCGACCTGGTGTTTTTTCGCCCGTCCAATGATAGGCAGATATGTCACTGTTGTAGTAACCCCCTTTTTGTTGTTGTACACATTTGGTGTTGTGCCTGTTGGAAACTCTTGACTTAACCAGAAGTGGCCTGTTGCCTTGCAGGCATGCCAATGTACCCTGGGATGCAGAGGCGGGGCCGCACAGATAGTCGTGGGGAGTCTGGGGACGGCCACCCTGACCATGGCCCCAGAACTCCCGAGTTTCCGCCCTATGACCGAGATCCGCGGCACTGGATGGACCGCCCTCCATATGGCCCCATGCACCCAGGTTTGTAAGGCCCACTTATTACAGTATTGTGTTAGGAGTGTTTGGAGAACACTGATTTATATACACTGCAGACAGACGGACAGGATGGTCAGAAATATTCTGAAACCCATATGTGTTGGTAGGGGTACTTAAAATTGTGCAAGGCCGGTTGTGATAGGGTTTGTGGTGTTCAAATGCTTGTCTAAATTTTTAAAGAAGAATAGACTTAATTGTTGCAGAAAAAAAGTCAAATAAAAATGGGAATGTCATTTTGCATATTTCTAGGGGCTTTTGAAGAGATGAGGAGATACTACGAGCAGCACTACAAGGAATGGGAAAGAGAGAGAAGAGAATATGAAAACAGAAGAGCTGATTTTGAAAGGTAAGAGTGAGAATATTAAGAAAAATTCTGGAATCCAAAATTTTTATGAGAAGAAATGTCCATTCCAAAAGCAAAACCCATGTCACACAAGTGTTCTTTTCTCCAAGTTTATGCAAATGAGTTTTTTTTTTTTTTTAATGATTGTGCAAATTACTCAAATTTCATAATTGAATCTCCTCTGTCAGGGATGGTGATAAAGGCAAAGAGGAAGAAAAGGAAAATGGTCCAAGAGAAGGTGAAAAAATCCCACGAGATATGGACAGGCCCAAATCTTCAGAGCCAGAGAGGGAGAACAGGAATTTGGATAAGAGAGACAGGGATGGCCAGAGAGACATGGGACCCAGAAAACCGCCCGTGGTGCAAAAGGATCCATTTGAAGATGGGTCCGACTTCTTTCATTCAAGAAGAGAGGATAGGTAAGATGGAGCCTTCTCAAACTTCTAAGATAAGGGTCAACCTGATGATGATTGCAAATATGACAGATGCTTTAGCAGAGAAGACAAGACTCATCACCCATCTTATTGATGGCTGCTCAGATGAGTCCATTTTAAATTGCTGAATCTCATATATAAATGTCAAATTGCTAAGGATGTGTATATAAGATCTTTAACCAAAATGGTTTTGTTATTGAGTTGTCTTAAGTAGACCTTGCCTTATATATACATTGTCTATTTTTCAGACAACCAGATCCCAAGAGCAGAGAACGCCATGACAGTCGTGAGAGCCATGGTAGCCGTGGTTCAGAACAAGATCGCAGGAGGGAGCGGCCCGACCGTGAAGATCGTCCAAGAGATCAAGATAGAGGAAAAGACTTCCCCTCTCGAAGAAATGACAGGAATGAACGTAGCAGAGAGGAGGAACGGGGAAGAAAGGAGGAAGCTTGGAGTGACACTCCTTTTCAGTTACCTGAGGAACATAGGCCACGGGGTATGCTTTTGATGAAAAAATGCAATAACCCATTTAACAAGGTCCATTTTAAAAGAAAAAAAATTATTGTAAGCATTGAACTTCATCTGGTTGCATGTTGCAGTTAAGAGCAGTGCCTGCATTTATCAAACAGACTGCCAAATATTCAACCAATACTGTTTCTGAACACTTAGTGTTGACAACTTTTCTTCATTGAAGGTCGACCAAATGCCCCAGTTCCCATTCCTTCAAAAGTGGCTGAGAAAAATTTACCTCCAAGGAGTAACTACACTTCTCTGAAGAGGTCCTCCTCAAATATTTCCACCAATTCCAGCAATACTGGAGAAAGGAAAACTGAATCTCCAAAACAGGAGAGTCCATGGGGAAGACCACCACAAAAGGACAAATCCTCCAGCAAGGTTGGTATTTCTTCACTTACTATAGGCAAAAATGTTCTAGCATCGAAAAATGTTGAGGGGACAAAAGGTCCATATCCTATATTGAAATACTTCTGTAATAAACTTAGTGTTTATCTTTCGGGAATCTCTCACCAAGTTATCACCAAAACTTTGTGTTTATCTTTCAGGAATCTCTCACCAAGATATCACCAATCAAAGAGAATAAGGAAAATGAAAAGCCACAAGAAGAAACAAAAGAAAGGGAGAAGTAAGTCTTTATACTTCAACTTATGTTGTTTTGACTCTTACGGAGTATATTAAAGTATATTGAATGTGACCAATTTTTACAGCGCCTATTGCGTTTCTGGTTCCATTTTCTAGTTAAATATATATTTGAAACTGACATGCATACTTTGAGACTAAAATACCAAGTCTTTACAAATAAACTATGCTTACACTTCTATTTATCCAGACCTAAGCAACGCGAAGATCCCAAAGCTGATGAACCCAAAGAGAGAGGAGACAGACCTAAGACAGCCACAGCATCAGTTTCAGACACAAAGAAAAATGATGACAAATCCAAGAAATTTGATCTGAAGGAAAAAGAGAGAGATGGAGATAAACCGCCAGTGAAGAGAATGCGTGATGATCGTGGGCCGCCAAGCAGCCGGCGCTACGATGAATATTATGATCGTTCTTCTAGTCGAGGCAGAGGAAGAGAATATGTACGAGGGGGTCGAGGTGGTCCAAGAGGTCGAAGTGGATACAGTGCTGTACGCGGAGGAAGAGGTCGTGGAGAGCGTGGTCGGGGAGGCTACAGTTACGACAACCGACGCGGAGGGGGACAGGGCTATGGAGAGGGTAGAGGAAGGTCCAATGAGTTGACAAAGGACAATAAGATAGGGGTATGGGACAACAGAGAAGCTGAGGTCAATCCTAAGTTGTCAGTCAAGGACCAATACGGTGATGAGGAAAGTGATGATTGGTTAGAAGAGGAGGAGACTCTGAGTGAAGAGACCTCCAGCAGCCGGGCAGAGGATTCCAGGGAGAGTTCTAGGGATAAGGAACTGAAGCCTGGGTCTAAGGACTTCTCAAAGCCCAGCCATAATTTGCCCCCTAAGAAGTCTGCCTGGGAGAGGAAACCTGACATCAAGCCAGACCAGAAGGAGGCTGATTACAAGGAGAACAAAGATGGTCACAACAAAGAGGAGAAGAGGTCAGATGGACGCCGCTCATCTCGCGATGGTGGACGAGGGCGTGGTTCTAGTACCTCAGCATTACAACGCGGTGGGCGTGGCGAGAGAAGTGGAGGAAGAGGAGGTAGGTTCTGGAATGAACCCAAACAACATGCTGATAGTAAGTTGCAGTTCAATATAGTGAAGCAGGGCTTGAAGAATTCTTTTGATGGAATTTGCCTTCTTTTTTCAAACCCAATTACCAGATAACGGATTTTAGAGCCAGCTTCTTTTGTCTGTATCACATACTTATTGTAGACATGAGAATTCAGTGAACATGACACTTACTGCATTTTGTATGAGTTAGCTATGGATACAAATTCATTTTTTTTTTATTTTGCAATTTTACCCTTGCTGTTAAAGTATGTTGCTTTGGCATCTTTGTCATTAAATTTCAGTATAGATTCTTTATTATTATTATTATTATTATTATTATTATTATTATAATTATTATCCTTACCAGGTGGATATCCAAGAGGTGGCCGTGGCGGAAGGTTCTTCTCTGCTCCACCAAGGCCTTACAGTGGTCATAACAGTGCTGGCTATGGCCGGCCACCAGCCAAGCACAGTGCATCAGCCACAGCTTCTTACAACTCCAAACAAGATGAAAATGAGGTGGAAGACACGCAGAACTTGGTTAGGGAAGACAAAGAAAATGTTGGAGACAGAGAGTAAGTGATTGGGAACATTTTCTTATTGTTTAGTTAATGCATGGCAGTAGTCAAGGTTGAAACTGATTATGGTTTTGACTACCTGGAAAAGATATAACCTAAACAAATTGCTGAATTTTGTGTTTGTGTCTTTTACTTCATATCTTAATAAATTTGAGGCAATGTCGAAGGACTGTGGTTTATGATGAGACATCTTCACTTTTCACTAGCTATGACTACAGAAAGGGAGACAAGAATTACCCACCTAGGTATGGTGGAGGCAGAGGTGGCAGCTCTGGTGGAATGGGGCGTGGCAGAGGCGGTTACTCTGAGCGCTCACGAGGACGAGGCAGAGGTCGCGCTGGCAGCTACTCAGCAGGACGAGGCAGTGGGCGTGGCAACAAGTCCCAGCAGTTGAACAGATCCAATTCCTCAGATGTTAATGCCAATGACCAGGAAGAGTGGGAGACTGCCTCCGAGAGTAGCGATGTCTTGGAGCGAAGCGACAAGCAGGATTCAAAAAACGAATTTAAAGACAACAGGGACAGAAAAGAGAATGGCCCCTTCAAAAAGAGTTTCTCTGGCCAAAGGCCTGTGACTGACCGCACTAATCGCCGTGCAAATGGTGCAGATAACTGGAGGTCAGGCGATAGAAACAATAGAAAAGAGAAATCACCCAGTTATAAGGCTAATGGGACTGCTGGTGGGGGAAGGCCTGGAAACCCTGGTCCAAGGAACAACAAGAATTCTGCCAAGAAGGAAAACGTCAGTGTATACAGAGTGGATGAAATCGTCCCTGATGATCCTAATGCTATTAGGAATGCCCTGAGTAATCTGAACAACAAGTAAGTAAATTAATCTTAATTAGAAAAGCTTAAATATTAGCAATGATGATGTGTTAGAAAATCTGTCAATCCAATGAATGGCTATGATATAGAAATCTAACCCTACTCTGAGTTAACTGTGTGATTGAGGTTGGGAGATTTTCATAAGCATTCTGCCCAAGGAGGGGCACTTTTCCAGTGCTTATCAATTAATAGAATATTTGATATTTCAAATGTTATGCTTATGTTTGGTGAAAGTTTCCATTATTTCTTTTTTAGGAATAAAATGACCTCCAAACAATCTGGGCTGTCAGATGTATCCAAGCCTTTAAAAAATACCCAAGAAAAAAATGAAAAGGACAACAAGAAGGCTGATGCACTAGCAAATATTGATATTAACAATTATGCCAGTAAGTTTTGTAAATTTTAAGTATGATTAAGTAGTTATTATTACAGGTAAATATAACCAACAGATCTTAAAGTGTACGGTACTCATTCTTGAATACAAAAGCATTACCTGGAGAAAAAAGAAAATGTATTCCGTCAAAATATTTTGAGCAAGGGATCCGTTTATAGAAAGTTATCTGCAGTTTGATTTCAACTTTAGACCAGTTTCCAATTGGACTCCTCCAGTTGTACTGTAATTGAAGAAAAAAAAGGAAAAGTCCTACTTTCCATGTCGTGTTCTTTGATAAATCTGGTCCCAGTGTACACAAGTATTCAACTTTCCCAGATAACCTAATTCCTGGTTTCTTTAAGGTGTGGTGGTCATAGATGACCAGCCAGAAGTGACCATAGATGATCCAGACTTCCTGTTTGAAGCCAATGAGGGCTTTCAGGAGGTTTCCTACAAAAAGTCCACTAAAAAGACAAAAGAAACACTGCTGACTAAGAAAGTCTCAGATCAGAAGGGTAAAAAGGAGAAAGACCTGTTGTCAAAGGTAGGAGCAGTTGGCTTTCGTGTATTTCCATCTTTGTGTTTGCTATGATGATGTGTTAGAAAAATCTGTCAATCCAATGAATGACCGTGATATTACAATCTAACTTGACTCTGAGCAAACATTTCACCACTATTTTTTGTAAATGGAAATAGAACCACATGTCAAAGGTTGGAGATATTTTGTATTTATCGTTTGATCACCACCAAACAGAAATGATTACATTATTGGTTATCTTTTAAGGTGCTGTCCTCAAAGCCAAGAGTAGCAGCCTCCCCCATAGTAAATTCTGGTGAGAAACTCAGCGGCGGTGGTGGTGGCAAGTTCAGCAAGCTGCCCCCAAGACTGGCCAAGCAGAAAGAGCAGAGAGAGAGGGAGCGTGAAAATAATAAAAACAACAACACCAATGTGTTCATGCCAAAGATAGAGAACTGGGATAACGAGCTGGCCAACAACATTCCAATGTCAGGGGGACCTAGCATCATGGAAGTGGAGGCCAAGCGTAAGTTGTTTATTTTAGCCATTTGTGGGGATATAGGTAAATGTGTACCGTTGTTTGGTATAATTTAAGAATAAAGTAGGAAACGCTTTGAGCCAGATGATGACTTTCAATAAAGCAGATGCCTTGGCAAAGAAGACAATACTCATCACCCACTAGACTGATGGCTTATCAATATTTTAAGTGTATGTAAATGTAAAGAAATCACATCACAAATAATTTAATTCCTTGATAAGATTTAATTTTGATAATTATAGAAGGTTACAGCTATTTTATTTGTGTTTCTTTCCTTGTACAGACTCCCTAGCCAGTGTAACACCCTCAGTTCCAACCAGCCTGTTGCCTAGCGTGCCGGTGAATGCCTGGGACAAACCCATCACCTTCTCTGCTCAGATGGGGATAGCTGAACCGCTGGGAGAGCAGAAGTTTGACAAGAATGATCAGCATGACAGTGGCATTGACATGAACGACATGAACAATTCTGCTCCCTCTTCCAGAAGGAGCTCTCCTGGCAATGAGAGCAAGATAGCACAGGTATGACTGGAATGTGTGGCTGTGAGCTCAGTTGTGAAGTTCTGTAGACTTGAAGAATTCAGCCATATGATGACTTACAACACAGCAGATGCTATGGCAAAGAAGACATAACTCATCACCCATCTACCTGATGGCTGTACTTATATTTAGTTTTATGCCTCCTTCATGAATACATATTTCAAGCCATTCTATTACTTATGTTTGCATTTTACTGCCTCACTTGCTCTTTATTTTGTCCAAGTGCCATTTGAAATGATAAATCTATTTGTTTACAACTGAAATGAGTAGTAATCGGTACATGCTGTAAACTTTGCAGCTGAGTGAAGAGTTGGCAGCTGATGCTCTGAGCAGTGCCACATATGATGCTGTCAAACAACAAGAACACCAGTCCAAGGGTGCTGGAAACAAGGCAGAGGAACTTAGTCGCACACCAAGGAAGGAGAACAAAGTGGAGCCCATCCAGTTTCCAGCTACATTTGGCTCTTTCAGCCTGTCGCAGGTAAATGGATTAGGTGCTTTGGGCTATGTCAACCTATGGTTTGACAAAAAAAGAAAAAGTTGAACTAAAATGAAAAACTGAGATCATAATCAAAAACAAGATCAGTTTTTTTAATGAAAAAATTAGAAAACAAATTAACAGTATTCATATGCTTACCATCAGCCCTTATAACTATAATCTAAATAAGCTGGTGTGTTATAATGGCTTGTTATGTTTATAGAACGAAGAATCTGCAGAGCTGAAGCTAGAGTTTACCTTTGACGAGGAGTTGGCCAAGCTTGCAGATGATCCCACAGACAGTAAGGAGTCTAGTGGCATAGTGAGGCCAGGCAAGGGCAGCATGTCCCTGGCACAGGACAAGATGGCAGGACCCCTGTCTCCCAACTCCCCTGCCTCTGACCTGGGCATGAAGATAGCTGCTGTGAAGAGTATGTGGGAAACACCCATGTCCACAGTGTTTGAACACGGGTATGTTGAAATTGACATAGTTAGGATGTAGCAAGACTTAAACCAGTTCAGAGGATCTGTAGAATGTAGTTAATCACGTCTTGTAGGCACGTGTCATTATTTGCAACTCTCGTGCTTGGTCATTTTACGTAAATTAATCCAAAATAATCCAAAACGGTTCCCTTGACAAGATGTCTATTTCACAGTGAATCTCTCTTAAGTGATCAAACTAGCTCTTTGAAAATTTTTTTCTATTAAATTCCTTTATGGTTATAATTTCAGTGTCCACAGCAGTGCCATCACCACCAGCACCAGTTCAGTCAACAGCAGCACCGTTGTCACGTACTTTGACAATAACATAGATGGCAGCAGCAGTGACATCTCCGCTGAGGCCAACATGGTCTCCACTGCCATGGACCTGAACAACACAGCTGCTGTAGCCGCAGAGATGCTGACCAACGCCAGTCTGGCCAGCAGCAGTCAGCAACAACAACAGCAGCAGGTGGTCAGTGGACAGCAGGACACCAGCATGGGTGATATGGTGTTCTCCGTGGCCATGGGGGAGGCGCCCAATGTGTGCAAGGTGCGTCCACAGCAGCTGCAGCCGACCAGTGACTCCCCTAACATTGGTGCCCTGGTTGACGTGTCTGGGAACATTCCCAGCCCTCCAGTGATCATCACTGTGTCACAGTACCAGCCTTTCCAGCTGGGAACTCAACTGGTCACAGACACTAGGGTAAGGGCCAGGCTCAGTGAGAGTTTGATTTTGTCATATCAAATGATTAGGGAAGATGTTTTCAACTTGTCGATGAATCGAAAATCTGTTTTGGGATTTTATTTTTGCGATATGCACCTGTCATTAAAACTCTTTGTGATGTTGATAATAATGGTCAATCCAACCCTTGCATGTGTAGAGTAAAGCTTTAAAAATGAGCTGTTTTTAAGAGACAGGCCAACTGTTTTTGATCATTGATTTATTTTAATAGAGCAGCAAATCTTTCTTCTCCAGTACTCCCAGCAGAGCTATGGGTTCAGTTTCTCCCAGCCTCCACAACCCCAGCCCCAGGCCCAAGCTGCCTTCAGCCAACCCAGCCTCTTCATAGGCTCTGCTCCACCACCAGCCCAGAGTGACCTGTTACAGAACTATCCTTACAGCAGGCAGCCATATGGCCAGTCACAGCAACAGCCCTACGGTCAAACACAGCAGCCCTATGGTCAAAATCAACAACCTTATGGTCAGTCACAGCAAACTTTTGGTCAGTCACAACAGGCCTTTGGACAAAATCAGCCGGCATTTGGGCAGTCCCAGCAAGGCTTTGGACAGGCCCAGCAACAGTATGGCCAGTCTCAGCAGAATACTATTATGGTGTCCTCTGCCACCACATCTCTGATGTCTGCGACCATTAAACCGCCATCACAGAATGCCTTTGGTAAGTGCAACAAATTGTCAGATTTGTTCACAATCAAGTGGTATCGTAGTATTTCTCTACAGTTATTGTAACGATTTATGATTGTGATGTGCACAGATGAAAAGTATTCACTTGTATGTGTGTAGCGGTTAATTGTAAGGCATTCTTTTCTCAGGTAATCTGCCAAAGAACAACTCATTCAACTCCCTCCAGTTTGGACAGCCCCTCAGCAACAGCCAGTCCCAGCTGTTTGTCCAGTATGAACCTGCTGTACTGGGTGGGAGTCAGATGTTGGGAGGGACACAGCCCCCCACGCAAAACATGAACCAGAACTCCTCTCAAATCATTGGATCACATACGGTGCAACAGAGGTGAGACTTTCCATTGATGTGTTTTTATGGGTATTTAAAGGATTAAAAACATTGGTGTCAGTATTTTGTGTAGATTTGAAAGAGAGTGTGTAATCATACTTTCTGTTATTGTTTTCAGACAAACTGTGCAGAACCTGCAGGCAGTCCAGCCTCCACAGACTTCATTCTATTCCCAGCACCACAACCAGACCCCACTGTCACAGACTGGCTTCTACCAGGCACAGCAGTCCTCTTCCAATCTACAGGTGAGCAGTCGACCAAGTCACTATATGCGCATGTACATGTGAGCAAGTGGTCAACATTGAACAGAAAATGGTGGTGTTTAGAGACCGATCAGCATGAAGAACACTCTTGCTGGCACATGACTTTAGTTAAAGTAATCTTTCCTTCTTTCTCTATCAGACATGAAACCTGTCCTATTTTAATGGTTGAATTTTGTTTACAGCAAGGGCCTATACAGCAAGTGACTGCTCCCACACAGTATTCAGTCCAGGGCTTTGGAACTCAGATCAACATCCTGCAGCAACAACAGCAGAACTCTGGCCAGCCCGTAGGACTGCACGGCCCAGCTGTTAACATTGCCCCAGGGGCACCTTCTGCTGCCACGCCCTCTGGTCAAATGCCTGGCCAGTTCGGCTTGACTGGAAGCTACAACTCCTTTGGTTTGTCCTCGCATATCCAACAGCAGCAACAGCAACCTGTTGGATCCAACAAAGGCAGTATGAAAGGTTACAATAATTATCATCATCAACAGCAGCAGCAGCACCACAATGGGTCTTACAATAAACCTGTGGCTGCAGGTGGGGATGGGTTGTCTGGGAAGATGAGCAGCAGCCCCAGCCCAAGAAATAGTAGTGCGCCAAGCCCTAAAACAGGGAATGCCCCTAGCCCAAAGGTAAGGAGACCAGCCTTTAATAAATCTGTCTGTTGTTTACTTTGACCATTGAAACCTGATTAAATGTTCCTTCTATTGAGTTTTTGGCCCCTTTCATGTAATTGATAAACAAAGCTTGGCACAGGTGACTCATTCTTGAATGTCTTTCTCCTAAACCAGGGAAAGTTCTCTGCCCAGAACAATAGCAAGCATGTGTCATCATGTGTCAATAGCAAGACCTCGACAACATCAACAGTGGTAACAACACTGTCGTCCAGCAGCAGCACTGTGAGCAGTAGCAGCAGCACCACAACAACCAAGACAACCAGTAAACCAGCTGGAAAGGATGGTGCCACTAAACCTGGTGGTGCCAAGGGCGCCACTGATGGTGCAAACAAAGCTGCAGGTGGCCTGCAGTCTAACAAACAGCAGAAGTGGAGCTCTGGCCAGAACAAAGGACCTGCAAGGCCACAACAAAATAGAAATCAGTTTGGGGGAGGACAGAATTTTAACAATGTGAACTTTCCATTTGGGAACCCACTACATCCAGGTAAAAAGGCAACAGTGTCCAATTCCCATTGAAATGAATTGTCATGATATATTGAAATGAATTGTCATGATATATGTATCAAATTTTTTTCATATCATAGAGGAGTGATTCAGTTTGATATCACAGTTACTACCAATAATTGAATTTCACAACTGCCATAGTAAACATTATGAAAATGTCATAGGATTGATGACTGTTTTTGCCTTAACTTCTGCCTTCGTTGTTTTAGGAATTGTACGCCAGAATCTTCTGATGGGAAACATGGGAATGAACATGATGCGTCATCTCACACCGCCCGGGAATAGTGGTGGAAGCAATACCCGATTCCAGGCTCCAGGTGGGGGGCGCCAGGGTGCAGGCAGTGGTAACGTCCACCAGCAGCGCCCAGATCAGCGCAGTCTTAACAACAAGCCAGATAAGGCCAGTGCCATCAAGGCACAGCAAGCTAAGCAACGTGAAGAGTTGCTGAAACACACCATGAATTTCCTGAACCCACAAGGGAAAGCCAAGGCAAAAGAGGGCACCACCAGTGCCCCAACCTCAACAACGACTACTTCGACAACTAGTAAAGCGGTGGATAAGAAACCGGAGGAGAAGAGTGGGGATAATGCTGCAAAGAAAGAAAAAGAAGGAGAAAAGAAGTAGAGCAATGTCTCATTATTTGGAATATTAACTTCTTCGTTTCACAAGGATTTTACATTTCAAGACAAATGTTTTTATGAGAATGAAGATTATTTGAGACTCAACAACATTCTTACTGAAGGATGTAAACAGTATAAAACTGACATTATGATCCAGTCGTGATTCAGGAAATGAGCCATCTTATTTAGCATTGAAAAGCAGGACGTTACTGTTATTTCATGGACTTGGATTTAGAACTAATTAAAGACGACATGGATATATTACTATATTATCTCAAGACCCGAGCCTTTTGTGTGATTCACTGTTAAAACATTCACCTAGAAATGTGACTGCTTATTGAGCTTAAGAAAGAAGGATGGCTTCTTGGACTTGTGTAGAAAATGGACATTGGACATGATCATTTAAAAAAGAAACAAAGTGATAGACTTTTGGTCCATATCGATCTTTTCAGAGCAGTTGGAGTTATAAATATTGTTATTCCAAAGGACATTCATGTGGGATACTTTTATAACAAAAACTGAATTGTACTTGACATTATGTAGTACTTCTTGTAGATAGAATCATAGGGAGTTGTTTTGAAAAGGAGGGTTTTATACAATATGGGGGGGAAAGGTGAAGGGATTGCCCCAAGTAGTAATGAAGGTGTGGGATAAGTAAGGAAGGTAAGGAGACTTGCAACAATTAAAAAAATCTAAAGGATGATGAGAGCTCTTGGAGAATATTTGAAAAGGGGGGATATAGGTGCGAGAAGGGAACCCTCTGAATTATTTGAAAACGAGAAGAGGGTTTGGGTAGAATGGATCTCCTAAATTGGTTGGAAATGTTGGTGTTTTTAGACAGTTGAGGATAAGAGATAAATTGAGATTTAGATTCAGTTGAGACATGGAGAAAATATAAGATTAGGTGGTGAAGAAATTTGCTAGGGTACACAGAATGAGGAAGTAAAATGTTGGTGTGTGGTAGATGCTCAATTTTGGAGCTGCCAGTGAAGGGGTGAGACGTTGATGTCTTTGTTGATGATGAAATGCATAATGCATTAAGGTGAGGGAAAAGTCCAGTGTGGTTTACTGGATCACTTGGTCAAAATACAAGGCCTCGGCCACTTGTGGCTTCATTCAGAGCCCTGATGTTGTCCAGCCTGCAATATGGAAGGCTTTGGCTCCTATCTGTGGCCCTAGGCTGTAGTTATGGTATTCATGTTCTGCCCCAGGAAGGGGTGCTATTGGTGGTGAGATAATTCTCTAAAAGGCTGATGTCTTTCTAGTTGAACACAATTGCTGTAAAAGTAAGGCGTTTTCATGTTGGTCAATAACTTAAGGGATTAAACGAGTCCATGGGAAGTAATGAGGAAAAAAAATATGAAAATTTAATGGACAATTCTGAGTATGAACAAGTGGTGAGCATTCTTGAATTGCTGAATGCCAAATCTTACCAAAAAAAAGAGAAGCCCAAAGAAGGAGGTTGAATCCAGGTTAATAAAAAAAAATGTGTAATCTAAGATGTGAAGGAAGCTATACTGCCCCTATAGCTAGGAGTGTAGAATTTGAACAAGGGAAAGATATTCCCATATAATGAGGTTCAGAAATGATAAAATATGAATCAAATTTAAGCTGCCCATTGAGAAGAAATGGAAGCACTATTTTAGTGGGAGTGTGTGTCCGTTGCGCTGCCCCCGTGTCGGACACTTAATCACTCTATATTATTGTGTAAGGTAAACAAATTAATGTTCAGTTGAAGATGCTCGCCACTCTAGCAGGAGCAGAAACTTGGTCTGCCCCACCAAACTGCTAACCTGCAGGTGGCAGCACTGCACTTTAAAAAAAATCGAAGCATGTGTTTTCTTTCTGTGTATTTATTTATCATCATTGTTACTATAACCATTAATTAACAATAGTCGGTGCAAGGAGGCCAAGAAAGGTCTTCTGCTGGTTTGGGTTGAAGTACATTAGTATTCACTATAATTGGTCTTTACCTGACCAGTTGTTTAATTTCAACACTTGATTGTGGAACTCGAATGTAAGGATTTTAGTTCACAAGCAATGTATTCTGTTTTAACTACATTTCCAGCATTGAATAACAGGGCATGCATTAACCCCTTCCTTTCTATTTAAGAGGTGTACTGTAATACAAAGAGGGTGAAAATGGCACTGTATTTGGTCGTGGAGTATGCCAGTAATATAGTTATGAGCACTTCTGTGCTTCAATACGCGTTTAGCTATAACCAGTAAAGTTGGACCTTAGTTGGTTACCGCAGATCTGAGTGACAGCCCATTATTTCATACTCCAGCACATTATAATATTTTTTTTCCGGATGCTTTATCCCCAGGTTTTTTTGTACTATATGTTGCATAGCAAAATGTTGGATGGAGAAATAAAGTTGACTTCGTATTGGAATATGATGAGAGTGTGGCATTTTGTTATTGGTTTTGAATATATATAATTGGTTTTATCTAGGCCATTTACCGTTCCTGTGTTTTTACAGTTAAGGAAATGGGGCAAATTTAAGGGTAACTTCTCCGATTTATAGGATTTCCCATTCATGTTCTATATTAACTATGGGTGTATCTGTTCTAGTTTTGGAGATGCCAGGCTAAAAAAAAATTATAAAAGTTAATTTCATCAAAAGGAAAGTTGGTCAAAAGTCAAAATCAAGTCTGGATCCTTTGATGATGGTATAAGAAATTTGGTTTTTATTACAGTTCTTGTACACTATATATTGTAAGTTACCAAACAAAATGGGTACTGCACTGCTTGAATTTCAACATTTTGCATGCTTATACTTTACCACAAGGTTTGGACGTTTCACCATTTTAACTAAATTTTCAAGACACTTTACCTTCAACATATGACCTTGGCCAAGTCCTTGAAATTCTCTATTTGAACTATTAACAAATCCTTCAAATGAATTTTCTTAGTTTTCACTAGTCAAATATGTATGTTCATGTTAACAATGTATTGCTTTCATCAATACAAGAGAATGTATAATATACAGCAGCCAACGAATCTTTTTCCTTTCCTGTTATGGGGGAATTTTTTTGCCTTGGGGGAACATGCAACTAAAGAGCAAAACTTGATGCTGATATGCAATTCTTATTCATACATACATATATATATATATATATATATATATATATATCAGTCATAGTTTTAAACTTTTCAGAAAAATAACCTTATCAAAATGCCCACCATTCTCACTGTATTTTCTTAACTAAAATAATTACAAGAGCATGAATCAGTGAGGATACAGGATTAAAGGTGCATTACAATAAACAAAAACTGAAATCACACCATAAATAATGAACTGTATAGTTTAAGTGATAAAAATCTCACGCCTTCATGTGTACCCACATCATGCTGTTTTAAATAAAGTGTAAAAAAAAAAAAAAAGGTTTCCAAATTCCACAGCATGCCTTTCCAGAGCAAACATTCTCCTCTTATTAAGTTGAAAAGAAAAAAATCTCTTCCCAGTTATATACAATTTTTCAATTTACAAATTTTATGAAATGACAATTCCATTCAACAGCATTTAGTTTTTCAATATAACCCAGCACCAAAACTTCAAACCTTTAGATGTACATCTAACATCATTGCTGGTTCTGTTTGCATATCAGCATTTCTGTGGGGAAAAATAGTTAACAACATATTAGAAAATGGAATTTGAGCGATTTTCTTTTCTTGAAGTGTTATTTACACTAGGTAATTTTAGAATTAGTTGCAGCCATACACTGAGACTAGCTTTAGAAATGTATCTTATCAAATTCATCTGGCCATGCCAAACATAACAATAACCCTTGTCATATTTAAGACCCCATTCCCATAGATTTTAGATCGATCTATCCCTGTGGGGAGTCTCACTAGATTACTGTCAGCTTAGCCGGCTTAAGCATCTGTCCCACCTACTAAAAGCTTTAAGAGGGTAATTAACTATGGTGCGCACTAGGCTGACTGCAATTTAGTGTGAACCCCCAGGGAGTTAGGTTGATCTAAATCTAAATCTCTGGGAATGCACCCTAAAAGGGTATGTACATAACTACATAACACACATCTAATACTTCAAAAGTAATATTCCATCGAAAATCAATCACCTGTACATTTGAAAGATGAAATAATTCAAAGGTTACTTCCACAAAGTTTGTACCACTTAAGCTGTTTAATTCTATATATTCAAAACTTGTTATTCTGTAAGGTCCCATGTGGATAGCTACCTCTTGCATAGATCTCATATTCCTGTGGATATTACCTCCATTTTGCTGTTTTTAACCCAATCTCTGTTTTATTTGAATCAAAATAAGTACTGGGATCAGGGAAAGGTGATATGAAAACCCATTCCCCAAATCCACTGTCTTCCATTTAACAAGCTGAGATCACTTCAAACCAATGAATTTAAAGAATGAGCTTGACACAAGCTTCTATTACCTATATTTATATATTACTATTTTCATTTCATGAGCAATCTTTTCATAAATTAACCATTACATGTTTTATCAATATATATTCAATAATAACACAATATAGGGAGTGCAAACTTCCCATTTCTTGTCTGATCAAACGACCATGAAACTTTTCACTCAAACCCTACACACCCTAAATCAGATCATATATATGTTTGTATGTATATATCACAGTGTTTCTTTTCCTCTGCTGCCTAAGGAAAATAAAAAGGGATTTTCCCCTTGACATGTAAGTCTTGAAATCACACTGTTTATTCCAAGTAAACAAGAACTGTATGTACTTCAAAGCACTGTATCAAAAGATAAATAAATAAATACATAAATAAATAAATAAAATAAATAACATGAGGGGCACTCAAAGAGTTCATACCTCTGCCAAGGAAGAAAGTATTAAGGCAATTTTATTATAAATAATAGAACAGAAATGCTTACTATTTGAGTTGCCCTGGTGGCCCATGTACAACTTGAATGATTTTCAAAATTCACAGGAACTGTAGTTCCTGCCGACTTGTCTATGTCCCTGTAAATTGGTAATATCTAACAACGTTTGGCCATTATTTAAAGAGTTATCATGCTAGTAGATGGACACTCAGAAATTCAGATGGATAAAAGATATATAAGTTACGGCATTACCTTTACCACTTGGCATTGGTAATGAAATGTAAAACGAACAAAGCACTAAGTGCTCCATTACCAATGCTAGCAGTCTTCAGCTGATCATTTATTTTCAAATCCAGGTTGTTCGTTTGTTCTGATACCAGTGATTTTAGTCATCAGATAACCATGACCTAGGTTCTCAAATGACCTTGACCTTAGTCTTCACATGACCTTGCCCTTTCCAGACCTGGACGTGGACTTGGATGCTCTCTGAGGAACTGCACTTTCTCCACTGCATGTTTGGCCGCTTCCTCTATACTGCTGAATACTGGGATTCCTTCTCTCGCTGCCAGGTCAGCCAAGTACATACGGCTACGGTTGTAATCTTTTACTGCTCCACGAGACAACTACAATATAATACAATACAATTAATATTATTTTTACCATTTGTATTTCAAAAGACATTTTGCACTCGTCAAAGGATATTTATCTCACTTCTATTTCAGTAATTCAAGGAAAAAGGCAATTCTTTCTTTACTTCATTCTAAAATAGAATTTCACTTTATCAATTGCAATATCTTCATCTTATTAGCCTGGGCCATTCTACCATGCAAATTTTGTTGGAGTTCACTGTTGTCATATTTTTTATCAAATAAACAAAAGTTTAAATATACATACAGAGATCCCTTGAACAACTGAGTCCTGAGCCATATTCTCAATGCTGAGGATCAGGTTATAGCCCTGGCCTATGTCATAGCCAATCTGGAAGACAGACCAAGGAAGTTAATATATCAGAACATTATCAATAACTGTGTGAGTACTGGTTTAAAAGAGTGACAGTCTGTTTTTTATGGTACATTTTAACTTAACAAGGCAGTCTATGATAGTAATTATGAATAGTGTGATTTTCAACTATGAATGACCCAATGTGTGTGTGTGTGTGTGTGTGTGTGTGTGTGTGTGTGTGTGTGAGATACTCTCAATCTTAAAACAAATGTAAATGGGACACTCCATAGGATTTTCCCACCAAATTGAATTTTCCCAGGGCAAAGGGCAAATTTCTCCTACTCACAAATTATTGCTTGACCCGTCCTTGCACTTCAATTTGATGAATTATTCCATATTAAATTTAATACTTTAGTTTACAAGACTGGCCAGTCATTATAAATGACATCCGCCATCACGCTCATTGCCTGATTTTCACACAATTGCAGACCTGTGCTGTGTACAATACTGTACAGACGTTAGCAAACTGGCAAGGCAATGGCTACACGATGAGGCTCAGAAGATAACAACCACACAAAGTAAACTTCGGATTAATTTTTATCTAAAGGATTTTATTGGTTTTTATAGTCTAAACTGGGAAATGTAATAAGCTTTGCAGGAAAAACATATGAATGTGGAGGATTTTCAAACGCATGGAGGGAATCTCTGACAATACATTTTGATGGAAAATTCCATTGCAGTGGCCCTTAAACTAAAGAGTAACAAATAGCAATATTAGATCAGAATGCTCATAAAATTCCTCCCCTGTGTGTACCTCCATCATGTCCACTGTCCCCATGGTGTTGTCCTCTATCACGTAGAGCAGCAGACGACACCGGTTCTTCTCAATTGTGTCCCGCTCGCTTAGTGTCTCTGAGCAAAGATAGGTCATGCCTTTTTCCCTGAAGAGCAAATTATCTCATGTATCATTAATAATCCTGTACGAATAGTATCACTAAAAGTGTTTCCCTTTTTCCAAATATATTAAACAAAATGTAACTGAGTAAGGTGGGGCCAGCTTTTCAGAAATAAGGGCACTGAATATCTGTGCCAGGAAGACCCTCTTAGAGAGCAATACAAAACTGATACTCAAAATATGGAGAATTCCTACCATGTTGTGCATTATAATAGACTGACACAACAGAACTTAAGAGAAAACCACCAGAAAAATAACTGTGGATAAATTCTGTCAGGTTTCCTTTCTTAATGTTTCACATGTTATTTCTGGCCCCACTCTCCTTTAAAACCTGCAAGAATTATCTAGGTTTTATGCTAAGACGCAAGATTTTAAACTACATCAGATAATTCCCATCAATATTTCCTTTGCTAGAATATCAGCCTACCTGAATAAGGGTAGCACAATGGTATTTCTCCAGTTGTTGGTGCCACAGCTACCAGCCACGTAAACATCCACCACGGACGCAGGCACGTAATGCATTGTGCTAGCATCGCAACTGAACGTCCGCGGGGCCATACACGGCTGCTTAAACCATCCTGAAAGAGGGAACATCGAACTATTCAGATAATGGGAATAAATATTAAATTCATGCACTAAATTCTCAAATGCGTTGGCCTACTTTCATTTAAATATTAACAATCACACTTAATTGAAATATACTGCAACGTTCTTTTTTCAAATGTCTTACTGAAGAAACTATATACCATAAAGTTGTTTTTCCCAGTGAACATGCCACTGATTATATTGGATATGACAAAGTATCCAGTTAAGATCTTCAGGCCTATATGTTAGTGGACTACATCGCAACTTTTAAACATACACCCAAACACTTTCTTTACAACAACAAAACATTATCTTATCTACTTACTAGATGGACTGAAGACCTTCATCAGACCATTTTGTTCATTCAAAGATTCTTTCCTTCTCTTAAAAAAGTAAGAAACATAGAAAAATGTTCAGGTTTGCATACTAACATATATTCGGCAATAATTTTAATTCACTTTTCTGCAAACAATATATTTTGTCTATATTGTTACAGAAATCCCTACCTCCCCAAATTTCTAATAAAAAGTTACATCTATTTAAAGAAACAGACATTTCATCTTAAAGCAAGAGTTTTATATCTTACAAAAAAAGAATACAGAGTCAAAAACTGACAGATGTTAGTTATTTGATTGCAACAAATGTGCAAACAATAGGTAAGGGACTAACAGGATAAAACAGTCTATGAGAAGTTTAAATACCCATAATTTGACTACATATGTTAAATGTGAAATCTCCCTTTTAGACACTCATAGGATGGCTCAAAAAAGGAGAATGCATTTGCTGAAAATATATCCTAAAAGTGTAAATCAAACAATTAACAAAATGTTTGCTCCACAAAAAAATTTATAAAATATTTATACCCTTTTGTCAAGAACTCACCCAGTGTTTGAATTCCGTAAATAAGCAGCAAAACTCGTCCAATGTGAATCTTTTACTGCTGACATTCTTAATGATAGCAGACACCAGATCTGTGCTCAGAACTTCTTTTGTAACCTGCTTAAAAGCGCGAGTTACACCCTTAAAATCTAGAGTCCCTGAGTTCTGTTTATCACAGAGTTCAAAAGCTTGCTTTATTGCTCTAAAAAAAGAACATAATATTCAATGGTATATTAATTATAAAGAGTTTTAACTTAACCAAAAATACTTGCTTTCTGTGCATCTAAAAGTTTCAAGGTTTGACTATTCAAGTAAAGCATCTATAAAAAGCATTTAATGGAGACAATGAAGTATTTTTTCTGCATGAAGTAACATTTGCCTTACAAGAGTTGTACAATTCAACCAGAGTAGGAAGAAGAGTCAGCATTCTGAAATCAATCAAATGTACAAATTACTCAACACATATAGCTAACCTTATTTCTCTGTTCTATAAAAACTTTGACTCATGTTTCAACACCCCCATCAAAAGTAGTGAAGATACCAGGGAAAAAAAAGATCAATAGTACCAAGTCACAGGAGAGGCATCTGACATCACACAGTTATAAGTAGACAGCAAGGCTTGCACATGTACAGACACGAAACAGATACACAATTTTACCTAATCGAGCACTCAATGGCTCCCAAATCAGTGAAGGTGCAGCCATGTCTCATACGGCGTCCTGGACCGACCAGTTCTTGAGTCTGAAAAAATTACAGTTGGGATACTCTCAATATATATCAGCAACTTCAAAAGGCATCTACAACAAAAGAAATCCACAAGGGTTACACATAGAAAAGACAATCCAAAGACAGTAATTTGCTTCGCTGAATGCACTTAGTGCAGTGTTGTGCTTTGTTCCATAAAAATATTCAGATGTCACAAAACATTACCCATGTCTGACTCAATGATTTTTCAATTGTTCAAAACCTACAAAAAGTCATTTTAAAAATCTCAATTTTGTAGTGAAAGCATTTCCAAATTTTATGCTTAAAAGTTTATAAAATTTTTAAGATTCCATCACCTATTTATTAAAAAATTTGGAATTGAGCTTTACCCATTTGGTTAAAATATTAGCACAGTCCAAGGCGTCTTTGACAACACTGAAAACAGGGACTCCCTGTTTGTCTGCCAAGTACTGCAGGATGGAGCGGCTATAGTCCAAATCTTCAAACTCCTTTATAGAAGAATTCCTGAAAAAAATACATTTAGTCAAAATCAACAAAATAAATGTCTTTATTTTATGCTCTGATTGTTGTGCAACAAAAGTTGTCATGAAATATAAGAAACTATGATTCATGGATTTTTCTTTTGCGATATCTAGTTTGTACACTTTATTTTTATGCTGTGCCACAGACCAAACACAAACAAAACAAGCTTTGAATTTCACACAAAAAAAAATCTCATATTTTCACCTGCCCATCTTTGATTTTGAGTATGCTGGTTCTTCTGGCTCTCCGGTGATGACCAAAACCATCTGCCTGCCTGAGCCTGAAAAATATAACTAGGATTAAAAATACCCAATAATACAGTGTTTCTAAATTCAGAAACTTGTGATGTGTCATTAGATTGGAACTGGTATTTTAATATTTTATAATATTTTATTATATTTATTATAGTAATTCATTATATTTAACCTAAAAATTAAATATAATGAATAAAGTGTCATGCATACATCCTTCCCATCCCTGTTCTCCTACTACTCCTAATTTTTTTTTTTTTTTTGCTTGCAAAGCAGGACTATCAAAACTTATGCCTTCACACTGCATCCCGCTCTGCATTACTTTTAAGATATAAAAACCCTATATATACTTACACACCTCAAGAGTCATTTTCAGGAGTTCATTCTGTGGCATTCAATAACACCCAAGGACTACTGACTAGCAGATGGTATAAGGGCGTATTCCCAGAGCTTTTAGATCGATCTATCCCCGCGGGGAGTCTCACTAGATTACTGTCAAATAATCCGGCTTAAATGTCCGTCCCGCCTACTACAAACTGTAACGGGGTAATTAACTTTTGTGCCCGCTCGGCTGACAGCTATTTAGCGTGAACCCCCAGGGAGTTAGGTCGACCTGAAGTATATTGATCTAATCTCTGGGAATGGGGTCTAAGACTAGCATAAAAAATGATCATTCAAAGTTGCTAGTCAAGACCAAAAGGTCTGGTGTAAACATAAAATAGTTTGTTTTTGTTTTTTTAATTTTATCTATTATCAATATAATAATATATATTATTATATTCTATGTTTTTTATATTATTTCTCCATTATATTTAGCTTTCATCTCTGGAAATTTCACCAGGATTAGTAGTCTCAAAGTTCTACTAGTCCAAATGACCTGTGGGCTGAAAAGCTCAGGGCAAAGACAGGCAGCCATTCACCGCCTGATGAAATAAATAAAAATGGTGTATTTGACCCACCTGCCAGATAGGCAGCTTCTACAACTGAGGTGATAGAGCGTGTCTTGCTGTCTATAACAAAGAACAAGATCATGGCATCCTGCTTGGCTTTGTCTTCAGCTTCTATCAGATCAGGAGTCCAATCACAGACTTGCTGAAATCACAAACCAGATGTCTGAGATGTATGAGACAGACATTCATATAGAGAGACCATTCCCACAGATATTTGGATCGATCTATCTCCCTGGGGAGTCTCACTAAATTGCTTTCAACTTAATCTGCTTAAATGTCTGTCACGCTTTGTAAAGCTGTTAGGGGGTAATTATCTTTACCCTAGCTGATTCAGGAGGCGTGGCAGACATTTAAGCCAGTTAAGTTGATAGCAATTTAGTGAGACTCATACATTTCATACATCCAAATGGATCGATCAAGACATGGGAACCCAGTCATATTTTACATGGAGTGAGGTAGGGGGTGGTATAATAGCCATAGAAACATGTGAAACTTCAATCTTGAACCGTATGAAAAACAACATGATGACTTGCTGACATAAACTCTCTACTGTTACAGTAACTGACAACATTTAAAATATCAGACTACATAAGCTACTCATCTTGTTTGTGGCTCTGTCTTTTGAGATACAATAAAAAAAGAAATTTTCTTTCATGGAGGGAATTGTAATTGCTGGTATTTTCATTTATACATTTGAATCTTCCTTTTACAAAGCAACATTAACTCAATAATAAAATGGAGTATAAACGTGCAAGCAATGAACATAGCTGATAAGGCTAACTATCAACATCACTGTAGTTCAAATTAAGAAGTTTGTGCTAATTGGTGTTAACAAGATACTCACTGGATTGAAATATGAAATTTTATTCGCTTCTAGATAAGGGACGGCTTCATCTTTTCTCCAAGTGGTTGGGTTACATGAGCCACCAAGAAAAACTGAAATATTTTAAAATCATATGTAAAATACAATGAACTGTAAATACCATTCTACTAAAAGGAAGAAATCTGATATTGCCATTCCTTAACTGAGATTTCACTACATTCAAAATAACACTTTTGAATTTTTAGTATTGGATTCGTACAAAATATTAAATTAATAAAGCAATTATCACTACAATCAATGTATTAAAGAATCCATTAATGACATACATACATGAAAAATTTTAAAAATCGTCTGTATAGATGTCATAACTCTGACCTATTCTGGTTATATTTTAGAAAAAAAAGTTAGTCTTTTGCAGATTTTCAAAAATATGAGTAAGAGAAAGCATGCAAACCACACTTACTTTGACATTCATGTCCGAGACCTTAAAAATGAATCAAAAATTAACATTAATATGTAAATTATCCTTATGATACAAATATCGTACATGTATACTCTTTTCACAAATATGTAACACAATTTAAAGTTTTCTTGCCAGACTGATATGTCACTAATTATGTAGTATTCAATGACTTCTTACTATTGTTAAATAGTCACTGTATGTTTTTCAAGGCAACAATTCAAAATATGTCATACGTGCATTCCACAAATTAAAGGATTACATACCTGATGTTTTCTTGCGAATTTGTCTCTTGGATGAATTCTGTCTTTGTAATTCCCTGAGATCTCTGAAAATAAATACTTTTTTATCACAGTCCAAAATCAAAGCCCATGTAACTAGTGGTAAAATATCTTGAGACAAATCACACACTTTACTTTCACTAAATATGTACAAGTTGAATTTATCTTTTATTTTTGATGCTATGAGTGTGGGGTTAGGGATGAGGGGGGGGGGGGAGTGCACAATTGTATATATGCATTTTATGTGCCCGTGTGTGTGTGTGTGTGTGTGTGTGTGTGTGTGTGTGTGTGAGACAGAGAGAGAGAGAGAGAGAGAGAGAGAGAGAGAGAGGTACCCACCTCCCCTTATGCTGCTCTTGGATGGTATCCACCATAATACAAAACTCTCCAAAGGTCACATGACCTTCAGATTTAAGGCACTTATTGGCATGAAGTAGCTGGAATGCTGGAATAAAAAGGAAATTTCTAATTTAAAAACCATCATTCTTGGGTGCGCCTTACACCTTCTGCTAAGGTAAGCAAGCAAAAGAGATATTCTTCAGGTTAAGAATAATTCATGCTAGCATTCACAGAAACCGCTGAAAAGTAAAAATAGAACTGGGAAAATTTCATTCATTTCAGATCATTATTAACCAGAAAAAAAAATCAAAAATAAGAAACTGAGCATATTTTGGTTGTTTGATAATCCTTTGACAAAATCTTTCAAGCGAAACGCAACTGGGGTGTTAAAGTTATATACAGTTAGCACCTCCTACATCCACTGCTCTCAAAGTTTGAAAATGTCAAAGATACAAAGGTTAATTGAACATCATCTTCAAAGTAACACAGCCTTGCCAAAGAGAGGTGCATCAGTTTCAAGGTAGATAGATAGTAGTAAGATACAGCAAAATTTAAACCTTCCCTCTTTAAATCCATAAATCTCTGGTAATAAATAACTTACAAATTTCTACTGAACAGTAGAGTGGCTGTCCAAATGAAGATAAATCCTCCTTCCTTGCAACCACCATATGACTACCAGACCATGTTAATCTAAGCTTTCTCTTTGACTGGGTTCCCATACCTAGATCGATCTAACAGGATTGATCCATCTCCAAGGGGTTTTTCATTAAATTGCTTTCAGCTGAAGCGGGTTAGATGTCTGGCATGCCTACTGAAGCTGCTTAACGATAATTAATTACCCTCTAGTAGCATCAATAGGCATGACAGACATCTAAGCCACTTACATTGATTGCAATTTAGCCACAATTCCCTTGGACATAGATCGATCCAGAGTTTGTACGATAGGGTCTGGGAATGATCCCTTAAGAGAGTTAAAACTATGTGAATATTTGGTGGGAAAAAAAGCCAATTATTCAGGGTTAAAAAATATGAAAATGCCCTTTACACATTCAGTACATCTTGAATGATAAATACGTATATGTAGTAACTAAGAAAAATCACAAAAGCTTTAAACTCTTGGCAGTTCTCTTGGTAAAAATGCCAGAAGACATCTGCGTTTCACCTATAATTACAATTTAATGAGGGTGGTGGGAGTCTCTGCGCACATGCTTCAGAAACTCTAGCAGTTGTACATCTTTTTAATCAGCTGAGTTGCTGGCACCTAGCAATTACTTAGATAAGAGTTTTCCATGAACAGTACACATTTCAAGTGTTTATCCAATCTTCAAGACTAGGTTGCATTAGATGAAGGTAAACAAGGATATTTTCAACTATCCTCCCACCCCCTAAAAACATGGATTAGGTTAGTCCTTCTAAGTTAAAAAACAAGGCATGATTGAAGAAGAAATTTGAAATTTCTTGAAAGGTAACTCTAAATACATATATGTTTTACATTAATCATGAAGTCTGGAAAAAATGGACTTACTCCATATTTCCACAAGTAACCCTTTGATATCCACTACTGTACTTAAGACACTCCTAATATTAAAGCACCCTGGGCTCACAGCTGAAGCTTTTTTACCACAAAACTCAAGATACCAATTTCTTTAACTTCTGCCCCCGCTCCTGAGCAGGGTTATCTATGAAAAGATCTACATCATTAGAAGAGAATGCCTATAACAACAACAGATGTTCTTCAGCATGTTTGGACTGTATAAAAAAGAGAGAGGTTGAATAAGCAACAGATTGAACAGTAATAAATAACAAGATGCAGGCATTTAATCTAGAAGTATGTTTAGAAGAAGTCTCCCCGTTGCACCACCACCCATGGCCAGCCACCATATCTGTTGCCCACCAAGCAATTAGACGCCTACTTTCATACTATACCAACACTTACTCCTACATTGAACCGTCTATACACCCACATCGACCAAATATGTTTACTGCCTGGAAAAACTTAATTTGAGACCTAGACAAAATTTCTCTTGAGCTGGGCACAGGCAAGAAAAAAATGACTTCTTGTTAATGCATGTTTCTTATCAAATTACAAGTAGAAGATTATTATATGAAGCTTGACAAGATAAGTCGAGAACTTCTCGTGAGTTAATCTTTTTCAATAACTTATTGGTTTTTTCTTTTCCACAGAGCTCTTCTCCAATAAGCCTCGCTGTCTTCAGGGAATATAACACAGTGTTACATATCTTTCAATTTTCTTCATGAAATGTGCTAATTACATGAAGCTGTAAAATATTGCCTGAAAAAGGAGTTATATATCATACTGGCCAAAGGGCTCCCAAAACATGAAACTGGCATGAAGCTGATCTTTACAGTGAGTGAACTGAAGACTTGAAAATGACTGCAGATTACGGTACCCATGTCCAAATCTTTGTGCTAGCTTGTACTTTTTGTTTCTACTTATTTGAAATTAATATAGGAAACATTTGAATTTTGTCATTTACCAGTTTCAAACCACGGTTTCATTTTCTGATTGTGTGTTAGCATGTATTCCACCTAACTAATTCAGAGAAAAAAAGGACAAAAATTAATGTAAAGGATTAAAGTGAAGATCCTTAGTGCTAAAAATTCCCAATAAACCTATAATTCTGTAAAGATCTATCCAGCACCATGGGGACTCTTGTTGAATGCAATCAGATTAACATTCCTCCTCTTGTTTCCAAAATGCTCATATATAATATCCATCTTCTCTATATCTACTCAACACAAGGAGGCGTGTTAAACAATTAATCTGATTGCGTTCAGCAAGAGTTCCTGCAGGGTTGGATCAATCTACATCTATAGAACAAAAGTTTCTTTGGCAATGAGTCCTCAACTGCCAACTGCCATCTGGTTGATACTTGTTTATTTGTTTGTTTACTTTAACTTCCGTTTTTCCCTTACCTTGTGAAGGCAATAAATGAATGCCGAGGTCAAAGAGAGCTGCCTGGAGTTGTTTATAACTGAGCAGGTCACATCCACCAGAAATCTTTCTGTACAATGTCAGGAGGTTTCTAGAAACAAAAACAGATCATTGAGTAAGAAAATGTGCACAACACTTACTACAGCTCTCACTACAACTTCCAGTAAGGTGCATATGATGGTAACATGTACGAAGTAGTGTCTGCACATAAAAAGTAATTCAGGACTATCTTGACCTGTGATAAATTAGCATTTCAACTAAAAAGGATGAACTCTTAACAGCTGAGTCTATAGACACCAGGAATATGCTATGTCAGAGTTAAAATTATTAACTTAAAAAACTGGCATCAAACTTCCATTTTTTTTTCTTTAATTTCTTTCTATTATTCATTCAAAACTACAGAATTTGAAGCCACAGTCGAAAGTTATTCCAGTGTATAGCCTATGAGAAGACCAACACTGTAAATTTAAGAAAGTATTCTAAGAATAACTGTACAAAGCAGCATGATCAATTAGCCAGTTATAATATCATTTCTTAGTAACTTTGACTGGGTTCCCATGCTTAGATCGATCCATTTGGATCGATCTAACTCCCTGGGGAGTTTCACTAAATTGCTGACAACTAACCGGCTTTAATGTCTGTCATGCCTACCTAATCAGCTAGGGGGTCTAACAGCTTTACTAGGCATGACAGACATTTAAGGCAGTTAAGTTGACAGCAATTTAGAGAAACTCCCCAGGGAGATAGATGGATCCAAATGTCTGTGGGAATGGTCCCTTTGATTGAAGGGAGACAATGGGTTTTGTTACAGTAACCATTAATGAATTTCCTATCACAGATAGAAGTACATTTTACTCAAAAATCTGCACAAGATGTTAATCATTGATTAAATTTTGGCATATCTAAATAACATCTGTGCACTGAATTCATTCCTAACGATGTCATCAAAGGGACACCCACTTGAGAAAAGAACTTCCATCTTGCCCCTGTATTTATATCCTTCTTATCACCGTATAATTGGCACAAATGTACAGTTTGTCTGGGCAGTTTAATACCTTTAAATGTCCAGACAGTTTTACAAGACATCTGACCACCTTTGATATGGTGTGGAGGTTTACGTATGGCCAAGGTAGAGAATTCTTGAGACATGAAACATACGCCCTTAGAAAAGTGAATTTTTCATCCTTCTTAATACATCTAAATATGTACAGTTCTTAGAACTTCTATAAACAAGTTAAATCATTTCCAATTTTAAGTTTAAATTAATAATAAGTAAGATTAAACAGATTTATATTTTCAGACAATTTTGACTTTATGACCCCCTTGTCGCTATCTTTTAAATGATTTGGATTAATCTACCTGCCGTATATCAGGATTGAAACTGATAACAGAGGGTGGGGACTAAATACTCCTCTTCACTGATGAAATACGGCTTAGCTTTTTTTTTTTTTTTTTCAAATTACTCCTCCCACTTATAGAATATAAGTGGGAATATATAGTGCCCTATATGTTCAAACTGAAGAGGAAACCCAAAATCAGGATTCCAGGTATAATGATCAACTTTTCTTTAAAACGTGGTTAACAGTATAAGTTGGCTTGATAAGCACATTTGAGATAAAACACTGCAATTAAGGAGAAATGCACTGGCTTGCAATCTGTATCACAACCTGTGTAAACATATGAATTTGCTAAAAACAAACTATGTTCGTCAGAGTTTTATCTTTTATTCTACAGAACTTGGACAGTTGCCACCAGTAATTTTGACCCTGGATGTATCATGAAGTCAACAACCCATTTAACCTGTGTGTATGAACTTTTATCACAGATGACAAAGTGAGACAAATTCTTTATCTTGCTCAGTCAGTGACACGAGATTTTAATCCTGAAGAAAAACCAAAACTTAAACTCCTTCTTTTGATTTCACAATATGGTATTTTAATGAAGATTATCAATTTCTCAAAAAATATACAGTATGCTTATGAAACTGTTATGAATAATATTTACTATTTGGATAATACACAGTCCACTCCACAAAGCCAAAATCATTGAAAAGATATAAGAAATAATCAGAGCATTCCCAGTTTCAAACTTGACCAGCAGAACAATTAGTAATCCCTGTGAGTTTGAATCACTGCTTTCCAGCTATTACAGTGCTCACAAGAAATGTGCAAACCCCTTGAAAAGAGTACAATCGCAGTACTTTTTTTCTTTTTAAATCAGCAAAATGTCAAATTTTTCACTTAATCAATTATCCCTTTTCACTCACATGGATTTTTTTCTTTTTTTTCCTTCTACACACAAATGTCTAAACAAACTCAAGCTTATCTTATTGAGAAAAAAACTGTTAATACCTTTATGAGGAATTTGATCGCCCACAAACATGACACTGCTTTTATGAGTAGAGCCAAAGCCACATCAAAATTACTACAGGTGGGCCGTGGGAGGACAGGTGATAGAGGTGTTAAAATTAATAGGCAGCTCAACAATGCAAGTCATGATTTGTAAAAAGGAATAAGTAATGACTGTTCCCCCCAAAAAAGTGATAAAACTAATAATGAAAGACTTGAGAAGTTGATAATCTTTTTCTCTTCTTTCTCTCTCTCTCTCTCTCATCCCCAATAAGCTCTGATTTTAATTTATACCGAGATCAATGTGACCACATTCTCTCTCTCTCTCTCTCTCTCTCTCTCTCTCTCTCTCTCTCTCTCTCTCTCTCTCTCATATCACCAAATAATCTCTGTGATTTTAATTTTCACAGAGATCATTCCATGCACAGTTTGGGCAGGTCATTGTTAAATATACAAATAGAAAAACACATTCCACGTTCACTTTAACCAAAGTAAATTATTTTTAATCACAACTAAAATTTTATGCAATGGCACAAGTCCTGCCCCCCCCCCCCAAAACAAACACACACACACACATTTGTATATAGTTAATATTCACCTATCAAATGTGTTGCAACACTAGTTTCTTTTATTTCTAATCTGAATACCTGTTATCAAATAGCTGTGATATTACACAGTGTTTGGCTGATTGCAGACTTGTAATCATTCAAATAAACCAAGGTACACAGATTAGATTACACATATTTCAATCAAGGACAACCTTATTCATTTTTGTCAATGTTCCATCTAATTCTATTCACATAACAATCACGATAAGCGATTTAGGTGATCATATTGCAAAACTGCAATATACATGACTGGCACATTTACATTATCACTGTCCACACAAGGAATTGTGAAACCAACAGATAGGTACAGCTCAGATTTTGAAAAATACACTTCCTCGTAGATGACGTTCCACGTTATTTAATTTGATGAAATTATGGTTTTCCTTTTAGGCTTTTACACAAAAAATAAATGTCAAATACAACCTTAACAGCTAGAGGTTGGGTTGAGAAATCATTTTCGAAAAATTACTCAATTACCAAAAACAAAAAAAAAATAGTCATTCTACTCGGCTACAGAAATAAGTACAAACTACAAGAAAAGCACATTTTGACAACAAGTGTATGAAAAGAAGCACTCATGCTTTACTTTAAGTGAACAATGGACAGTAGTTAACCACATGCACTGTGCATATTCACCAATACAATAAGGTGAGTGATTCTCTGTATTAAGATAACCACACCGATCCTGTTTTCACTGATCTTCATTCCTGTTTTTAAGTACACAATACACAAAGCACCCTTTTCTTTCATTAATTCCCCAATTTTTCATCAAAATGGCCCTTTGTTGAATCTTGTCTGTAATTAACCATCAAATTTATCTGCATAAAGTTTATTTTCTGAAGTCAAACACCTCATACTTTTGAGTTTTAACCAATAAACAATTATTAATGAGTCGAGTTTGGTACTGAGTTGAGCTGATCACATGATGCATCAGTAAGCTATGTGGAGTCACCATCAACAGCACGTAACTCACTGCATGTTACTATCACTATTAGACAAAGAAAAGAAATAAAAAGCTTAAACACAGTTCATCATGCATACGCCTCAGAGATGTAATTAAATTTTTTAAATTACAAAATAATAGGCAACAGGGGCATGTTTATCTCATTGTACATGAAAATAAGTATCAGTATGAAAGAAAAAACAATTTAAAAATAGACTGTAGATTTAACCCATTTCCCAACTGCCAGCTAGCAGCCAATATTTGCTTTTAAAAAGATATTTTAGTATACACCAGGGTGACTAAACAATTGATAAGAAAGGGCAAAATGCCAGTATTGTAAATAAATTGTTTACATTTACAACAGATCAGATGACTGGAAGAGAAATGGAAAGACGCAGTTCAAATCTCTTTGATAAAATTTGTATACATATATATATCTGTGTATAAGTATTTTTGTACACTATTTTTATATGTTGTTGTGTATGCTTTGTATTAGTTCTGAATAAAAATAGACTAAGGACTAAAATTTTTAGTCTGGTTCAATTCAGGACATATAAATAGCGATAGCAGTTCACCAAAATAAATTAACTAATTATTAATAAAATTAATAATAATACAGCTAGTACATTGCGTGAATCTGAATACGGGCTTAGTCACAGGTTTCTCTGTGTAACTAACCCCTTGAGCTTTCCTTTACCAAAATGCAAAACGCACATAAGGTAAATGAGGACATGTTTCATATGTTTCTAATAACTGGAAATTGTTCTAGTTCTCTTTTTTTCTTTCAAAAATATGCAACACACTGGCATAAAAAGTAACTCGATACACCAATTCATCTGAGATCCAGATGAAGACCTCTATCAGATTGGTACATGTATTCAAGTGGCTGCTGTGAGTAATTATCTGATATAAGAATGAGATTAAGGGATACATCAGGCAATAAGAATAAATACCCAAGTTAACTCAGTTTCTATTCAGTCTGAGCATAAGTGCTACATTTGTCAATATATACTTCCATCTTGACTTAAAGTAATGATTTGGCTACAGCTAACTCATGGCCTGGCTATAGTGCTATTTGAATGAGCAATTACCATCAGGTGCTAAATATAGGAGCTCCTTGAAAACCTGATAGTTATTTTGATCAGCAGCATGTCTTTTAGGCAAGGATTCCGTGTCTTTAAGGCAATGATTTGATTCTAATTGTGTAAGTTTATCAAATCTACATTCTAAAATGTTGGCATCTGCAGAAGAACTTATCTTTAAACAATGTACTCAAGGAGAGCATTAAGTTATAAGAGAAATGACATCAATAATATTAATGTTTTTTGTAAGTTAAATTCTTTTAATAAGCCTGTTACCATGAATCCAAAGTTTACATCAAGTTCGACAAGCCCAAACTGTTTGAAAGTGCTGGTGCTATACTAGATGACTGTGCACTTTAATAATGAAATAAAATTTTAAACAATGGCAAATATCTTGAATTTATGAGTAAAAACTCTGGAGGGGGGGGGGGGGGGGGGGNTATGCATATCCACCAATACAATAAGGTGAGTGATTCTCTGTATTAAGGTAACCACACCGATCCTGTTTTCACTGATCTTCATTCCTGTTTTTAAGTACACAATACACAAAGCACCCTTTTCTTTCATTAATTCCCCAATTTTTCATCAAAATGGCCCTTTGTTGAATCTTGTCTGTTATTAACCATCAAATTTATCTGCACAAAGTTTATTTTCTAAAGTCAAACATCTCATACTTTTGAGTTTTAACCAATAAACAATTATTAATGAGTCGAGTTTGGTACTGAGTTGAGCTGATCACATGATGCATCAGTAAGCTATGTGGAGTCACCATCAACAGCACGTAACTCACTGCATGTGACTATCACTATCAGACAAAGAAAAGAAATAAAAAGCTTAAACACAGTTCATCGTGCATACACTTCAGAGATGTAATTAAAATTTTTTAATTACAAAATAATAGGCAACAGGGGCATGTTTATCTCATTGTACATGAAAATAAACAAGTATAAAAAAAAGTATTAAAAAAAAAAAACAATTTAAAAATAGACTGTAGACTTAACCCATTTCCCAACTGCCAGCTAGCAGCCAATATTTGCTTTTAAAAAGATATTTTAGTATGCACCAGGGTGACTAAACAATTGATAAGAAAGGGCAAAATGCCAGTATTGCAAATAAATTGTTTACATTTACAACAGATCAGATGACTGGAAGAGAAATGGAAAGACGCAGTTCAAATCTCTTTGATAAAATTTGTATACATATATATCTTTGTATAAGTATTTTTGTACACTAATTTTTATATGTTGTTGTGTATGCTTTGTATTAAAGTTCTGAATAAAAATAGACTAAGGACTAAAATTTTTAGTCTGGTTCAATTCAGGATATATAAATAGCGACAGCAGTTCACCAAAATTAATTAACTAATTATTAATAATATCAATAATAATACAGCTAGTACATTTCGTGAAGCTGAATACGGTCTTAGTCACAGGTTTCTCTGTGTAACTAACCCCTTGTGCTTTCCTTTACCAAAATGAAAAACGCACATAAGGTAAATGAGGACATGTTTCATATGTTTCTAATTACTGGAAATTGTTCTAGTTCTCTTTTTTCTTTCAAAAATATGCAACACACTGGCATAAAAAGTAACTCGATACACCAATTCATCTGAGATCCAGATGAAGACCTCTATCAGATTGGTGCATGTATTCAAGTGGCTGCTGTGAGTAATTATCTGATATAAGAATGAGATTAAGGGATACATCAGGCAATAAGAATAAATACCCAAGTTAACTCAGTTTCTATTCAGTCTGAGCATAAGTGCTAGATTTGTCAATATATACTTCCATCTTGAGTTAAAGTAACGTCTTGGCTACAGCTAACTCATGGCCTGGCTATAGTGCTATTTGAATGAGCAATTACCATCAGGTGCTAAATATAGGAGCTCCTTGAAAACCTGATAGTTATTTTGATCAGCAGCATGTCTTTTAGGCAAGGATTCCGTGTCTTTAAGGCAATGATTTGATTCTAATTGAAATTCTAAAATGTTGGCATCTGCAGAAGAACATATCTTTAAACAATGTACTCAAGGAGAGCATTAAGTTATAAGAGAAATGACATCAATAATATTAATGTTTTTTGTAAGTTAAATTCTTTTAATAAGCCTGTTACCATGAATCCAAAGTTTACATCAAGTTCGACAAGCCCAAACTGTTTGAAAGTGCTGGTGCTATACTAGATGACTGCGCACTTTAATAATGAAATAAAATTTTAAACAATGGCAAATATCTTGAATTTATGAGTAAAAACTCTGGAGGGGGGACCACCATTCCAACCATGAAAATTAATAATAATAATAATAATAATAATAATAATAATAATAATAATAATAATAATAACAATAATAATAATTGGTCAATTAATTTTTAAAATAAATAATCTCATGTTGCTTAAAATCCTTTAGAATCTCAGTTGACTGTTGGCAAACTAACAAACTAACTTAACTGTTGGCAAACTAAGTTATAGATAGAAAAGAAAAAAATATATAGAAAATCTTTCGTCCAAAGGGCTGACAAACCAAGCAAAAAAATCTACTTCACAAATTAAATACCCAGCGATAAAATATCATATAATTTGCACGCTAAAACTAGTGGCATCAACGAGTTGGAAACTTGATAAAAATCATTTCTATCACCTATATTCGTGCTTGCTACGTTGATATAAATGCGTTCGATGTCTTTATTGTCAAGACAGCCGGCTTCACAGTTTTATTAATGGGAGCTACGTTCAAATAAATCATAGCTTGACACATCTAATCGAGACAATAATTATGATGTTAATGAGCAAATTTATCGAGTTAATACTCGAAATGCATATTTCATAAACTGATCTCCTTTATAAATGCCATTGATCACTGCATCAAGAACGCAAACATTTTTTAAAAGCAAAAACTTATATACACCGGCGGATACAGTCTTACGTGTACGTCAATGCAAAGCTTGAAAGTCATGGAACGAGTCTCCCAATCTCAGCTCTACTGACCCTCTTAATTAACTGCAATACCTACTTAGTCTTTTCTCCGTAAACGAAGACTTGGTTTTCTTTCGCTTCCGCATAGCTGGTTGCTCTCCTAGCTGGTAAAAGTTTATTTAAAAGACTTGAAAAGAAGCTCGTCATCTTCGCTCCGCTCCAACCATCGTCTTGCTGTGTTATCATCCGGGGACTTTTCTTACAGATGGAGTGCTGGGATTGTCGTTTCGAATAAATAGAAAATTTGGTGTGAAAGAATAGAAAGATGACCTCTTAATTCACAACAAATACACGAACGCGGATCATGTCTCCTCTGGTCACTTTCTTCCTTCCTGAGGATAAATATATGTGAAATAGAGGGCACTTAAAATAGACAAAAATAGCAATGACGTATTTTGCCTCGTTTTCGTTGACGGGAATTCCCATTGAAGGAATTCCCATCATTGCCACTGACTCCGACTGCTTACACTGCGTGGTTTTCTGATCGGTTTTCTTTTAGAACTTCGGAGATGTCAGATCAGTTTCGTAATCTCATCCAGATAAACGAAGAAATCTTATGCAAGCACCTGGAGCCACATCGAGTTCTCTATCGGATGAGCAATGTAAGTAAAGCATTACTTTATGATGTGAATCACACATGCAATTGATTTTATTCGCATCTACTGTACACACTTATCTTGTCTATAACCCAGGGGCTTTCCAGTCGTGAATATTGCAATGCCACTCGACTCTCCAGACGTTAGAAAAATCTAACAAATATTGACATGGATTAGTTGTACTGTTGGCTGAGTTGTCACCTTTAGGGAATTTTCTTTTTTTAATTACCACGGCTCACACTTTCACTTACGGGGATTTCCAAGCATAAGTTTAGGGGTTTACATTCAGTCACAGAAATTTTAATATGTGTTTTATTTACTGTGAAAAAACTTTTGGTGCTGCTTTTTCATGGGGTACAAGGAAGTATTTCATCTGTAAGGTCTTTCCCAATCTGGTCATTTTTCCTCACATAAAAAGATTTTTGATGTCAACATTTGATAAACATTTAAATTTTTAAAAAGAATCTGTTGTCTGTCAGTTAGGAATGAAAGCATAAACATTTCAATATTTTCACATGTAGTTGAAATCATAAAACAAATTTATGATAATAAATGAATATAATTTTTCAGGTTTTTACTTCAGAGGATGAGAAACAGATACTAGATGGAGTCACTGCTTCAGAAAGATCCAGGATCCTGCTACAGTGTTTAATGACAAAGGAACCATGGGCATTTGAAGTCTTCATCGGTGCATTGGAAGACCTTGGGCTTATGCATCTTGTGGAGTTACTGAGGGCAGGTAATATGATGGATCGAAATAGTTGCATGTGTATACTAGTATATACTTGTATATATAGGGTATGCACTGTGCATCATGCATAGTAGCCGGAGTTATGATCTCAGAACACAGCACTGTGTTTGATTAAAAGTCCTTTATTTTGCCACATGCATTGGTACTGTATTGCATTAGTATTTGTAAACTGGAGGCTATACTGCATGGAGGATAATGATTCACCATGCAGATAAGTCATCTATCCAGAATGACCAATGAAATGTTTTATCACACAAAATATACCACAAATTATTTCAAACCTGTACCCCCTTATAATTAGTTAAATTATCAACACGTACCCTATGCACAGAATTAAATTTGATATGCACTAAAAGAATTATTTGATTCAAGTTCCATACCATTTGAGTATAAAAAAAAAATATATATATATATATAGCAATTATAGAACAAGTGAAAATAAACTGAATGAATTACAGACTACATGTATGCAATTAATTTTGGACTCAATATACAGTAAATAATGTCATACATGACACATTGTGACTGAGAGAATCCCATTGGGTATTTCTGTTACCCGTGAAAGCCACTTTTTATTTCCCAAGATGCATGAAACGTTTGTATTTTTATAGTCATGATCTGTGAAAACTCCCATTCCTGTATCTCTAAATGTGCCTTTTTCCTCTATCCCATTTTTCTCAGTGATTTGTGATTTTCAGCTGTTATTTCCTGCATTTTCAATGAGATATGAATAAAGTTTTATTTAATGAGAAATTGATGGTTTTATATTCTGACAAATGGATCACCCCCCCCCCTCCCCCCAACAGGACATTCTTGTGAATACTTTTTTTTTTTCAGGCCTGCACCAGCCAGGGATTTCAAGATCACAACAACCTGGAGATGCCAATCTCCAAGATGACTCTGTCACCAGCAGCAGCCCTGATACTATGGTTGAGGACGTGACAAAGATGGATGAACTGAAGGTGCCTGTATTGGAGAGTGCAGGGCCCGGAATGATCACAGAACAGCCCACATTTGGAGAGCAGCCCCATGTTCGAGGTACTAGTACAGTCAATTTGATTTAAGATTATTATTAATCTACTCATGAATTAATTGGGTTTCTGTGTCTGTACCTTTGTTTATGCATGCACTAGTCTGTGTCAGTGTCTGTAAGTGAACCCATATAAATTGATTGCCTTTTGATTTGCACCTAAATAAAGTCAATAATTTGAGACACAAGAAACAAATTAATATGATCATCTTGGTTTTACTATAATGCATACAAAACCACTTCAGAATCTACTAGTTTCTTACACGTGTATGACTCAAATAAACAAGAATAAAGTCAGCATATCAAGGGAAAAATTTAATCACTTAAGCAACTATTTAAGAGCTTTAAAAACAACACCTTTATATTTCTGGCCTTTATTGACCTACTTATCCATCCCTCCAGTTCGTAAAAGTCTGCCAAATTGATCTGTATTATGCATTACTCCTGTTAGCACAATATCACAGTTATTCTTATGAGTTGCCGAAAAGGACTAAGGGTAATATACGTTATATGGCACAGAAAGAAAGCAGAAAATATTAATTCAAATATCATTCTTCAAAAAATAAGAAATGCTTTTTGACTGCATTCCCACAGATGTTTAGAACGATCTATAGATATCCCCCTGGGGAGTCTCACTAGATTGGTGTCAGCTTAACCAGCTTAAATGTCTGTCCTGCCTACCAAAAGCTGTAAGGAGGTAATTAACTATAGTGCATGCTCGGCTGACAGCAATTTAGCGTGAACCCCCAGGGAGTTAGGTTGATCCAGACAGATCGATCTAAATCTGTCGGAATGGCGTCTTTGGCATTTCTTTAAGTTATGCTATTTGAAATGGTATGGAAGGGTTTGGTTGGGTTTTGTGACAGAAACTTGACTTCAAATGCATCTTTAAAAGTTTGCACAATTCATTTTGTTTCCTACAGAAAGCGCAGAGGGTGCTTCAGCTACAACTGAATATTTTGGTTTGGATTTTTCTTCAAATCCTGCTGCATATAAAGACCTGGCTGCATTGCCCATGATGACAGAGGAAGAGTTGGAAACATTTTCGAACAACCTTAATATCAGCGCCTTTGCCAAGCATGTGTTTAAGGTACTGGAAGAGAGCATCCATGTACAGCTGGAATTTTGTTGTCCTTCATAATTAGACTTACTGATTCTACTTCATTAAATATTGTTTAGTTCTGAAAGGAAAAGGAAAAAAGTCACATATGTAAATTATCAGTTTTAATATAGCAGGGATGAATTGAATCTCAAATAAGTCCTTGAAACAGCCGATTCCATATTTTTAAAGACCATTAGAGTACTTCTCTTTAGTTTTCAAAGGGTGAACCTTGAAATTATTAGAGTACCTCTCTTTAACGATTAAATAGTGACTCATGAAAAACAAAATTAAGACCTTCAAAAATTAGAGAAGCAAGGAAAATAAATTTAACAAGATAAAAATGTAAATGATAATTTTTAAAAATACTTTAAGGGTGAGAAAAATATCAAAGAAGTCCTTGAGGCAGTGGATGCTGTATCTCCAAAGACAGATCTCGGACTACTGATAACAGCTTTGGTGACTTGCAATCGAAGAGATTTGGCAGACCTGCTGCAATCTTTCATTAGTCAGCCATTAGAGTCAACAAAAGATCAAAAACCATTTGACAAAGGTGTGGAAACAACAAACCAACAAAGTGCTTTTGAAGGCTTTGCATATTAGCAGCATTTACTGTTATAAAATAAATTGTTGAATCATCTGATTTGCCCTACAGGTAGTTTTTTTTTAAACTTTGGGGTTATAACAAATGAAAATTTTGATAACATATATATATAAATATTTTTTTAAATAAAAAATGACACAATTTTAATCAGTGTTTCATAGTTTAAATGAAAAGAAAGCTATATGTATCAGTACATTATATATATATATATATATATATATATATATATATATATATATTATTCATTTCAGAGTCAAAGAAGAAACTTGAGCAAGCTGAGCTGCATATATCACAAGTTCCATTTTCTAAGATAAATGAAATTGTCTGCCATGTCAGCATTACAAGTGACGATGGTCAGTAGCTTTTTTGCTTCAGTTGATCATTGTTCAAATCATCAAATTAATGACACACATGTCAAATCACTTACTTTCATTGTTTGTATTTCCACAGAAATAGACCTATTAAACCCATCCTTTCTTACCACATTGTCGCCTGTTTATTGTTCAAGTGCATTGATGTATTGGCTCGTTATCTTAAATGCTTTTATCAGCTCTCACATATTTGTCATGTACAACACATTATTTCGCGTATTGGCAGTAAAAATTTTGTAATGATGTGGAATAGTGACTCGGCAGAATGCAAACTAAAAAAAATTAATATAAAACTTTATTTGTATACTGAGTAAGATGTTGCAGTACTAACAGTATCAGATAGTACTGAGATGTGTCAATTTAACAAACACAGAGAGAGAGAGATTAAAGATAGATACGAGGGCGAGTCAATAAATAACCAGATGTGTTAGGCTGGTTATTTATTGACTTGCCCTAGTATTTTACATGTTATTTTTAGGAAAAGATTGGAGACTGGCAGCTGAACTGATGGGTATAGAAAATTACCAGAATCTTATTGCACTGTGGGCGCAGAGTGAGAGGCGGCCGTTCGAGAAAGTTTTGGCTTGTTGGGAGAAAAAGATGGATGCCACAGTGGGCAAGTTGCACGAGATTTTACTTGCCATTGGTCACGAGAGATGTGCATCACTGCTGATGGGTTTATGATTTCTGAGGTAACACAAGGTGAATTTTTGTTTTTACAAAGTATTACGGTTTCTTTCTTTTTATTTATTTATATATTTCTTTTCCTTATTAATTTTTTCATTACGAGTAAATATTTCAGGACAGATTAGAATCATTAGCAGTGTCCACATTCAGTGGAAATCGTAACTGATATTCAGTTCAAAGGCATTTATTGGGGATTAAAATAAAAAAATAAAAGGAGTTTTGTGAATGATAAATATTATATGGCTTACTAGTAAATATAAATATATGACAATTTTGCTATTAACTGTATAAATTAAGTTAAGGTAAAAATGTTAAGAACATTATTTTGTAACAGAAGCTGTGCTGCAACTCGTTTCAATATTTTGTCTTCATTTTATGTTATTATTTTAGGTAAGGAACATTAAAGCACCTCTGCAACTGGAGAAAGGAGTGTTCGTTACCTAACTGATGCCGCTCAGATCAAGATATATGAAAACATGTTGAGTGCAAACAGACCTTGCTGTACATGTAGATTTTAGAGGCTGTTCCAAAACTCAAGATAAAACTTACTTAATGCACTATGAGGTAGTATTGTATTACAAAGTTTTATATGGCCTCTAGTTTGAAAGAAATGGCTAAAAATTCTGGGCTTATGTTCCAGTCTCTCATAAAGTTGTTACTGCTTTTATTACATTCTTATGTCATATATTTCCATAAATGGTGTCTAACATATCATTGTATAGGTGTTAATAGTATATATTTTTATAGTTTTATGTTATTCCAGAATTTGAGATTAAATCCAGTGTAGTGGAGCTTAAAATAATGGTATTACCAGTAAGATATATCACAAGGTGGGTAATGGTTGGGGTGGTACAGTAGATAAATGTTTGTGACTGGTCCTCACAAACATTTTTCCACATTCATTGGTTGATCCCATTATATAGGCCACTTTGTGTACAACTTTTTGCATATAGGCCTCTTTTAAGGTGTGGTGTATTTTCTTATAATGTATATACTAAAAACATTATTAAAAAGTTAAATATGACATAAAATATTCCATAGTTGTAAACATGCCCTAATTTCCTCAATACAAGTGATGTAACATGTCAAGTGCATTGTACGTCATATTCAGCATGCAATGGTTATTTTATTGGTGCAAAATTATGTATCGCTGATGATCCTTTTAACCACCCCTTACATGTTTTACAGAGCATTTTCTTGGAGTATTTCCTATTTACTGACTCTGAGAGAATTGAAAGTATAAATATATATATTTTTTTAAGTATTGTCATAAAGCAATCAAACTGCAATTACAATGTACTTTACAAGCCAAAGAACACAGTGAACTTAAGTGAATTTTAGGAGATACTAATGGTCCAGAGAACCTGCACTACAGTACAAGAAATGTGCAGGTCCTCCCAGTTCTGAGCTGGTCCGAACTAAATATTTTGTTCTCGTTAGTCTATGTTTACATGTTATTTATTATTATTATTATTATGTATTGTATTTTCACATAAACCTTGTCAGTCCAGAGGACCAGGGATATGAAAAATCTTATAGGTCCTCTGGCATTTCAAGCAGCCAAGACTAATTGGACAGGCACTCTCTCCATGTCTGAATTTTTTCCGTTTTTTTTTTTTTTTTTTTCATTAATGAATGTTATACACTCAAGTTATTACAGTGACGTACAGAATGTCCTTGTCAAGAGCTGCTGATCAAATTAATCTACACTGAAATGTGTCTTCTTCTTAGTTCCAGGTTGAAACATACATGTACTTATATCTGTGATAATACAATTTTTCTTTTAAATAGTCAAGTCCATTATTTGGGAAAAGCGTATGAAAATCCCAAGAAAGCCTATATGTACAGAAATTTTATACTTACAGCTTACAGAAAGCACAATCCCAAACAACATTTTATTTAACTTGCAAAAACAACTATCACAGATGTCCTTGTGCATTTTAATGAATATTTGGTTATCTTGTTTTTTATTAATTTTTTTTCCAAACTTCAATAAAATGTATATTAAGAGAAATACACTTTTATTATATTTCTTTGGAATATACTGACATAAAAGTTGTCTATATAAATTCATTAAATCCAGAAGTTTCACTGGAGATATCAATGGTTCTATCCATGCTTTCTGGTCTTTTATCAGAACTGTTATTATGAACTTTGGTGTTTATCAAAAATTCCAGAATAAACGTATTGGAAAAAGTTTCAGCTTTGTTTTTCAAATAATTTCGATAACCAAGCTGATAATGGAAAGCAGTTCAATAAAGCTAGTTGTCTCCTTCCGAAGCCACTGAAGACTCAGTCCTTACATAATAAGGCCCTTCCTTGTGGTAAGTTCGAAGACGTAAGAAATATGGCTGACCAAATATCTCCACAGCCGTAGGAGATTCAACAAGAGTTTTAACAATCTCAAATTTTCCATCTTTTCCTTCCTTTGTCGTTTCTGTTGATCGGTCCAGGAGGTACTCTGTAAACCCAGGGTGTTCCTTAAACATATGCTGTCCCCAAGGTTGGGCGGCCACGACAGTGTAAACATTCAATGCTGCAGTCTTAAGCTCGGTGAAAGGCTGCAGGGTGATATTGTGAAGAACCTCCATGGGCTTTGGAGCGATTCTTCTGAACCAAGATTCTGTGAGATTGAGTAACTCTTCAGTTTGGTCTGGTACCTTTTTTAAAAAAATATATATATATATTGGCAGAGGTAATAAAAACTAAAATAGAAATTCTACATAGTTGTCCTGTAAGTTCAATTTGGCATGGGGTAATTTCTATCATACTGACATATAAGTAGTTTACAATAAGATGTCAATAAATGCGATGTTCTACATCAATGTTTATAATTTTATTACTCTAACCAGCAGACATTGCAATCTTTCAAATTTTGTCTGTTAAATATTCAGTACAAAAATGTATAGCTCCTTCTGCCATTCTGATTCACAAATTTAAAAAAAAAAAACAGGATTCCATACTAAAATTCACCATTAAAACTTTCCTTTAAATGCACCATATTATGTCTGATTCATCCACCCAAAAATGCACCTATTGCAACCAAATTTTCTTTAGGAACTAAAAAAGATTAATGCTTTCAAGTGAAAATCTAACTTAAACACATTGGCCTGTACTTATGAAAAGGAAACCCAATTGTTTTTAGGAATTAATTGGCAGGATTTGGATCAAATATCACGTCCTTGGTAAAATATATAAATAGTGCTGCCCAATGCATCAATATATATATATATATATAGGAAATACATGTAAATATGATTGAAGAGGTTCATTTGAGTATGAAAATAAATGGAATCATGCTCTTTACATACATGAAAACTTTTTTCCTAATTTAGGGGAGGGGGGGTCTGATGAATTCAACCACAAGTCAGTTATGTGATAGGTAAAGCACTGATCTTTAAAACCAAAAATATAAAGTAAAAATGATAAGTCAAAAGCACAAAATATTTCACTCACAAAAACTTTCTGCATTGTATATTATATCAAACTGTTAACTTACAAAGACTCAAATAATTTCACAAAATATGTCTAAATTAAGCTACAACAAAACAAAAATTGTAATACATTCTCTACCAGTTTGTTACCTTCAGTTTCAGTAGGTTTGCCACACTGTTTAGTGCTATCACTCTCTGTTCTGATGGAGGTTCCTTGACTAGCTTTCCAATTCTCTCTACTGCTGCTGGAACCACTGGCCCTAAAAATCAATAATAAAAGTTCATTTTAAAAATACAGTATGTCCAATTAAATGAATTTCTATACAACTGAGCGCATTCAATGTACTCATCATTCATTATTATAATCAAGAAACTTTTTAAATTTACTGTTGTGCATATATATATATATATATATATATATATATATATATATATATATATATATATATATATAAAACAACCACACACATCTATCTGGAACATGCAACTTTGTAATTATGCCTATAAGACAAAATGCAGGGATATGAAGAGAAAACTGTTTTACAAGAGAAAAATAATACCCAAGGACAGTAATGGAAAGATACAATGGAAATTCTCACTGACGGTTTCACATGGTTTCCGCGGCCGGTAGCTACAATGACTGGATGGATTTAAAGTACAGAAAGGAGGGTTATTCTCATTAAATGCTGAAACCTGGGAATGCCACGCACTCAAAGTATGTTACAATATAATTTTAACAAGAACTTGAGAAGTAAATCAGTGATTTTGATGTGTCTGTTGCTATCAAATACAGTAAAATAAGGTGACATATGTGCCCTAATGCCAGAAATGAGTTCCTTAGTAGTGTGCTGGCAGGCATTTATTATAATGTCAAAGCAGTTACTATTAATCAACATTCTGAACTTTTCCAAACAAACAAACCAAATGATATACAAGTCAAGTACATCGAGATACTTAAAGAAAAGTTTTAATGTCCTTTGGGAAAGGAAGTCTTCCTGGTTCAAAGTTTGAAAGCACTTAGGTCCAAGTATCCTTTTATATTCTAGAAACTAGAAAAGCACTTCGAGCGCAGACCTCCACCAAGGCAGCAATTTTTTATTATTATTGATTATTGATTGATTATTGATCCAGATCACCACCAAAAACTAATCATCTTTTCCTTGGCTCATCAAAATCAGTCCATAGCTTTTTGAGTTATGTTGATGACAGACAGACAAACAAACAAACAGACAAACAGGGGTGAAAACATAACCTCCTTGGCGGAGGTAATAAAAACTAAAATAGAAATTCTACATAGTTGTCCTTATGTAAGTTAAATTTGGCATGGATTTATTTCTACCATACTGTCATATAAGTAGTTTACAATAAGATGTAAATAAATGCAATGTTCTACCTCAATGTTTATAATTTTATTACTCTGACCAGCAGACATTGCAATCTATGAAAATCTGTCTGTAAAACATTCAGTACCAAAAGTATAGCTTCTTCTGTGATTCTACAAATGATTTACAAACTTAAAAACAGGATTCCATACTAAAATTCACCATTAAATCTTTCCTTTAAATGCGCCATACTAAGTCAGATTCATCCACCCAAAAATGCAGCTATTGCAACCAAATTTTCTTTAGGAACTAAAAAAGGTAGACAATTAATGCTTTCACGTGAAAATCTAACTTAAACACATTGGCCTGTACTTATGAAAAGGAAACCCAGTTGTTTTTAGGAATTAATTGGCAGGATTTGGATCAAATATCACTTCCTCGGTAAAATACTGTATATAAATAGTGCTGCCTACTTCATCAATTCACACAAGAAGTCGATTCCCCTGGCAGTCGATTCCTCTAGAAACTCTGCAGCTTCAAAAGGAAGATCCACCATTGCCATGAAGCAGAGAAGTATTGTCATTCTCTTTGTTTGTAGTTTTCTTCTGTTTTCCAATATCAATTGTAGACCAGATGGGAAAGATACAGAGGAGGAAGACAGCAGTGCCAAAGACAGATTGATACTTGCTGAGCATGAGGTATGAGGAAATTAAACCCACCTTTCACAAAATATTGTTTCTTTACCAAATTCGTTTTGCTGAACTATGTATCACAGCACTCATTATTTTTATTTTTTCAATACATAAAGTGATTAAACAGATGGTGAACAAAAATGTTAACCCTTTTTGATTGAAAACAAAGGATGTGACATTTCAGTAACATCTAGACAACCACAAGTAGTCTGGCATTTAGGAGGGGGAGGGGAGGGCAGAGAGACCTGAGAGAAAAATATGTTTAACCCCTGGCACCAACCCCATCTTTGCACAAAAGAGCAAAAGAGAGAAGACACTTTAGGCTTACAGAATCTTGTTTTCTTTTCTAAGAGGGTTTGGGAGCAAAAAATGACAATGCAAATTTTCTTGTTCCGTTCTCTATGCGTTCTCTATTTGCTAGTTTTTTATATAGACCGTTATACTGGATGATAAAATTTAATTTAGAAGTAAAGATGTAAGAAACCATCAACAAAATATACATTGTTTCATAATGTTAAGTATATTTCAGAAACAAGCTGATCAGCAATACGAAAAAGAAAAAGAGGACGGAATGAGCCTTGCAACTGAGAGTATAAAGAAGGCAATTGATTCCCATGAGCACATACGACAAAGACGCCAAGCCAATGTCACGAAAAAAGTGCGTAAATCACAACAGCCAGGTAAGGGACCATCTCATCCAGCCCTGTACAACACACTGGCTCCATCAACTCAGGACACATCTAACACAATATCAGCTAGTCCATTTAAATCTGCCCATTTTCAGCATGTACTGACACACCTACAAACAGTACTTGTTTGAACTCAAATAAATCCAATACTTTTTCTATTTTTTTTTTTAATTTAAAAAAAAAATTTAAAAATTTTATTTATTTATTAATTTTATTTTGGAGGGGGGGGAGATAGGGAGTGGGAGGGTGTCTAAGGTAAAAGTGCAAGGTAAAATATGTCATCATTAATCTGATGATATGAATGCATGAAATATGATACAACTATATTTCTACATTACAGGGCTTGCTGGTGGCACCACCTACATCAGATGGGGAAGAACAAGTTGTCCAAAAGGAGTAGAACTCATCTACAATGGCAAGTACAATGTATTTGTCTTAATTTGCCTGTTGACTTAATTTATCTTTATTATTAACCAGGTATCGATAACATTCTACTAATGTGTGTTATTTGCATTAAAATTGTTAAGTGTTAGATGAAGACCTTGTACTGTATGAGGACACCAGGTTACATGTAAATAAATCAATCTGCATATTTATCCATACAGTCACTGGAGTGCCACAGCAAAATTCTTTCTAAGTTAAAGTGCATCTTTTCCAATGATTTGACAATTTAAAATGGAAACGTGTGTTGAGAACTGGAGTATTAAGTCAATAAACATAAATTCCTTCAATACAGGTATTGCTGCTGGGTCATGGTTTGAACACAAGGGCAGCGGTAGCAACTTTCTCTGCCTACCACACCACCCTGAATGGGGCACACACAAAGATGGCTTCCAGTCAAATTCCTACATATACGGTGTTGAGATGGAGATTCACGGCAATGACCCCTTCCTGAAGATAAACACTCCCAAAACAGAAAAACTGAACCAGGAGACCGCAGTCTGTGCTTTGTGTTACGTCCCCACACGCGCGACCACAGTGATGATACCCGCCATGAAAGCGTGTCCAGCTGGCTGGACCATAGAGTACAATGGCTACATCATGGCTGCCCATCACAGTCACCACAGAGCTGAGTACGTATGTGTGGACGAGGCCCCCGAAGTTAACGAAGGAGGGAATGGGGATCAGAATGGTGCATTGTGGTATGTCGTGGAAAGTGGCTGCGGTACTCTCCCCTGTCCTAACTATGTGGCTGGACGAGAATTGGTCTGTGTTGTCTGTACAAAGTGATCACCAGTCACGTGTTTATGCTTACAGTTTGAGCAGTAGTGATCAAAACTATTTACTTGATAACTTGTTAAGCGATTTATGTCTTGTATCGACTTAATCGACAATATTTACTCTATTCACCAACAGAACTGTCTTCTACAGCATTCCTCACCAGACAGAATAAGTGTTAAGATGTGTAAAGTGTGAACATCTAGTATCAAGTTTTAAGATGTGTCAGATGTAACAAATTATTGTAAAATACTGTAATGTGGCTACCGTATTTACAAAGTGGAACAATGTTAAATTTGTCAGTTGTGATTGTGTTAGAATATAAAACAGTGAACATTTTATTGGAGACAGTTTTGCTTTCTAATGCATTAAAAATTCAATTGAAAAAGTTTCTTTATGTCTCAGTGAATTTATAATAAAGCGCTGAAAAGATACTGGGGTAAATAAATACTTATTATCAATATCTTCTATTTAATTAAACTATTATAAACTGTGTGCAGAATTCTAAAAAATTATATACATTGTCAAGCAATAGTGTTAGTAACATAGAAGATATAAATACCCATTTTATCAAAAGTCAACTTTCCCTCTGCAGTGCTTCCTATAAACCCCAGGGTCTGGACGGCCACGCCCCTCAGAGTCACATCCTGGCACTCCAGATAAGAAAACACCATGTTCACAAAAGTCTTGTACTTGGTCATGATCTCTTTAGGGTGAAGGAAGGCAACACTGCCAAAGAATTTGATGAGACCTAAAAAAACAATAATAACATAAAAACGATTGAAGTTACATGTTTCGGTACATTCAAGTTCTTATGAAACCTAGGTACTTTTTTTTATGTCACTAATACGATAAAACTAAAAGTTGAATGCAGATTGAACAAGATGTGTGATGCTTTAATTTTAACAGAAAATTACAGTAAATCAAATCTTAAAAGTAATAATTTGAATACAATATCCTTAAATCTCAAACCTCTTAAATACTTTATAAAGTCGTATATTATTCCTCCACATAAGTACTGACTGACTTGTGCAACATTTCACTTACAATATTGAACTCAGTATGTATATAAATTCCTCAATCATTAAAAACAAGCAAATAAAAACAAACACTTAAAAAGAAAACACATTTGAACCAACTTCAAGTTACCAGGAAGCAGAAGTCCCATCATTGGGTCAGACTCAATATTTCCCATCATGGTCTCTAATTTTCCCAGGACCCCTTGCTGGTCCAGATACAACAGACCATGTTGACACATTGCTAGCTGTGACAGCATTTCAATACAGTTCAGCTGAACCAAGATGTCATCTTTATACATGTCATTGATCAGTGGCTGCAAGAAGCCATTGCTTGAGCACATCAACAAGGCCTCCGGGGAGTTCTGGGAGATCTCTATGAACACCTGGAGGAAATAAGATGAATCAAATATTTTTGATTAATGTCTCACATCAAAGAATTACTAGAACATGCATGAATAAAAATGTCTATATAGATGTGAAATCATTAGAAAAAAATTTGAAATTTCACTAAAAATCTCTCCCTCCCCCCAAAAAAATTCAAAACATAACTTGAACTGCAAATAGTCTATTTCACAGGCAATTTTTCTACAAGAGCATACACAAAAACATGAATGCATATTGTGCATGTAATAATACAATCAAAGCCAAATGTGGCCTGAAAATGAAAAGCATCTGCAGCTATTGTATAGCCCCATTATATCTGAAGCATAATATTTCAATAGACATGGTATTCAACAGAACTGGTGCACAAACATTTGGAGGCAAGAAGTAGTGGTTAGCCAGCTACATACTGGTATGTGTGACAGGGAACTTTATATTACATCAAGGAAGGTCACACAACTTGTATGATATGTAAGTTAGGTAAAGGGTTTCTGAACTACCAGTAAATGTAATTCACTGTCAGTTAAGCAACCACATTACATAAAAATAAGCTGAAGCTTCACAATTTCTGGTCAATGTAAAGAGTACATGGCTAGCTAATTTATTTTAAGTGTATGCTGTTCTTTTGACCAGTATATCATTTTTCACTGCGTGTTTAGCATTACAAGTATCAAGAGGCTGATGGACATTTCTCTCTCTATGGGCTGGGGAACCAGTTACCCACCCTGTATCTTTTACATGCACACATATCTGTAAATATAATAACTGCTCCATGTGGTATTGCAATTAATACTGGTACCCCTTGTCTTGGGAGTTTTAGAAACTTTAAGATAATAACTTTTTTAGTCAGAATTCATCATACTTGGTGTGAAAGTCAACTGCAACAAGAAACCTGATAAACTGATGTCACTTGACCAATGTGTAACATACTTATGCTGTTTTTTTTTTTCAATTATGGCTACCTTAATTGTTAAGCAAATACATTTTTACAATAATAATTTTTGTTTGATTTCAGATATCATCCAAATTATTCCTTACAGTCCAATATAAATTTTACAGTTGTGATATAATTCAGACAGATATCCAAGCAGACATGGCTCAATTTGTAACACTTTTTCATGGATCACATACAAAACATGAAACATGATTAATCTTTTACTCAGTGATGGAAGGGTTTTCCATGAATACTTATTCTATATAAAAGGTACTTGCATATTGCCTCACTGACTGATAAAAGGTAGCCATGATAATATAAAAGATGTCCAGACCAAAATTACTAAAAGCTTCGGCCACGAGATCATCCGACAAAGCATTCTATTCCTATGCCATGGCCACAGACCACACCGGCAGTCGCATCTATGTAAGAGAAGGAAATGAGAAATCATGCTCAGTTCTTGAACTTCTACGTGGGAGCAATGGCCAGTTTAAGACCTGCATTCCCGCAACTACTGGAGGATACCACAATATGGCTGTGTCTGACTCAGGCCATATTTATCTCTCTGACAGTGTTGACAAGGACTTAAAAGTGTATTCACCGACAGGTGTGCTGTCAAATAGTTTTGGAGGCCACACTCTTCAGAAGCCTGGGCCTCTGACTATAAGCAAACAGGGACACGTTCTGGTGTACGATAAGCAACATCGAAGTGTCTTTTCATTCAGTCCCGACGGTGGACATGTGGTGAAAGTAGTGCACATTAACAAAGATATAACCCCTTTCTGCCTGACTGTTGATAGAGAAAATGAAAATATCTTGCTAACAGATCATGACCACCACTGCTTCTATGCTCTCTCACTGGACACCGGTCAAGTTGTTTTTAGCCATGGCACCCCTGGCCGGAGTGGATCCAGTAACACTCAGTTGTACTACCCCTCAGGGGTTTGCACGGATGGACATGGTCACATTTTCATTGCTGACCAGTGCAATAAGAGGGTGGTCATGTTAAGTCTCAATGGTCAATTCATCAAACATTTGCTTAATGAGATGGATGGACTTCGGAAACCTCTGAGTGTAGCTATCGATTCAGAGGGACATATTGTTGTGGCTGATCAGTTTAAAAATCAAGACAGATGGGCCTACGCCCTCAAAACATTTCAATACTGGTAAACAATTAATATCTGGTAAAATATCTGAATCACTTTTTCACAAGAAAAAAGTGACAATTTTCTTTTTAATTCAGTATAATACATTGAATTTATACTGATACATGTTATTAAAAATAATTATTTATTGATAATGCATTTTTCTCAGAAGTATTAAAACTTAATTTTTTGTAATCTGCAATGAACACTGAGAGTACTTAGTTTAAAGAGTCAATAAATGTTAACTCACTAATGGTCAATTATTATTATTAATTTCTAAAATGAGCTTTTTTCTGTTATTCTTACCTCATGTACCCTATACCTAGTTATGTCATCTTGTTCCATCACATTGCGGAGTTTCTCCAGCATAACACCCTGTGACAGACCTTGTAGGCAACTTATATTTCTACCTGTGGAATAATAATTTGACATATTATAGTTTCTCCATCATAACACCCTGTGACAGACCTTGTAGGCAACTCATATTTCTACCTGTAAAATAACAAACTGACATTATACAGTTTCTCCAGCATAACACCCTGTGACAGACCTTGTAGGCAACTCATATTTCTACCTGTAAAATAACAATCTGACATATTATAGTTTCTCCAGCATAACACCCTGTGACAGACCTTGTAGGCAACTCATATTTCTACCTGTAAAATAATCATTCGATATGTTATGCAGCCAAAGTAAGAAATGACATTCATGTAATACAGAAGGCACAAAATGCAGTGTAAAATCATGTCAAATCAGGCAAAGAAGACTACCAAAATGGCTAAAATTCTTAATTTCAGTAGCCAATTCAGGATCAAAAGCATGTTTGTAAAACAATTCTATCAAACATATCACTAAGTTAAAGCCAATATGATTTAACATATATTATGCTATAATTTTCAAAATATTGCTTCTATCTTTATAAACAATAACAACAGAGACAGACAATAACATCCTCATGCAGCAAAGAACAAATGACACAAGAATCAAAGACCCCATTTCCAGAGATTAGATTGATCTACTTTAGATCGACCTAACTCCCTGGGGGTTCACGCTAAATAGCTGTCAGCCGGGCGGACACGAAAGTTAATTACCCCCTTACAGCTTGTAGTAGGCGGGACGGACATTCAAGCCGGATTATCTGACAGTAATCTAGTGAGACTCCCCGCGAGGATAGATCAATCTAAAAGCTCTGTGAATTCAGCCAAACACGTTTACCCACCTAGATTTATCAGCACCTTTCCAGCAGCCTTGGCGACTCCAATACTTTTATCTCCCAGCTGTTTGATAATGACTAGCAAGATGTCAGAATATGTCATCAACTCTGAGGGGTTTTCCTCAGCAGCTCTCTGAACCTGTGTATGTAAATGGCCTAACTGTTAGTTCTCAGTTTTGGCACAGTAAATTTTTTTGGTTCAATGCATAATTGTATTTGTCTCAGGCAGTAGATGATGCATTTTTTGTTTTAGTACAGAAAGTACAGCAAATCACATAATCAATGAAGTGTTAATCCAGCAAAACACATATAGGTCTAAAATAAAACAACACTTTGTATTTAAAATGTCAGTGCCTTTAAAAGAGTAAAGAAGTAAAGTGCAAAAGGGAAAAAAAGAAGAATGTTACCTGTTTTAAGCAGACCTCCCTAACAGGCTGTTTTGGATTCTCCAAACCTCTCAGTAATTCTTCATTAAAATTAATTAGCAAGGCCTGTGTCTGGAGGGCTTCCAAGAGTCTTCCCAATATGTCACAACATGTCTGAACCTCTTCACTTTAACAAAAAGAACAGCTATATTTCATTTTCTTGTTGAGTTATACATGTAAATAAGGGCACATTCATAACAAGTTGATCTAAATAACAGATTCAGGGATCGAATATGGCTGACCCATCTGAAAGCTTGCTGCATAATCCCCCAGTATACACTGAATAGATTCCCCATGGGGGTTGCAAGGTAAGCTTTCAAGTGGGTCAGCCAAATTTAATCCGCAGGATATGTTCATCCACATACATATATATACTGTATCAACCGAAGTTGTGAATAGTTTATAACAAAACCCAGACAATGAAGAACATTACAATATTTAATCAAATTATAGTAACTACCAATATTATCCACAGGATGATAGCAATATTAAAATTAATTCTATCACTTGTTAACAGATGTATCTTTAGTATTAGACCCCATTTCTATAGATGCCATCTGTCTATGTTTGTAGATTGATCCGACTCTGAAGGGACTTGCCTCTTCTGTTTACAATCCCTTACAAAAAACTCCTATAGGATCCTATAAGATCCTATAGGATTCTATAGGAAATTGGGCCAATTTTCTATAGGATCCTACAGGACTTTTTCGTTAGGGATATTCTGGCATAATAATTATTAACCAGCTTTTCTGTATTCTACTCATCACCCAGAGGAGGCGTGTCATTCAGTTACGCTGATTCCACTCACAGAGTTGGATCGATCTACAAAAACCCATGAAGTACATGGAAATAGGGCCTTCATTCACAACAACAACACCAAATATAGCGGTATACAGCTCCATTGTCAAAATTGCTGTCTCATCGTTATGGATATGTATTGGTTAAGAAGAGCACCATAAAAACATTTCTAATAACTAAATATATCATTTGCATTTGCTTTGTATGTCATACCTAGCAAAACCCATTCCCATCTCACTGTATTTAAATATATTCGTCCAATAATATTTTTATAATGAAAATTCGTCTGCATGTGCCAAAGGGACAGCATCACGCTGGTTTTTAAGCTCACCTGTTGGAGGAGTTTAAACAGTCAAAAACTGAGCTAAATGACACGTTTGGGACAACATCACGAAGTGCTGAAGGGTGGACTGCAAAAAGGACGGTTTTTATCTGTATCAACGTTTTCAGTGGATCGTCAGAATTTGGCAAAGCATCTAACAATGCAGAAATGTTCATGCTGCCGTCTCCAGCCATCTTTTTCAAGACAATCCCAGACCAAGTCTATTTGTTTCCGGTGCATGTTGCCGCACAATATTTAGCAATAATAAGTTATTTAATTTTGCCCCTTTTTCAATTGAAAATTCATCAATTGTCTTTCTTTCATTTTTGTTCCAGATCGTTCTTTTCATTAATCGCTTCTAACGCAAAAAATCCCTAGTGACAGCTTTTGGAACTAAAGCTTACCTGTGCTTTTTGTTACTGTATTGACAGGCTAAATTATCTAAACTGGAAAAAATTTAAACAGTTAATGAATGACTCCTTATTTTTCACATTTCTTCGTTATACCCAGTATATTTCAGGAGAACAAATTAAACATAAAAGAATTTTGATAATTTTTTCCTAGCGTTAGACTAGCTCATTTAAATACAATATGCGAATTGATGTTGAGTTGAAATTTGCTGTAAACTCATTGACCAAATTTTGATTTGAATATCAAGGTCACTTTAGGGCCAATATGTAACTGAATTTAGAAAAACATTGAAAAGCAAAAAGGCCTACAGTGTATTTGATTATAACTGTAGGCCCTATATGCAAGCGACTTTTTTCTTTCTACTTCGAAGTGAAAAAGCATTGTCCATGACCAGTTCTATGCCTACTCCGGAGGGGAAAGACTTCTTAATTGTGTCTGCAAGGTTTTCAGCCAGCGTTGTTTAAAATCTCAGTGGCGAGATTTTGCTGTATATAAGAATCCTTTGTTACCTCATATTAACTAAAAAAACGTATAAATGATTTGTTTCAATATTTGTACATGTAAATCACTAATTTGATCTTTTCAGAAATCCCTATTTGATTAAAGGTAATCTAAAATAGTTCTTCAAATCAACACAATATTTTTTCCACAACACGATTACAAAAATAAAAATAAGGGCCAGATAATGATAATAGTAGTAGTAGTAGTAGTAGTAGTAGTAGTACATGTAGTAGTAGTAGTAGTAGTAGAATACATAAATAAATTAATAGGCAAAATATAACTCAGGTAAAAAGTTTTTCTTTTCAACATTCCTAAAATAATATGGATTGTTTCGCTAATTGCGTTATTTGATCGGGATCTTACCGTTAAAATGTAGAATTAAAATAAAACATTAATTGGTAATTTTTATTCAAATCATTACTCATTAAACTTGGACCAGTGAAACGTTTTGTTTTTATTCGTGTAAGCATAAAAACTAGTCACTAAACCAAAGTAGTCTTTATGTCCATCGTTTGTAACATTGTTGTTGTTTCTTGTTCCCCCTTTGATAACCTACTAAAAGCATGTAACCCGCGTGAGTGCATTCTTTGTCCTAGTATAGATTATAATAATCGCAGTTTATTAAAGGCCTGTGATTTCTGTGTCGTTGTAACAATTTCTATTCAATGTTTTCGTTGTGATGTATATCACATTTCACTCTAGCCGTGGCCTTTATAAGGCAATCAATCTGTACAGTTCAATAATAGTGTAACAGATTTGTATACAAGTCGCAAGCGTTTCCAAGTATGGAGAGTTACAACTGGCCAGCAACGGGAATCGATAGTGTAAACTGCCTGAGTGACACAGAGTCACTGCAGAGTTTGGTGTGATATATTTGACCATTTGCCGTGGTTTCCTGTGCATTTGATTTGCTGAAAACTGCGCTTGTTTGACCTAATGAGTCGTGTTTACGCTGCATTTCGGACCGATCAGCGGCACCTACATGTAAGATGAAACACTGAAGCAAAGAGTCGGGGCTAGAACAAGGTCACCACTTATAAAGCCACTTTACTGTGATAAGAAACCATAAACCATAAAACTTTCAATATATTGACACAGAGACAGGGAGATATTTTTACAAGTAGATCGAAGATGTCCGCGGCAGACGACGTTGTAGATTCCAAGTCCTGTTGCCCCAAAGTCACAACTCATAAAATCGCTTTATACATAGGTCTCGGATTTCTACAGTTGCTATGTTACGCCTTGCCGTATTTCCTAGCAATATGGCACGTGGTAGACAAATTCAAGGAGGAAACGATCCCTCAGAATGTATCGCACGAGCGAGACCATTTTCTCCACGGTCTGGACGTAACAGCCGGGTTTTTCTGGAATATCATGATAGCAATCTTCGTCGGCCTGGTTACTGTGGCCCTGATTGTTTACTTCGCCATTAAGGTGTCCTGGCCGCATGCAAGAGAATGGTGGTAAGGTTATATTATATTATATTATATTATATTATATTATATTATATTATATTATATTATATTCAAAGGCGCTCATCTAACTATTGTTTGAGTCCGCCTGTTTCGCTAGACTTTACCATTTTACCTATTTTTGTGTCTATTCGTTTGATTTCGTGATTATTTTATGCGTCTCTTCACTATCAGGCATGAACTATCAGCAAATAATGCTTTTGTAAATTTATAAAGTACGAATGTAAGCAAGCATTTAGACGAGCACATGTGTAGCTAAAACAGTAGTTAAAAGTTTCGTATAATCTATTGCATTTTATTTTTCAATGTCTTCAGGCGCCCTTCCATAGCTGTGTACGTTATATTTTGCTTACTTCCGGTCATGACTTTGTTTGGGGTTACTTACAAGGTAACTAATTATTGGTCTGAACAATGATGTTTCTTTTATACGTCTTACATACAGTTATTGAAAAAATCGAAAAATATTTGACATGAACTTAATGTTTTCAAAATCATATTATGCCGATACGTATTCCCATCAAATTCTTTGCCACGTTGAGAATAAATTAATGTCATTAGTTTCTAATAAATTATTGCTAATCATTAATCTTTCGAAGATTTAAATTTAGAGTTTACACTCCCCTTATTTCCCCTAGGTTTATGCGCCAAAAATCCCTTGTTCAGTAGTAAAGACGCACCCTGAGACATCTACTGGTAATTCTACTGATAATTGCTCAACTGTACTTGGAGAATCGACATCTTCACTCCAAGCGGCCAAGTTCGACAGTTTTGACGAATGGAGCATGTTCATCCTCCAAGTAACATTGATATGTCTGATTATCAACGAATGGTTTGCCAAATTTCAAGAGGTGAGCATACAATTCACCAGATTTTTTTCTTTTCTCTAGTTGCTCCATTGTCGACGGATTCAAAATGAAAATAACAACATATTTTTTGTTTTGAGTAATATTAAATACAAGTACAAAGTTTGTGTTATTTAGCAGTGCAACATTTTTTCTTTTTGATCAACCTAGAAATGTGTCTCTAGAATTTCTTTGTTGAGAAAAAATTTACAAAATCTTTACCATATCACATTTTAGGTAAAGAAAGGCTCAGAAATCGAAGACGTGTATCCCATTATCAAACAATGCGGATCAGAATTCTTTCCACTGTACGATATAGCAACTTTCCAAGGATTACTACTTCAAAGAGACGTATTTGCTAACAATGCGTTAGTTGTGTCGATCGTCGCATTTACCTTGTTGAGCACACTGAAGTTTGTGCCAACTCCTCCAAAAGACGAGTTTGGCAAAAACAAGCTCAAAGCAGAGAGAAGTCGAACGTACAGTGCCTGCTACTACCTAAACCAAGTCCTTATTCAGGATATTCCATACTTACTGGTTCGTATTTACATTATGGCGTCTTTACGCAATGGAAGGACTCTGAACGAGCTGGTTTTTTCTTTTAAAAATGCGTTTTATATTGCCTGGTATTTGTTGTTGATTGTGTTATTATTCATCGCCGCTGAAAAGGCCGAAGACGAAATGGAGATACACGTTGTGGAGGTACAGAAAAATGTCACTGACATTATGAGAGAAAACGTAAAAAGATCACGAAAACAGCGTGCATATTTACAAGATACTGAAGCATCCCTACAAAATCCAGTACATGGAGAAAAACCTCGAAGGTCAAAGAACGGTAACCTTCACTCTCTGCTGTTAGACGAAACAGTTAAAGACGGACAGGAAAAGGTGCGCAAAAGCAGGAGAAAGAAGTCTGAAAAGTCCGGTCACCGAAAAAGAAAAGACGAGGGTACGGTGCTGGATGAAAGCGCAGAGGCTAAAAGAAAAGAACACCGACGAAAAAAGAAGAAAGGCGTTTCACCGCGACCAAAAATTTCGCCCGAGACCACAAATGAGAAAGACGAGTCGAGTCATGATGCGAGATTCATCTTATCACGTGATCTACACCCAGTGTAAATGCTATAAATAAATATCGACCTCCGGGGCTCTAAAGGGATTGCTATAGAATGTGAAGATACCTACGTGGACCCGATGAATGACAGTCGGATATTCCGAGATTTGCATTGACGTTGTTCTTTTCACCCAATCATTATAATGTCATGAATCACAATAACACATTGTATAAAGACATGTAAAACATATTGTACAAAGACATTCGGTTATCTTTAATCCTTTCATTACAATAAATGTTGCAGCTCAAAGGCCGTATTTAAATCATTGGCTGTGTGCCGTATTATAACCAGATATATTTTCATATGAATATGTCATAAAATTAGTATAGAAATAAAAACATTTCTAATTGTTTTCTTAAGGCACAAAATTATGTCTTGCCATTAATCTTCGCCCAATTTTTTTATTTACCGAACTCTTTGAAAGCAGATACTCTTTTACAGGTAACACTTTCTATGCCACGATCTGAATACGATTCAACATTTTTGTTCTATAAATCCTTTAAAACGCGTTACTATTTTCGTCCGTCAGAGACATAAACGATATTTAAATAAACACCCTGGGAAAATTCTGACAATGTGAAATGTCATATCTCTTAAAGGGCCAACAACTCATTGTGGTTATTAAGGTCTTTATTTTCATACGTTATAATAAATTTGATAACTTATATTCATTTTAACCCAAATTTAAAGCGCCATAAGAAATCATGCACTATTATTGATAAGTTTCGTTCTGTTTTTAGCCAATTAGCGCTCCGCCTCCGCTGCAAGTGCCCTTAGTAATTGATATGTCATCAATGGCCACGTCGCTCCTGTAGTTCCTCCCTCTTATTGCTTGGAAGGCAACCTTTTAGAAATGGTGATAGTAATTATCAATAAGATAAAATGACATTAGTAAACTTTATATATCTGTAAGAAGGTACTGAAAAGCATTTTTGCAAATGCGCGTTTTCCTAGCTTAAACGCGTTTTTCAGACTTTTTTCAATCGCCTTCTCAAACTTCTTGAAGTTCCGACAACTGTAATTTATTTACGCAAATTTCAATTTTTACAAACACAGATGTCTCAAATGTCTTAAATACCACAAACTCGTATTAAAGCCAAACGATAGTTTTTATTTTGGTATACAATTAGTCAATCGTCCCTTACACATATTGCCATCAGTAAATTAAACAATTTAATTATAGAACTTACTTTGTAGGTAGGTTGCACATTGGTCAAAGTGACTGCTGCCTGAAGCCACTTATTTCCCTTGTTCCCACTGAGTACCATGATTGGAGAACGCACGCCACCCCTGTCGCGGTATACCTTAAGGGAGCCCATATCAGCCCCGTACATGTGGTACCAGAAACTGACACAGATGGTTCCGGTGACGTTCAGGTTGGGTGACGTGATCAAAGCGCTGTCGTTAATTGCTTTTCCCGACGTCTCAATGAACAAATAATTACCTGAAGCTAAGAAAAAAACGGTGGCCAATTAAGAACAAACGCCAACACCATCTTATATTAGCAAATATTTCTTTGTAGCAGAGAGTAGGCGTTTGCGTTTGCGGGTATAAAAATCTTTTTACAAAATATATATCTACAGGAAATCGTAGACGAAAAAAGATCAAAGATCAGAAAAGCTCTCGGCAGACCTGATCCCGTTGTATGGTCTGCAGTAGGGCCAGTATTGGAAGAGGGCGTTGATCCGGAGCGTCTCAACCAGTCCAAGTTGTCTGTCGTACTTTGTACAAATCCACAGAGGTCCTTAGAGAAATCGCAGTTAAGAACTATTGGGATAAAAATATGTTATTACTTCATTTTATTTTATCATTGTTTTTTTCCCCAGTGCGCTTTTATTCAATCGTTTCCCTATTTTTCTTATTAAATCTTAGACGTACCACTTGGGTAAAAACTGATTTAAGTATGAACTAGGGCAGTAGAATACGTTTTGCAACGAAAACAATTTACTTTGACCTTTGATATTATAAAGGTCTACCTACCTATTGCCCTTGGTTTCATCGTAGTTGTTGGTGCTGAAATTGTGAAAAAGGTACATTGTACATGTATGTATGTGCGTGTCTTATGCCTTGAAATTACACCGAAAGCTTTTATCATGCGACCTTTTATTGCATGATCGTCATGATGGTTTTACATAACATAATAAAACATAACATAACATAAAAACATATCGTAACGTTACAAAACGTTACAACATAAACAATATTTTAAAACATAACTCAAATTCATTTTTGTAAATACGCAATATTCTGTGTTTTCATTTGTCTCATCTTCATTTAATTCGCTTCAAAATAAGGCAGAGGTAAAGCAAGATTTCTCACCAATGGAAGGACAAGGCCCAGGGTTCACAGAGATGTCATCAATGGCAATGTCACCAGTGTAACTGCTGCCACGGATGGCTTCAAACACCAACTGGAGCATAGCATAACATTCATTGTATAAAATAACATTACGTAAAATAACATAACATATCATAGCATAATGTGACGTGACGGTACAGAAATTTTGAAAATAACATGGCGTAACCGAACAATGATAACATAGCATAACGGAACATGACATGGCACATCTACTTCAGCTTAGGTAACGTGAAGCATAAGTTAAAAAGGAAAAGACGGTTAAGTTATATGAGTAAATAAGAAGAAACCTCTATACCTGTGTTGGAGCAGTAAAGACCCAGTTACTCTGTCCCTGTCGCCACTGATTACCCATATTTCCTCTCAGGTTGAGAAGAGCGGTCTTTTTGCCGCCTGACAGGACGAAAACATTAAAGGCACCGACCGTGGAACCATACATGTGATACCAGTAATTGATGCACACTTGGCCTTGCATGGTCAAAACAGGGCTGATCAGTCTGGCAGCATCATTGGGTTGTCGTGGGTTGGATGTTTCAATGTACATGTAGTGACCTGAAAGAACGAATTGCCTACAATTATAAGAACAGTTCATAAACTGGCGTAAAGAAAGTATATTTGGGTTAGTATACGAGACGAATGTCACCTGTATAAAGTAATGGGGAACGGACTACGGTTCCTAGCGGACTACATGTACCACTCCTGTCACACCGGACAAACTCACCGTTTGCTTTAGTCGTATGGTCAGTCATTGGGCCAGTGTTTGCAGAACTGGTGGTCCTGTATTTTCTTGTCCAGTCGAAGGTATCACTCTTATCCTGGGTGAAGCCACAGGTGTCTTTGTCGAAATTACAGTTGAAAGCGCCGCTTAGTACCACTGGGCTAACGGGAGCTGAAACGGCGAGAAAGAATACGGAATATTTGTGATTCAAAGCAGAGCTGAGCGCTAATATTAGGGAAGCACGACAGCAGTCCGAAGGTTCAACAGTCCGAAGTTTCATTGGTTCGAATGTTCACTATAAAATTTCCGGACCAACGAACCTTTTTATTAAAAAAAAACTGATAAAATGTAACGATTTTTCGGACTAACGAACCTTTGAGACCCACACAATATTAGTATCAAAAGCATTTAATAGCAGTTAACATTCAAGTTAGTGCACGATACATGAACTAATAGTGAATTTTCTCAACCTACAAAGTCGAAGCACAGGCGTGTGAAATGTAAGTGCCGTTTTGTGCAATGGAGGCTTTCAGCCTACCTTTCGTTGTTTGGGGAGGTCTCACTGTCTTTCTGGTTGTCACAGGAGCGGCAGTTGTCACCGCTGTTTCAGAAAGAGAAAATGAAGGCGTGAATAATCTATATCGTTTCTTAAGTTAGGAGTTAATGTACAGAAAAGTATCACGCAATGTAAAACAAACGATTCAGTTATTTAAGAAAAAAAAAACGCAGAGAGACGAGGTACGGGTGAAAGTATTATAGTGGTGATATCATAGGGAAATTACATTTCAGAAACTTTTTATTATTAATCAAATGCCATGCCAAAGTTTGGTGAAAACGTTTAGTTTTAGGAATTATATATATCTTGAATGAAAATTCCAAATGAAAATTATGGTAATTTACCTACCTACTACCGGGCAGGGTCCACTGGTGACGCTGACGTCATCAATTGCGATGTCAGAAGCATAGTTAAGACCACGGATAGCTTGAAACTCGATCTAAATAAAAAAAAGTTGTAACATTTATTACCATATTGATTATAACGGTTCATTTATCTATTTATTTATAGTTTGAGATTGTCTGAACATAACCCTGAAATCTAGTAATTTTAAATCCTGTAATACATCTTGGGCATAATAACGTTATTATTAACGAACTGCCTCATTAAACCATAATAGTAATATAAGACTGATAAATATATAACATTTTAAGATTATATAAAAGCAAAAGATTACTAAAACTCAAGCACATTAATTATAATCCATACCTTAGCCGGCACATCAAAAGCCCACGTGTGTCTTTTTTGGATCCACGTATTTCCCTTGTTCCCAGTTGTTGTAAAGAGAACATTTCGCTTGCTACCTATCAACACTGAGACTGTCAATCTCCCCATGGTTCCCCCGTACATGTGGAACCAGTAGCTAATACAGGATTTGCCTTTGATATTAATTGTTGGCGAGTGAATGATCGCTGTGTTATTGGGGCGTCGTGGAGAGGAAGCTTCAATGTACATGTAATACCCTTGAAAAAGAAAAAGAAATGAAGATTTCTTGGAACTGTACCAATTAGATCAGAATATCTGCTCATGGACAACATCCATTTTATGTCGATGTATTATATATAATATATTATAGTTAAAAACTGTTTTTTTTTCTCTTTACTTTTAATAGCGTAACTTTAAAATTCAAAAAAATCTTTTTAGCTTTGTATTTTATTTGTAAAGTCTACAGAGCATATTTTTATGGATCTCAGAATCTGGATAAATATATTATTTATTATATAACGAAAAAAAAATGGATATTTGGAAACCTCTTTTAAGAACGCTTTTGGTATTGTAGAAATTTAATGCACACATATAGGGGGCCTACCGACACCTGGTACAAAGAGCAGTTAGCCTTTTCGGTATTTTGGAAGAGATAAACATTAAGGTTTTGAAAAACGCAAATTAAACTTCTAATTAGATTTTTTTCGACAGCACAACTTATGGAACACCAATTTATTCAAATTATTATGCTTGTTCTTTACCAGATCCGGTGGTGTGGTCTTTAGAAGGTCCTGTATTTTGGGATGAAGTGTTTCCTCGGTGTCTTGTCCAGTCAAACTGGTCAGAGGAACTCTGTGTGAAGCCGCAGACATTTCTGTCAAAGTTACACGTGAAAGGTGCCGTAAGAATGGTGGGCCGTACTGAAGAAGGAGTCAAAATAGCGACAGTGTGAAATATCGCTGCTATACCACGAAAGAACTGCATTTGAAATAATAACTTTATTTTATCTTATCGTCGCCAGAATAAGGAGACGTCATTAGAGCCAAATGTTTGCCATTCGTCGGATATTTGTAATTGAAACATTATTTTTGAGGGATGTATTCGCAGTGATCAATTGCAACCGAATTATTCTGAGTTTTGTCGTCCCTTTATACCATGACGCCATAAATTTGGGCAGAATAAGATGTCAGAACTGTAACAGACATCTGCACCGAGTAGTTTTAATCGCAATGAATCTATCGGTGTATTACAACGCAAAGACGCAAAATGTTTTTGAATATAATTGGTACCTTATCCTTTAAACTCACCGGTACTGACTGGTTTTTGGGTCGTGACGGGCGGTCGTGTAGTCGTAGCAGCTGCGAATATGTTAAACACAGTCCAAAACATTGAAGATGAGAAAGGGAATAACATAAAGAAGTCTACACACAAGTCTAGAGATAATTAAGACCAAATTTTGAATTCCTGTACGTGCAGTACTTGTTATTTTTGATGTATGCTTTTAAGATGTCTAGATATAAATCTGATTAAGAATTTCAGCGCCTTTATTGTGCTGACTTTCGAAACAAGATTGTAATTTGGTTGTATATGTGCTCACCCGTCTGGCATATCCCTGGTATTACACTGACATCATCTATTGCAATATCACCAGTGTGAGAAAGACCACGAACGCCTTCAAATACAATCTGAAAAGAATAAAAGAACAAACGCAAGTGTATATATTGACGAGTCCTACATGAAGGTATGCGAATTAATTTACTTCAAAAAGAATTTCTTGGGCATAACTAGAAATCCCGTCGCTGCCACCACGACGTTTGCATTCAACGTATACCATTGCATTCTCTATACCAAAAACCAATATAAATCGGTTCAGGATCAACTTCGTTTAATAAGGGCATCAGATATGTAATGTGAATATGCCAATATCGACACTTTGAAAGAATAGCGTCATTGCAAGCAACCTTTCATTAAGTAAGTACTTCACGTAACCAAATTAATCGCATACATGTAGCGTAAATGCTGATAATTACCGTATGATGATAAAACAATTAGCTTACCTGTGTCGGGAGAGCAAAGCCCCAATTGTGATAAACCATAATCCATCTATTGCCCCGATTTCCAGACGATGAATACATACGTCTCTGTTGATTATTGCTATCCAACGTAGAAACCGTCAGCCTTCCTACACTGGATCCATACATGTGGAGCCAGTATTTGATACAGACTCGTCCTTGTATATTTAGTACTGGGCTCATCATGATAGCGGTGTCGTTCACTTTCCTTGGACTAGACGTCTCAATGAACATGTAGTATCCTACAGTGATCATGACAAACGATGTAAATGGAACAATTGCAAAGTACATTACATCTAATAGGTGGCCTTTTCTGGATTTTTTAGAAATCAAGCTGTTTAAATCAATAGAAGAGCATGTGGTTTAATTCAGTTAAAATTGGTGTTTGGACTAAATCAAAGCAAGTTTTGTGATTGATTAGTTATGCAATCTTTTAACATTTAAACTAAGTCTCAAAACTCATCAAATTATTGAGTCGAAAGAAGAAATTAACAGAGTAAAAATACTATAACAATTAGTTTGAAAAATGCGATGGAAAAGCTGAGGAAATGTAACTTTGGTGATAGCGCCGACAAACCGTTACAATGAAGTGTTTTTTGCAATCGTTCTAACTTAAGCTTAAGCGGGTGTAAATAATTTCAATCCAACTTTTTCAAAAACAGGACTTACGGAAACAAAGTGATACGTAGATTAAAGAGAGATAATAACCACCAATCTTAATTTACTATGTACAACAGTTCCAATGGCAAATCATTGAAATGTATTAGCTAGGACAAGTAGAAAAAAGGCATAATTCCTACCTGTAGAAGTACCAGTAGTGTGGTCACCCGTAGGTCCAGTCTTGGCGGACGTCGTGTTCCCCCTCAATCTTGTCCAGTCAAAGTTATCCGATTTTTTCTGAATGAATCCACAATTGTCCTTGTCGAAATTGCAGACAAATTTACCACTTACCACTGCAGGTTTTACTGAAAATTTGGGGATCGATAAAATGTTTATCATAAGTGATAGGATATGGTGAGATTCTTAAGGGTCAACATAAATTAATCCTTACAGGTAAAGTCAACAACAGCAATGATCTTGAACTGTGAAATATTTGGAAGTAAAAAAAAAATGTTGTTACAAATAAAGGTTACTGATTACCAATCAGCATTCACAACTAACAAGTACCAAGTACAGAGCTTTCCCAAATTGATACTACCTGTAGCCGAGGTGGGTCTGGTAGTTGGTCTGGTCGTTGCTGGGGCAGACGTAGAGGGAGGAGCTGACAAGAAAAAGAAAAAATAAATGCACATAGGCCGCGATAGCTCAGTTGGGAGAGCGTCAGACTGAAGGGAGAGTATATTTGAGAAATCTGAAGGTCGCTGGTTCAATTCCGGCTCGCGGCACTTCTTTTTGCCTTCATCTCGACCTATTATACTGTACAATAGGCATTTGGCTGCAAGATGACCAGTTGTTGACTTCTGGAGACTTTTTGCTGGAGAGAAAGCTCTTCAGTTACCAAAAAATCTAGTCATCTAGTTACAAAAGGCCTACTGCTTTGTATATGCTCCCAGTCCTTATTGGTAAAGAACTGTAGATTTTTTAAAACTTTAAAACACAATATAGCCTAAATGCAAACCATAGGTTGATGAGTAGTTAATTATCCAGAAAAACGGCATTGTATGTTTACGTATCAAGCCAAATAATATTTACCAGGGCAGTCTCCAGGGACCACGTGTATGTCATCAATTGCGATATCTCCGTCGTAATTAGCACCTCGGACTCCCTCAAATATTACCTGAAAATGTGTACAATGGTATTTATATAATAATTTTTAAGCATTAAGTTAAACAACAGATAATTTCTTAGAATAATAAACAGACAGATACATACATGTACAATTGATTTATGACTCTTTTTCAGCGTCACGTAATTCCAAAGCACCGAGCGTTGCGACCGAGCGCAATCGTCTCGATTCCAAAACTCGCCCATACTCGCCCCATATAATACATTGTAGCCTCTATGTGATATCGCTATTCGCAATACACGATGCTTTCGAGTTACGGGGCCCTAAAGAACACCTGTTAATTCCATTCAAAATGCATGAACGGTGCGACAGAAAAAAAAGACAAAATAATGAAATTTTGAAGGGGCCTGTATATGCTTTGCCTTTTAAGACAGGGTCTGGTTACTTTATTTTATTCTATTATTATTATTATTATTATTATTATTATTATTATTGGTCAAATATGCAATTATACAAACAGTTCCCACTCCATACCTGAGTTGGGGCGGTGAATTGATAAGCAGTTTGAGCATACTTCCAAACGTTCCCTTGGTTCTTTGAAAAGGCAAAGACACGCGTCTTGCTGCTGTTATTTCGGCTGGTGTAGACATTGAGATCTCCCACAGAGTTACCGTACATGTGGTACCAAAAGCTAATGCACACTTTGCCACTGAGGTTGATTGGAGGGGTGGCCATGGATGCCCTGTTTCCAGCCTTCAAACTACCAGACACCTCCGTGTACATGTAATAACCTAGAGCAACAACAGTTTCTTCCATTTAGTATTAAGTACATTTTCCTAGGGATGTTATGTGACCGTTGCAATACATACGCTTTATTCTGATTTGGGGATGTGTTTAGGTGAAATACGAAAAGTTTTTCTCGCTTATTATGTCAAATACATCACCCTCTCTCGAATTATGCTTTGAATATCTCTAGCTGATGCTCGAAGGGTTCTGTTATATAAGTGGTATATATATATATATATATATATATATATATATATATATATATATATATATATGAAATTGTATTATTTCACACGTTCTTCATTGAAATAAATAAACTACCGTGATCATAGTGATTATACAACGGGATTCAATAACGCTTCGGGGAGGGATGGAGATTTATTCCCATTTACAAGCTTTTTATTTAACTTCCGGCGATGCCTTACCTTTTCCGTCAGTGTGATCGCCATTGGGTCCGGTTCTGGCTGAAGCGGTGTTCCCTGTATGCCTGGTCCAATCAAAGTCATCTTTAGTGCTCTGAATGAAACCGCAGTCTTCTCCTCTCTCGAAGTCACAGTGGAAGGGGCCGTTTATGGTCACAACTGTGAGGAGATTGAAGGAAATTAGCCTTCTCTCTCTCTCTCTCTCTCTCTCTCTCTCGTGGTTAATTTAGTTAATAAATATTGCATGAAGGGGTTCACCTTTGTGGACTCATACAAATTCATTGTATATTAAACAAATTATATTTTGAAAGGGTACAACATGGTGTCAAATAGTCTTGTTCCTTATAAAAACAGCTGCTCTGTTTTATCTACTATGTCGATAGGTAAAAACCAGTAATATGCCCCCCCCCAAAAAAAAAAAAAAAAAAGAAAAAAAAAAGAAGATACTTTGAGGTTGAATTTTAGGCTTGACAGTGGTCGGCTCAGTTGAAATAAAAGAGACTGAGATAAATCTTTCAAATCTGGGACGGCGCCACTGGCAACATAGATAGTA